CCTTTTCACCCACCGGCAACTTTGTGAGGGAGAACACATCTAGAGACTCCATTGAGTTCACCTCCTTCTTCATCGCCTCATGCCATTTCCTGGCTTCTTCTTGAGGCAGTTTCTGAACATCCTCAAAACTCTCGGGTTCACACTGTGCCATTCCGACCCACACACTAGTGACGGCAAACCTTTCAGGAGGTTTCCCTTGGTCGTCCGTGTTGAACGGCGCAGCACTACTCAGGAACCCCTCTGACCCACTAGGGCCAGCCAGAACGTCCTTGGCATCAGAGAGCTCCCTCTGACTTACTGCGCCTTCTGGACTTCTCAGCCGAACCTGTGGGGGAAGATGGAGCACTGCGTTGCTCACTCTTCACAGCCTTGGGAGAAGTCCTCCCTCTGCCTGCACTGGGTCTGGACTCTGAGCCTCAGTAGCAGGTTCAACCTCTTCCTCTCCTTCATCAGCAGAGTCTAGCAGACTCTCTGACAGGATGTCAGGGTTCCCATGTATCCTTGCCCAGCCACTCTGCTCACAGAATTCAGCACTGTTGCTGAGCAGAATCCTGGACTGATTCCCTGACGGATAAGCAAACCTCCACCCCTTGGTCCCTGGCTCATACCCACAAAAATCATCTTCTGGGACCTGGGTTCACCTTTCTTGCGTTTGGCCTTTGGTATGAGGACCCAAGCCTCACAGCCAAAAACGCGGAAGTAGTGCACTTTCGGTTTCTTGCCATGGAGCAAGAAGTACGGGGTGTCACCTACCACTGAATTGAACGACCTGTTCAGAACAAAGCTGGCCGCTCGCCAAGCCTCCCCCAAAGCGCTGTGGGAGCCCGGCATCAAACAAAAGAGCTGCGGACATCTCCCCTAGAGTCCTGTTTCTGTGTTCCGCGATCCCATTCTGTTGGGGACTGTGTGGAGAAGTCAACCTGTGTTGAATCCCCTTTGCGGAAGAAACTTTGCAGTGCAGACCCGGTGAACTCCCCACCGCGATCGCTCTGAAAGTTTTGCACCCGTGTGGAAAACTGCAGTTCCACAGCCGCAATCCAGTCTTTGATTAGCGGCGCAGCTTCATCTTTGCGCCGAATCGTGAAACACCAAGAATTCCTAGTATGGTCATCAATCAGAACCAGCGAAAATTTGGCTCCGCCCAAACTGCTCACAGAAAACGGTCCACACAAATCTGCATGAATTAATTGGAAAGCCCTAGTGGTCACCCTCTCAGACCTAGGGTACGTGCACGTTTTCACCTTTGCGGACTTGCACGCTCTGCAATCTAGAAACTTAGCACATGATTTCATTTTGCACCCTTGCGTATACTCTGGGATCCTTTTCACCGACCCCCACGAAACGTGTGCCATACGTCTGTGCCAGAGATGTTGACACGCATCATGAACTGGAACATTGGCACACTGCGCTTGAGCCTCCTCCGTGTCATCCGTGTCATCTGGACCTGCAAAAGAAGCATTTATCACAAACAACCTGTCTTTACATTCAACACTGACTAGGTGCTGTCCATTCTTGGAAATAGAACACTTATTGTTCTCAAAACACACTCTGTAGTTCTCAGCAAGAAGTGCACTGACAGACAGCAACGCGCAGGACAGTCCTGGAACAACAAAAGCCTGGATTGAGTCCTGCAAGAAAGAACAAAACAGTGAGCCACTCTGCGTGAGTGGGTGTCGAGTCCCATCTGCTAAACAGACAGTCTTCCCAGATTTTACAGAGGTGCAGTTCTCCAGGAATCCACCAGATGGCACGAGATGATGCGATGATCCTGAGTCGATAACAAAAGCCAGCTCTGCATCCTGTTGACAACTTTTGACTACAGCCATAGAGGCAGCCAAATGTTTACGTTCAGTGTCTCTGCCAGCTGCCTTCGGCTTGCCTTTCCCACGCTTTGAAGAAGAGCTCTTTATCTGGTTGCTACGGGAGACGGCCTTCGGCTGTTCCTCCACTGGACATTCTCTCACCAGATGGGAGGGGAGCCATAGCGATAACAGCGGCGACGCGTAGCAACAGCTCTCACAGCTCCCTCTTCAGCCATTCCTTTGTTCCCTGCACCCCCACCTTGGGTGCACAGCCTGGGCCTGCACGCTCCCCAGCACTCTGGTTGTAGGCCTCAACATCACACGGCCCCTCGGAGACAAAGCAGCTACTCCCAGCTGTAACTTTAGGAACATGGCCAGCCGCCCCCTCTGGGCTCTCAGCTTCCTGCCTGCTCTCGGCTTTCTCCCGGCCCTGGGCTCCTGCTGAGTTCTCACACAGACTCCTCAGCACCTGCCAGGCGGCCTGAGCCGACTCAATGCCCTCCAGGTGGGGCAACAGCATAGCGTCCACGCTTGCTCTCAACATGCAGAGCTCCCTTTGCATTCTCAGCTCTCTATCTTCCAGGAGTGCAGCCTCCCAGTCTGCTCCTCCTTCTTCAGCAGCAACTGGCATGGGTGGGGCGGGCTCCTTCTGGGCTATATCCCAGAACCCTGTGGCCAAAAACCACCCCCTGACTCTTCTAACCCAGATATCCCAGGACTGGGTTGTGAGCTTTTCAAACGGGACATCATAAAAGTCCTGGAGCTCAGCCATCTCCTCCCACAGTGCTCCCATCGGGGCTTTGAAGTACTCACGCGTACCAGCCAGCTTCAAAGGAGAGGCCTCCAGTGGCTCCTTGCAGCACACAGCTTGCATCCAGCTTTGGAGCACACAGCTTGCCTGCTTTTCTCCCAGGCAAAGCCTCAAAGCAGGACTTTTGCATTCCGGCAGCAAAACAACAGCTTCTCAGTTTTCTCAGCCTCTTTAAGCACACAGCACATCAAAGCAGGCTTCCTCTAATTGCAATTTACTGCCCCCATAACCTCTGGGAGATATTGATTTATTGCTCAGATAAGCGTCCGGCACGCTTCCCCCATTGCGTAGGCCTCTGCATTCCAAAGGGCACATTCCGATACTTCTGAGCATAGCAGAGTTCGTCAGCGGTAAGAGGAAACCAAAACACTCCAGTGCATTCTTCAGTGTGCTTAAATAAAGTCCACTCAGGATCTTAGCAGCTAAAAGCAGCTTTATTTACAGCAGGCTATCCATTATCTATCACAGCGAACAGCATCGTGAAAACACGTGCTCTCTCCTCAAAAGCGAAAGTAGAGAGACAGAACAAAGACTTGAGTCTCTCGGAACTGACGTAGCATTTCCCCCCTCCCACTAGTAGGCAGGGCGTACAGTCTGAGCTGTTTAACCCTGTAAGCTCAGGTTCTTCTCACAGTTTTCTGCTGCTCCAGAGAAGCGGACATGGAGCAATGGATCCAAACTACAAGAAAGAAGATTCCACCTAAACATTAGGAAGAACTTCCTGACAGTAAGAGCTGTTCGACATTGGAATTTGCTGCCAAGGAGTGTGGTGGAGTCTCCTTCTTTGGAGGTCTTTAAGCAGAGGCTTGACAACCATATGTCAGGAGTGCTCTGATGGTGTTTCCTGCTTGGCAGGGGGTTGGACTCGATGGCCCTTGTGGTCTCTTCCAACTCTATGATTCTATGATTCTATGATCCTCCGAGGATGTGGACAGGCTGCCTGGACGAGTGAAACCAACCACCTGTCTCCTGGATCCTTGCCAATCCTGGCTTATAAAAGCTAGCCGGGAAGGACTGGGCGATGGGCTTTGTGGGGTGGTGAATGCTTCCCTCCGTGAGGGAGCCTTCCCAGACCCGCTGAAAGAGGCGGTTATTAAAACCATCTTTAGATGCAGCCACAATGGCCAACTATCGCCCAGTCTCAAATCTTCCATTCTTGGGCAAGGTGATTGAGCGAGCGGTTGCTGAACAACTCCAGGCACGCCTGGAAGAAGCAGACCATTTGGATCCCTTCCAGTCGGGATTCAGGCCTCATCATGGGACTGAAACTGCCTTGGTCGCACTGGTTGATGATCTCTGGCGGGCTAGATGTTAAAAAGCATCGGGGAGAGTATCGCACCCTGAGGCACTCCACACACCAAGGAGTGGCGCGATGACAATTCCCCCCCAAGCGCCACCCTCTGTCCCCGACCAGAGAGAAACGAGCGCAGCCATTGAAGGACTGTGCCCTGGATCCCCACGTCGGCAAGGCGGTGGTCCAGGAGTTCGTGATCGACCATGTCGAAGGCTGCTGACAGGTCTAAAAGAATCAGCAGCCCTGACCCGCCTCGATCCAGCTGCCTGCGGAGATCATCTGTTACGGCGACCAGAGCCGTCTCGGTCCCATGACCAGCGCGGAAGCCGGACTGGAATGGATCTAGAGCCAATAATTTGCTTGCACTCAGCAGGCGTGCCAACACAACTCTTTTGGTCACTTGTGTCTCCTGACACTGTCTGTGCTGGTAATGTTATAATTTTTCTAATAATTCTGTAAGTTTTGTATTTTTGTGCCTCAATTTGATCCTTGTACATGGTTTTGTACGTATTGTGGTATTTTATCCTTTGTGACTTGCAGTTGCTTTTATTGATCATGGTTTATTAATTATTTATTGTAATGGTTAAGAGTGAATTTATTCTTAATTATTATTTGCTGATGTTTTGAGAATTAATTTTATTGTGTACTATTATATTCTAATAGATATTACTTTTATTGTGTACTATTATATTCTAATAGATATTACTGGATATTACTTTCTTTGATATAAATCATTCCATTTTAAAGTTATATTTTATTATGACTTTCTGTATCGGATCAGATTATTTAAAGGTGCATGTTCTTCGTTGTTTATTTTGTTGCTGTAAACCGCCTTGGGCATAGTAATATAAAAAGGTGGTACTGTATACAAATTAAAAGTGAAAAGAGAAGAAATGGTAAGTACATTACTGCCTCCTGCCTACTGGTGGCTCTACAGCTCAGCAGAAGAGGAGTGAACAGCTATCTTTTCTAGCAATGGTACAGCTGTAGCAGAGAGAATAAGACAACCTTTCATGAAAATCGAGATTTAGGAGTACAATCAAGGCTCATATCAGCATCGTCTACTCCTCAATAAAACAAATTAAGAACCATGTCTGTGCAGTTGGGGTTTCAGTTTTATTTGCGTGAAATATTTTCCAGGGCCAAAGGACGACGGAATAGTTGATTAAAGACACCAAAGGAAAATCACCCTTAGCCCATGATTTGTTTAGGTCAAATGTTCTGTTTTCTTTGATGGAACAGACTCTGTTAATTTTGCAGACACGTACGTAAGTTTCTTGTCTTTCTGGATGAAAAGAGAAAGGCGTGCCAGTTGGTGTCCCAATTAGCTCCTTTGGTTTCTGAACTGTTAGCTCTTGCTCTGGGCTCTTTCTGGCATCCTGGAAAAAGACGAGAGGGGAAGAAGTCATAAAAGAAAATGACTGCAAAAAAGGTAGACCTGGAGCAGGGGCGCCAACTTGGTCCCTAGGATATGGGTGCCCAATGGCATCCATGACTTAACTTGATGTTGTGAAGTCGTGATGTCACAACATCACATTAATCAGCAAGCTACAGAGGTGCTTCTGAGGCCTGGCTTCTGAGATAACGTCCGAGGCCTCACGGGGCCTTGGCGATCATGTCCAAGACCTCCAATGTGACTTTGGTTTGTACCGGAAGTTGTGTCAGAAGCCTGGCAGGGCCTCCGACGTTGCCTTGGAAGTCATGTTGGGCTTCCAGTGTGACTTTCAGTAGAAACCGGAAGTTACTTCGGAACCTGCGCTGTCGGAACCCACAGCCAAGTCCCCCCACTAGTTGGCAGCTATGACCTGGAGTGAACAGATCATGAGGTCAAATCTCATCCTCCAAGAGAGAGCTTTTGGGGCCCTTCAGGTGTCATCTTACAGGCAAATGAATGCACAGAAGCAGCACTGCATCTCCACTCCAGACTGTTCAGGGCTGTCAATGCAGGAGGGCCACAGCTCAGTGGTAGAACACATGCCTTGAATGCAAAAGGTCCCAGCTGGAAGATAACCCCATCTGAAATCTTGGAAAGCTGCCGTCAATTGGTTAATAATAATAATAATACCTCACCCATCTGGCTGGGTTCCCCCAGCCATTATGGTCATTTTCCATCAAGATATAAAAACGTAATAAAATGTCAAAAATTAAAAAAAACTTCCTGATACAGGACTGCCTTCGCATGTCTCCTAAAAGTTGTGTAGTTCTTTATCTCCTCGACAACTGATGGGAGGGTGTCCCACAGGGAAGGTGCCACTGCTGAGAACTACAAATGATACTGAGAACTACATAGACCAATGACCTGAGTCAGTATAAGGTAGCTTCCTATGTTCCACTCAATGGAGCTTACTCCTGAGTAGATATGTATAGGAGTGCAATGTTAGTTTTTAAAACCTTGGCCATAAAATAATTTTAAAAATTATAAACCAGTAGGCATGAAATGTATCAAAATCAGCAGTTTTAAAAGAACAAACCTAATTTCCGTATTTTTCGCCCCATAGGACACACTTTCCCCCCTCCAAAAATGAAGGGGAAATGTGTGTGCGTCCTATGGGGAAAATGCAGGCTTTTGCTGAAGCCTGGAGAGCGACAGGGGTTGGTGCGCACCGACCCTTCTCGCTCTCCAGGCTTCAGAAAGTTATCCGCAAGCCTTGGGAGCCCTATACTACCGTATTTTTCGCCCTATAGGGCGCACCGGCCCATAGGGCGCACCTAGTTTGGGGGGGGATAATTTTTTTTCTTTATTCCCCCCCCCAAAAAAAACCTAGGTGTGCCCTATGGGCCGGTGCGCCCTATAGGGCAAAAAATACGGTAGTTGCCCAATTCTTACTGAGCAAATTTTCACTGGAAGTTTTTAAACAGAGGGTGGAGGGCCATCCACCTAGGCTTATTTAACTGTACTTCCTGATTTGCAGGGCATTGGACTAGGTGGCCCTTGGGTCCCCTTTGAATTCTATGATACATCACAAGGAGAAAGGAAGAAGCAATGCCATTATAGGCATATTTGATACTCACATGACTTTACTGCTGCTGCGGCTTTCCCCACTTCTGCAATGCAAAGTCAGAAATTCAAACAACCGAAAGAATATGCCCCAGAATAGACATAGGGGTCCCAGCCACATAGATCAGCTACATCTGAGCAGCTCTATGCACCAAAGGGGCGGGGCCAGTGGAAAGGTGTGGCGTTGGGGCAGGGCCAGTGGCACAAGCTTTGCTCCCTGGCATTGCTCACGGCAATCCTGCACAAAACATGTGAAAAGGCCTAAGCAGGTTCCCTGGAGCACTTCTGGAAGAACTGATGCTATTCCCCATGATATGTACTCACCCTTCTCCCTTGTTGTCTATTGCCACCGGCACCCTAAAAAGAAGAAAATAAGCCATAATTATTTCCAGGCTTGCAAGAAGAATGGAAACATTGGCTTTGGTCCTGACAAATAAGGAAGGTGCTGAACCTCAGGCCTGGAGGCCAAATGTGCCCCCCCCACTGGCAGAGGAAGAGGGGGGCAGGGGAGCGGCCGCGCCCCCCCATGCTGGGCGCCATGCCCCCACAGACGGCACGCCACACCCCTGCAGGTGGCGCACCACGCCTCCGGGACGCACGCCAGCCACGCCCCCGCCTGCTTTCCACCCCCAGTGCCAGAGCATGAAGCTCTGCCACTCCCCCCCACCTATCTCTCTGTCCTTCCAAATTCTCCCCAGACCACACCCCTCACTGCCTCTAACTTGCACCTCAATTTTTTTTGCCTGGCTGCCACGTGTCCTTTAACTCTGGTGACGCATGTTGTATGCCTGGATGAAGGACATGGAGGAGTATAAGCATATTTCACAGAACAATAAACAAGCAATAAACAGCTACCCTTCAAAATCCGCACTTCTCTGAATTATGCGATACAATTCTTCTACCAAGGAATGTGCTTGTTTGCTTTGTAAAAAGTGCAAATGAAATGAACACACTCACACATGTGCATATTAGAGCAACTAATGTACACAAAGGAATATTGGGGGAAACTGCATGCAAAGGAAGTGTGTATATTCCATTAATTTATCCAAGTAGTTTCTTGGAGAAATGCATATGGACGTGTGTATGAATCTCCACTCCATCTCAAATCCATTATGATGGGCCTGAAAGTAAGGGAGGTGACTCTTGAGAGTGTCTTACCCTTCCTCCTGCCTTTTTATTCTTGTTTGCTCCAGCCTGCAATGAAAAGAGATAGGGAACATATTAGCCAGGAGTGTTTTCTTCCTCTCGAGACCAATCATGCCAATAGAATGGGAGCAGATGGGGCACCAAAGGAATATAAGGGATAGAAAATACGGCCCTTTGCTTGTTCAGAAGCCCCCGGGGTGCATGCCAGCCACACCCGCGCCTGCTCTCCGCCCCGGGTGCCGGAGCATGAAGCTCCACCACTGCCCCCCCACCTCTCTATCTGTCCTTCCAAATTCTCCCCAGGCCACACCCCTCTCATTTGCACCCAATTTTTTTTGCCTGGCTGCCATGTGTCCTTTAACTCTGGTGATGCATTTTGTATGCCTGGATGAAGGACAGGGAGGAGTATATGCATGCAGAAACCAGCTTCCTACACAAAGCTGAAATTAACATTGGTTGCTCTGCCCACCTTTATCTCTGGCACTGTGCACCACTGCATGTGGCCCCTGGAAAGTTGCCTAGGACTGAAAAGGTTTTCCCATCCTTGAACTAAGAAAAGTGAGGCTGGTCAGCGTGCTTTCTCCTTTCCTGTGCTCTTCTGCAAGCCAACATGATCTGCAATTTGGCATGGGCAACTCTGTCCATTTCAGTTCCTCATTTTTTGCATAGGAAGTTCAATTTTCCATATGTCCACATCGGTTTGCAACTGCTACTATTGAAAGTGCTCATGAAAATGCACCACCAGCAATTTGCAGCTAATTTCTCCTAATATACATTGTTTTCGTATGCAATTTCCCCAGTTCGCATTTTTGGAAACCAATTTTCTCCAATTTTGTATGCTGCTTTCAGTAGTAGATGCATTCTTAGGCACACTTCCACCATGCATGCTGGATAACTGCATTGCAAAATGTGACGTCCACATTTTGGGGGATGGCTGTGTTTTGGTTTGCGTCTTGCTTCAGAAAGTGTGAGCTGGGGAGGCTGGCCTTAAAATGAGAAAGGAATCAGATTTCTCACCTCCTCTATCCCTACCTGCAATAGCCAGGCTGCACCTTGTCTCATTTAAGGGTCTCCGTTGTGGAAGGGAGAGGGAGAAATTCATTTGGTTCACATTTTCAGGCAAACCTATCTAATTCATATTTCACAGAACAATAAACAAGCAATAAACAGCTACCCTTCAAAATCTGCACTTCTCTGAATTATGCGATGCAATTCTTCTACCAAGGAATGTGCTTGTTTGCTTTGTAAAAAGTGCAAATGAAATGAACACACACACACATGTGCATATTAGAGCAACTAATGTACATAAAGGCATATTGGGGGAAAACTGCATGCAAAGGAAGTGTGTATATTCCATTAATTTATCCAAGTAGTTTCTTGGAGAAATGCATATGGACGTGTGTATGAATCTCCACTCCATCTCAAATCCATTAGGATGGGCCGGAAAGTAAGGGAGGTGACTCTTGAGAGTGTCTTACCTTTCGTCTTGCGTCTTGTTTCTCTGCTCCAGCCTGCAATGAAAAGAGATAGGGAACATATTAGCCAGGAGTGTTTTCTTCCTCTCGAGATCAATCATGCCAATAGAATGGGGGCAGATGGGGCACCAAAGGAATATAAGGGACATACAATACGGCCCTTTGCTTGTTCAGAAGGTACATCCGTTTCTTGAGCCATTTGGATAGTAATGAAAGGGCCAACCTCAAAAGTGGAATGGAGAATCAGGAGAAACTAGAGTTGGGAATCCAATGAAATACATGAAATAGCAATAAAGGATCAGAGCTGACCATGCCACCAAGCTGAAGTACTTGCTTCAGCTGTCAAATTCTGGTTGCCTCTAGAGGGCAAACAATTATTGGATCCAAGGGTGGTGACTTCAGTCTTCCTATACTATTCAGCATGAGCAACTTGAGGAAAGGTGGGGTGTAAATGTTAGGCATGTGCGCTAGCTAGAAGAGGCAACTTGTATCTGTGGATTTTGGGAAGAAGCCTGATGTGTTTCAGAGCCCCTCTGTGTCTTTCCTATATGATTAGACTTTCAATAATGAAATAAGGTTTGTTAAAAACAAGTCTGTTTTCTCCTCATTCACTATAATGGGGGATCTAATAATAGCTTATTTTTCATTTTCACATACGTGGATGAAATTTGCCGGCATCTAGTGTAGATTAAGTCAGCCGACCTGTACACAGATACATCCAGTGGTTTTCCTTGCAGGTCATCTTTAAAGTTTGATTTAAAAACAAAGGCAAAACAAAACATTTTCATTTTCTGCCAAAACTGAATGCAGTTTGCTGGCGTGGCCACTTCTTTTGAAGAATGATAGCTGCAGTGATTCTCACAGAATTAAAATCATTACTATTTTGGATTGGGTACAACAGGAACAATAGGGGAAGGGGTGGTCGTGGGAAAAGGAGCATGGTTACCCAAGAAATACCGAGGGTGGGGAGGAACAGCAGAGCCGAAAAGAGTATACTTAACGTGCTACAGACATGGAAGTACCGTATTTGGGGAAGGGGAAATGTATGTGCATCCTATGGAGCGAATGCAGGCTCCTTGGCTTCAGCGATAGCAACGGAAAGCCTCCGAAGCGCAGAGGGAGCACTCCCTCCGCGCTCTGGAGGCCTCGCATTGCTTTCGCTGAAGCCTGCAGAGCGAGAAGGGTCAGTGCACACCAACCCCTCTCACTCTCCAGGCTTCAGGCAGCTATCGGCAAGCCTTCGGAGCATAGCAGGAGTTCCCCCCCGCGCTCCGAAGGCTTGCAGATAGCAGCCTGCAGCCTGAAGTCCAGGGAGCGCAGCGCCAACTCCCGCTGCACTCCCCGGGCTTCAGGCAGCAAGCCTTCGGAGCGCGCCCCCAGTCCCGCAAGCTCCGGTGCAACCTTGCCGCCGATCCCGGACCTGTTCTGGGGGCTGGGGTCAGGGGAAGCTCGGGCTTCTCCCGCTCCATCCCCGCAGCTAAAAACGAAGCCAAGACAGCGAGTGGGATCCACCCCGCTCCCTGTTTTGGCTTCTGCCAAAGCCGCGCGCAGCCTCTCCCAGCTGGAGACGTTGCGCGCAGCTAAAAAGCAAGCCAAGACAGCCAGCGGGATGGATCCCGCTCACTGTCTTGGCTTCTTTGCCCTTTGGGGAGGGGAAAAAATATTTTCCCCCTTTATTCCCCCCCTAAAAACTAGGTGCGCCCTATAGTCCAGTGCGCCCTATGGAGCGAAAAATACGGTAAGTAGTTTGTAGGCTACCAGGCCCCAAACTGTCCTTACTGTCTGTAAGGATTCATAGAATCATGGATTCATAGAATTGTAGAATTGGAAGCCCAACCCTGTGCAATGCAGAAATCTCAACTGAAGGGCATGTTTTGCAATGATGCAACATGCCTCACCATACAGGTGTCAGTTACATTTTAGGATTAATTCTGACTGCCCCTCCTCCCACCACCCAAAAAATGGGGGGGGATGGGAGAAGGTAATGGAAAATGTCTTACTGCACCGCCGCCATTTCCAAACATCGACATTAGACTCTACAAAAGGAAGAAAAGGCATTAATCTTTCTCTGGCTGATGGACATATAACACCCCACGCTGTAAATCAGGCATGTCCAACTCCCAAGAGACTGCGATCTACTCCAGCTATTAAAAAACTGGCAGTGATCTATCCATTGGATTGACCAGAGTTGTTAAGCTTTTTGGGGTGAGGATGACAGGTAGAGCGTGATTGACCGGTTGGACATGCCTGCTGTAAATGTATCTATCTCCAGTTTTCTGCATTCTCAGGACTAGACACATAGCCTGAAGGGGCATAAGCCAGCTTCCTATACAGGAGACTCCCCATTTCTGCAGGGGCTATGCTCTGGACCCCCTAACACATACACAAAATAGAGTAAAATGGGAAGTCACTTAGCTGATGGCCGGAGAAGAACCTTGCATTCAACTTTTCAGGATTTGTTGTTGTTGTTTTGTTAATTTATTCAGTTTGTTAGTCACCTAATACATTTAGCAAAGACAGCCTAAGTGCCTTCTGAAACTTACTTACAAATGTTCACTCCTGAGGCCATTTCATGTTTTTCTATAGGTGTGCCAGCCAGGATAGAGAAGTTTGTTGTGCACATTGTATACTCATTAACAGAGCACAAAGTAACTGGGGGAAAGATATTGGGAGGAGCCAACATTATTACTTAGGAAGGGCATTCATTCTGCGATAAAACTATTGTCTTCATAGTCCATGTAATGGAAGGCATCTTACCGATAACGCAGCTCCTCCTCCTCCTCCTCCTCCTCCTCCTCCTCCAAGCAAAGCCATTAGGCCCTAAAGAAAAGGAAAACACAGAATTCTTCTCTAACACTGATTTTGGTGCCTCCATCTTGGGCATCTCCTCTATGATTTTATATTTTGTCAGAGGTGCTGACTTGTGCCCCAGATTGTGGGTGTCCAGCGGCGCATGCATGTGCAATGTGACATCCTGACATCGCTCACACATCACATGCGCATTACACTGGGCTCCATGCTCAGCCTCCACCAGCCACCACCCGCTGCCTCGTGTCCACTGGTCCTCTGCTGCCACTGCAGTGACTGAACCTCTGCATCTGCCATGGGGCCCCCATTGGGGCCTACTGTGGCCGCAGGTGTGTTTCCAGGGCTGTGTCTGTGGTGGGCCTCAGTGGAGGCCTTGTAGTGGTGGCCTTGGCCTGGTCACTGTGTTGGCGGGGATCGGGTAGGTGGCCAGCTCCCCTCTTCATTGCAGGGGCTTGGCCCCCCTGCTACAAATATTGAGGGGGCTGAGGCACTCAGGGCTCCATAGAAATAGTGCCTATGTAGATTATTGGGGGTGCCAAAGACCCACCACAGACACCTGGAGTTAGCGCCAATGTATTTTGTTGCCAGGCAAAGAAATCTGCTCTCTGCCCCATGATGGAGTTGCATTTGCATCAGTAACTGCTGTTGCGTTGTCAGACCTTGTAGGGTCAGATCCAGGTTTCCGTGGCCCCTTAGGCAATAGGGTTTCAGTGAGTCCCTTGCCTCACCCCTTCTTATGCAAACCACACCCCTCATAGTTGGCTCTCTCTTTGCATCCCATGCTAGTCTTTGTGTCTATTTCTTTTTTGCAGAAGGAGTTTGTGTAGGCTTTTTACTTTGCAGTGACTTGGTTAGAAGGCATTCCTTCCTGGAGGACGTTTGAGAAACTCAGTAGCACTGAACAAGTAAATGTCTACTCAGAAGTAAGCCATACTGAATTCAGTGGGGCTTACTCCCAGTTGAATGGGGTTAGGGTTGCAGCCTTAGAATGCGCTTGGGGAGAAGCAACAAGTATCTGAATAATGATGTCTGAACAAATGTTTAATAAGAACTCCTGGCTCCATAACCAGTTATTCCCTTACCGGGCCGCCACCTTCCTTTTCATCACCACCGCCACCTGAAGGCATCATGCTCTACAACAGGGAGAAAAACATAATCTTCTGTAATGCACATGTCCACATCTCCTTCTTGGGTGTGCACTGTGTGATTTGGTTCATTATTGGGTGAAGAAACCGGCCTTCTGCAGTTGACCCTAGCTGAGGGCCACGGTGTGCTGTGCTGTCTAAAGTGGACTGCTGCCAGTGGTGGCTCCTGAAAGGACTTACGGACGTATGACACCCTCCCTGTTTCCTCCTCTCACCATGTTTCTCACACACATATAAACAAGGGGGGAATAGGATCTGTGCTGCTGGCCCTGCCCTAAACAATGCACACTGCATTGGCTCAACCAATTCATGTACAATGGTACCTTGGTTGTTGAACGGCTTGGCTTCTGAACAAATCGGCTCCTGAGCGCCGCAAATCCGGAACTGAGGGTTGCGGCTTGCAAACTTTTTTTGGAAGCTGAATGTCCTTTGTGGCTTCTGTGGCTTCCGATACAGTGCATGAATCTCCTGCAGCCAATTGGAAGCCACGCCTTGGTTTTCAAACAGTTCCGGGAGTCGAATGGACTCCCCAAATTGATTAAGTTTGACAACCAAGGTACCACTGTACATGCATTTAGTACAGCCTATTATTATTATTATTATTATTATTATTATTATTATTATTATTCTGCCCTTCAGTCATCATGTTCAACGTTGAGCCCTTTTTACAAGTGGCACATAAAGTTCACTTCACATTTTTATGGTGTCAGCCTTCAAAGTATTATTACTATTACTATTACTATTACTATTACTATTACTATTACTATTATTCTGCCCTTCAGTCATTGTACCCAGGGTGGTTTGCAAAGACATGAATTAATTAAATTGGGAAAGGTGAACAGAGACCCAAACAACAGCAGTTAAAAGAGCCTCAGTGGGATGGAAAATGTATGTTGAAAAGCACAGGGAGTCTCTCGTCATACTCTCTATGCAATTGCACTGTGATAATATCAGATATAGGGACGCGGGTGGCGCTGTGGGTTAAACCACAGAGCCTAGGGCTTGCCGATCAGAACGTTGGTGGTTCGAATCCCCACGACGGGGTGAGCTCCCGTTGCTCGGTCCCTGCTCCTGCCAGGGAGCCTAGCAGTTCGAAAGCACAAAGTGCAAGTAGATAAATTGGTACCGCTACATTGGAAAGGTAAACAGCGTTTCCGTGCACTGCTCTGGTTCGCCAGTAGTGGCTTAGTCATTCTGACCACATGACCAGAAGCTGTACGCCGGTTCCCTCAGCCAATAAAGCGAGATGAGCGCCACAACCCCAGAGTCATCTGCGACTGGACCTAATGGTCAGGGGTCCCTTTACCTTTACCTAATATGAGATAAATGAGTAGCACCCTAAGAGGGAGCCAAAATGGCGATGGAGGTAGCAGACTAGCCAGAACCTCCCGTCTTCAATTAAGCTTTTAATTAGGTTTTAGCCATCTTCTGACCCTATGTTTATATTTTTAGTTGTCATTTTGTTTCCTTTGCTTTTAGCCTAATGGTTTATTGTTTTACTGTTTTATTATCTACTGTTTTATGGCTCAACTCGATTTAGTGTAACAAGGAACGCTAAAGAAGATAGATTGCAGTCTTTGCAACTAACGCACAGCTTTCATCCATTGAAGGGAGGCACGAACCCGCTGTATCGTCAAGGCTGAGGTAAATTATTCCCCTTCCCAGAAATATTTCCGCGGTGAGCGTTGAAAGCCTAAAAGCTGAGAACTAAAGACGGAAAAGGGAGCAGAAGCCCCGAGATAAGGGGCAAGCATGAAACCTTGCTTGTAAAACAACCCTGCCCACCTTTCAAAGGTGGGAAACTGGAAGATAAACATAATCCGTCTTGTGATTGAGACAAGTGAAGCCAAAAAGCCCAGGACTAAGAGACTCCAGCAAACTGCTCCCAATTACCTTTTTCCACGCTCAACATGGTCCTTACAAGAAAGAACTACTGTGATGCCTCGCAAGACGAAAATAATTCGTTCCGCGAGTCTTTTCGTCTTGCGATGTTTTTCGTCTTGCGAAGCACGGTCCGTCGCAACTGCGCCTCTTCAAGCAGCTTTAAGAAAAAAGCGCAAGACATTTTCGTCTTGCGAAGCAAGCCCATAAGGAAATTCGTCTAGCGAAGCTATGCAAAACCGAAAAAGCCTTTCGTCTAGCGAGTTTTTCGTCTTGCGAGGCATTCGTCTTGCGGGGCACCACTGTATATGGACCTGGGAATTGCACCAATATCACCTCAGGGGGAGTGGGAGACCCGAAGGAAGCAAAGTAAAATCACCAATTACTTCCCCCATAAAGAAGGGAGTAAGAATCCATAGCACGAGAGCACCCCAAAAGAAATTGCCCCTACTGTGCTGGATTGGTCATTACAACGCAAAGACTTACAAACTGAGCTTGAAAGACCAAATTATTCCATGAGCTGGGCGCAGGAACTGGACCTAGCTGAGAACGCCTTGATGACCAATTCCCCCAACCCCAATGACCTCGAGCACCAAAAATCAACCCAGAATCTCAGGGAAAACCAGCAAGACCCTCAGAATCTCAGGGGAAACCAGCAAGACCCTCAACCCACAGCGAATGCCAACAGCATAGAAGAGAGAGGTGACCAGTTACACGATCAAATAGATCAGATACGCACAGACCTCTACAACATAAAAAACTTCCTAGCAGTAACAAATGGCCTACTCCTGACGCTTGTGGAGAATTTCAAACAAGCAAAAAGAGCCACAGATCAGTCCTTGGACTCAGATGCTAAAATCCACATACCACCCAAAAAGAACTCACGCAAAAGAAAACTGGAACCCAAGACGAAGAAAACTAAAAACATCAAAAAATTTAAGCCATCTAGAAAAACCCAACACATCAGTAAAAAACAGTGGCAGAAACTCTTCAACTTATTATCATCACCTCCTATATCCACAAAAAAAATCAAAGCTCAAGGCACCAAAGGGATCGACGAGGGAGACTCGCCAAAGACCAAACCCCTCCCCATATGTGAAAATAATTCCCCAAGTGCATTCAAAGAAATAAGCCCCCCCACGGCTGTTCTCCCCCTGTGTTCGCCCAGCCTGACAAAAGCAACCAAACTACAGCTGGATGTTCCTGTCTTGAATCCACCTAGGACCCCTGTAGCAACTGCAAACAGAAGTAAGTCGGGGATCTCCAATATAGACGCGAACCCGCGGGAACTCCAAGCCCGCAGTAGAAAGAAAGAATGGATCCTGGTCCTAAGCCCGGAAAAGATGGTATTCACGAACTATCCAAAACCACTGGGTCCTCGCACAGGGACAGACCGCGTGAGGCACCTGCTGACTATTATAAACAACATTCTACCTGGGGCAGTTAAGGCAACCGACATAGACAGTATAGACTACCTATATAAAGATGGACATTCAGTCCGTGCCCTGATCACTTTCACAGATCATAATCTGGTCAACTTCATCTTTAGAACAAGAAATCTATTTTTAAAGAAAGGAATAGATTTATTAAGAATCTTTGAAAACAGAGCCCCGCTAACCTCCCTACTGGCGGCCAAGGGGGAAGGGAGACCAGGAACAGAGGAACAAAACGATAGAGTGCACATGCAACAAAACCAGCAAAACCAGAGCCTAGTGCACCAGCAGGAAAACATAGCTCCTACCGAGACTCAACTTCATTTGAACGACAGAGAGGACTCTTTTTCCATAGAAGAACATGCCCTAATAAATTGGTTCTGGTCACTGCAGATGCCAGCCCAAAAGGAAATCTTGGTCAGACTGGACACTCTGAGAAGCAGACTGACCAAAAAGGAGGCCCATGTTGAGACTACGGAAGGCTCACACATACGGCCTATATCCCCCAAGTGCCTAGTGGACAAGAGGACGGTGGGAGGCGCCTTTAAATGTGTAGATTCGGAAGACCAATCGCAGCCCCCGCTGGTGCATGGTAAGGCAAAACCAAAACAGACTGTCACATCTCCGAGTACCTGGTTCAACTATCTAAAACTCTCCCCAAATGAAATAGCTACTCCCCCAAGTCCAAACCACCCCCTTAAGTCCCCAAGAGCTATAGATAATCATTCCCTTATGCAGCAGATGCCTATTGACAAACTTAATGGGAGTGTTTTTTTAGATGTAAAGGGGTCACTGGACACCGTGGACCCAACAAATCCACACCATGGAGGGACAGAGAATTAAAGCTGCTGTCCTGGAACATTGCAGGATGGCGCGCTAAGGAAAACAATCAACAACTTGCAATGTTTCTTAAGCGATTCGATATCATCCTCCTGCAGGAGACCTGGTACAGCGACCCCATTCTGTTCAATGGGTATTCTTGTCACTCCCTATTTGCTACTCCATCTGTGAGGGGAGGTAGGCCTAGTGGAGGTTTAGCTAGCCTTATCTCCACAGAGCTTGAACATTCCTTAAAAGCCCTCCCAAACTGCAATTCACTAGCCACGGCAGTCCTACTCAAATTTAAGAGAGATGCACTGGTAGTGGTCAATGTCTATCTGCCCCCCTGCCAAAAAAAATCTATAGTGAAAGCTAACTGGGCAGAGTTAGAGGCATTCCTAGAGTCCATAGAATCTTCCCACCCTTCTACACCGATTATAATCGGGGGGGATTTCAACGCCCGTATGGGAATTGATGATAACAACCTTTACAGCCAATATAATCAGATTCAGGACCCTGAAAGTCCAACCGAAGCAGGCGTTTCACGACTTTCTAAAGATAATAAATGCAACTTCTCGGGGCTATGTCTAGCCCAGGTCGCAAAAAGAAGGGAGCTGATGATAATAAATGGTAGTAAGGAAGAGGATCGCCCAGGGGAGTATACCCATTTTTCAAAGATGGGAGGAAGTGTGATAGACTATATTCTGATATCAAGATTCGCCTATAACTCTGTGTCAAAGTTTCAAGTGGGACATAACACCGACAGTGACCACCTCCCACTAATTTTAGCGCTCAATGGCCCATCGTTTAACAAACCCACGGCTAACCTTTACTACACCCCCATCGTTAATCTGGGATCACTGGCCCCCAGAAGAATTAAATGGACCCCCATGCTCAATACAGAGCTAACTCATCTCCTCCACTTGGAAGTCGTGAAGACCACTACACAGCCATTGTATCAGCTAATACCGGGGAAAAGGCCATGGACTCGTTCAACGAGTTATTAGCAAGACTAAAGACCTTTCTAACAACTGAGATACTTAATTCTGTTACAAAGCGGGCAAAGGATCAAGAGAGATGGTTTGATTTGGAGTGCAGACAAGCAAGGAAACATCTGAGATCAACCTACCGGAATTACAGAAACACCCTCGCACCCTCGCTATTTATGGCTTACATTGATTGGCCTGGTGTAACTTAGTGAAGGCCTCGAATGAGAAAGACTCAACCTCCTTCTGGCGTACCATTATGGGCCTCCTGGGTCAAGAGCGGATTGGTCCCACATGTACTGTAGAACCCCAGGAGTGGATGAAATATTTTCAAACCCTCTTCTATGATGACAAAACTCAGCACAATGATCCAAGTGCCTACTCCGAGAATTTACCATATTGGCCTCCTGTCTCCATAGAGGAGGTGGGGAAACTAATTGCCCAACTGAAAAACAACAAAGCACCAGGCATAGACCACATTCCAGCAGAGCTCATGAAGAACAATATCAGTTGGTGGGCTCCTATAATGGCGTCAATATTTACATACATCGATTCAACAGGCATAATTCCTGGCTGCTGGACAGAGGCAGTAATCATCCCAATCTATAAAAAGGGTCCTATGGCAGATCCAGCGAGCTATAGACCCATTAGCCTCCTTACTATCCCCAGCAAACTGTATGCCAAACACCTCCACATCAAACTAATTGACTGGATGGAAACTGAGGCAGTTCTGGCAGAGGAGCAAGCCGGCTTCAGACAGGGCAGAACAACAATAGACCATTGTTTCGTATTAGCACACCTCATTGACAAATACGCCAATAAAACACGTGGGATTCTATACGCAGCATTTATTGACCTGAAGGCGACCTTTGACTCAATCTCACGAGTCAAACTTTGGGCTAAACTCAATGCTACCAACATTGACAAAAGATTACTATTCTTGATAAAAAGCCTATATAAAGACTCCAAGTTATATGTAAGAACCTCAGTAAATGGGCAACTAATTGGCCCTGTACCAGCCACCAAAGAAGTCAAGCAGGGCTGTATTTTAGCCCGGCCTTATTCAACTTATATATAAATGACATGGTCAAATACCTAACATCCCCAGAGTTCCATGCCCCCAAACTGGCCGAAAAACCAATTTCAGCACTCCTCTATGCGGACGACGCGGTTCTCTTATCACGAACTAAAGTAGGCCTCAAAAGGCTACTAAGAGAATTCTCAGCCTACTGCAGGAGAGATCAATTGGTGGTTAATCGCCAAAAAGCCAAAGTCATGGTCTTCGCTAGGAGACACAGATGGGAGATGGACAATCAGCCAATAGAACAGGTCAAAATTTTCAAATACCTCGGAGTAGTTTTCCAGTCAACAGGGGCCTGGGAGGCCCACCATAAATATGCTAGGGAAAAAGCATCTCAAAGCGCCAAAATACTGTCTTGCTTTTACTTTACGAAAGGGGGCAGACATATCCCAGCAGCTCTGGAGGTCTTTCAAGCAAAACCCTTGGCACAATTACTCTACAGGGCCCAAATCTGGACGGGAAATCATTGCCGCACACTTGAAACGGTCCAGTCTAAATTCTTAAGACAGATTCTAGCCGTTCCACCATGCGCACCAAATGCGGCCCTACGGCTGGAGACTGGCCTCCTCTCCGTTGAAACCTGAACCTGGTTAAGAACATTTAACTATTGGCTTCGCTTAAATTTAAACGCATCCGGACTACTACCTCTAGTAGCACGAGATGCTCATAGAAGTCGGTAGTGCATCAAAAACTACTTATATGTGGCCTCCAAGCACAGCATCTCCTGAAAATGGGTCTCCCCAAGGCAAAAACTATTATTGTCCAGCGCATGAAGGATATTGAGCAGCAGAATAATCTGGCCTATATTAAGAAATTTAGTGCTTGGTACACTTATCTGCCCCCCTCCCACTTTGATTTTCGGGCACCTTATTTGTCTACCTTAACCATTCCAAAACTCAGACGGGCCTTTACACTGGCCAGACTAAATATGTTACCCTCAGCTGTTCTTGAAGGTAGATATCAAAAAATTTCATTCGAGAACCGGCTCTGCCCCTGTGGAGCTGGCTATGTAGAGACTGTGTCACACGTTCTCTTGTCTTACTCCCTATATAAAGATCTCAGGGACGAGACCATCACGCCGCTCCTATCTGCCATCCCGGGCCACTCTTGTGAAGCCAAACTGTTCTCACTCCTAGCCGACCAGAACAGCTCGACAACAGAGAAGGTTGCCAAATTTATCGAGAGAGCAATGAGACTGAGAGCTGCTATCTGAATGACATCAGTGCCGTCACCCGGATTCCTCGCCTAGGATTTTATTATTATTATCATTATGTTTTACTATTATTATTTTATTACCTCTGCCAAGTTTTAAGTATTGAGATTATTAATTTATATGCATCTGGTTATTATTATCTTTCTCCCTGTCCTGACCATCCCTCCGAGGTTATATTTAATATTTATAATCTTGCAATTTGGCTGGTCTATTTACTTAACCGACCTGGAACAATCTACCAGAGAAAAGGCCGCCGCCCAAGGGACAGAGGGTCATTGATGAATGATAATTCAGTTTCTACCTAAGGTTTTAATAGGTCATAAGATTTTATGGTATCTATATTTGTAATGTATTTTTGTCTGTGTTTGTCCTTCGATGCTATGGCCTGTCGGCTATGCAAATAAAGTCTATTGATTGATTGAGTAGTACCCTAATAAGAGATATATTAGATAGTTTCTTCTACTGTCCTGATGCCCAGGAAAACCAACTAAAGACTGAAGGAACTAACAGTACAGGGGCTACAATGTATGGTTTCTTACCGAAAGCTTCTCAAGCAATCCCTACAAAGGAAAGGAAATGTATTAATCCTTCTGTACATGGAAGACAGGAAATGACATTTAGCTCTTCTTTGACAACACATTGTAGAATTTGAATCACTTATGAGCCTTCTTTAGATGTTTTGTTTAAAATCCAGCTTTGATGGGATACTTTAGGCTTCCTCACAGCCTACTTGTGTGTGCAGAGGAAATATGGTGATGGGGCCACATCCTTAACCCTGCCCTCAGAATTGCCCTGGAATTAAAAGGGAGAGTTTCTTACCGCAGCACCACCAGCACCTTCGCCATCATCATCACCTGCGGAAAGCATAGACAACATAGCCTACAAGGGGAACAGGAGAATTATGTCTGTTAATGCACGTATTCATAGGTCCACCCCCATTTGCTTTGGTTTCTCATTGCATGAAGAAACCAGCATTCTCCAGTCGGCAAAGTTTTATCTTGCCCCTAGCCGCGCTCAGTAGTGTGTGCCATGGCGGGCAGCGGCACTCACCTGACCTCTTGACAGCTGAGTTGCTGCTACTTAGCAAGAGTAATTGGGGGTGGGGTGATTGAGGGGCAGGTGCAGGACAAACCTGCCAGCAGGATCATGGGATCAGATCCTCCAGTACATTTGCACCATGCTGACCTCCTCACCAGCTCATCCCTCCCCATTTCTTCCCAGAAGGAGGTGGGGATTCAGCTGCTGGGAGATCAGGTAAGCAGTCCTCCTGTGTGGCGATACATTCCATTGCTGTTTCAATTGCCAGATGGCAAAGTTTCTAGTCAAGGCAACATTTCTATTTTCCATTGTTTTTGGAAGAGAAAAGTCAATGGGCAGACCCTTTGCAGTACAGTGGTACATCAGGTTAAGTACTTAATTCGTTCCGGAGGTCTGTTCTTAACCTGAAACTGTTCTTAACCCGAAGCACCACTTTCGCTAATGGGGCCTCCTGCTGCCGCCGCGTGATTTCTGTTCTCATCCCGAAGCAAAGTTCTTAACCCGGGGTACTATTTCTGGGTTAGCGGAGTCTATAACCTGAAGCGTCTGTAACCCAAGGTACCACTGTACTTGAATTGCATTTGGAGTATTGGAAATTCTTGGAGGTTCATAAGAAAAGCACACCACTAACCTAGAATACTTCCCAGAATCATATATATGTTCAATGCGTCATGAGGTCCCACTTAAAGAACAAAATGTGTTCCCAATAAATTGTTGGTTAGGGGCGAGTGTTTTGCATAATGAGCTGGCAATCTCCAATATTTCCTATGGGAACATGTCTAATCAATGATCTCCCCTCCCTCTCTTGCCATGGTTTCTTCTTAAAATGGCTGCAGCCAGCCAGCAAAGGAGATATAAGGGGGGGGGGATTATTTGTCTGATCTCTCTCCCTCTTCCCTTTCTAAATGGTTTCTGCCTGTAAACAGCTGATACCAGCTAGCAGAGCACAAACAACAAGTGGGCAAATTGTGGCTGTTCAGATATAGGAATCAGCTGCACTTGTAAGTGAGGTTTGGGCATAATGCTTTATGTTCAGATATGTAATATTTTTGCAGAACAATCAAGCTGATAGCAGGACCTGTGTGCATAGGAGACCCTTAATTGAACCCAGAAGGAGCATGAGTATGGTTTGGGGAGGGGTCAGCTAAACACATGTTTTCATGGTGGTTTCCCTCAACAAGCAAGTCATGTACAGAATAAGGTGATGGTGATGATGCTTCACATTGACGTCTGACTTCATGGCAAGATCTGCCCTGCAATGAAAAAGGATTGTGCCTTACACCTCCACCACCTACCTCGCCATCACCTCCACCTCCAGCTAGCATAGGGACCATTGCCTACAAGGAAGTAAAAAGAAAGATCTTTACAGAAAGGCAGGTTACTCTAAGAATAAATGAAGAGTCAGTTGGATCATACCCCAGGCCTTTCACGTCTATCATCCTCTTTTCACATCAACCAAGTGGGTGCCTATTAGAACCTCGCATGTAGAACAAGAGTACAATAGAAGCCTCCTGCTCTAGTTCCTCAGCAACTATCATCTACAGGCATAAGGCCTCTGGTACTTGAGGTAGTGTAACAGCCATCATGATGAATATTTATGGATAGCCTTAACCTCTAAGCATAGGTGCAAGTGCCTACAAAGAGGAGAAAAACATCATCCTATATAATGCGCACATACAAGGCTTAAACGCCTTACATGACTCTATTTGTTATCAGGTGAAGAAACTTTCCTTGCCACCAACATTTATTACCAAAAGGCCTTGGATGCTCAAAAGTGTCCTGGGGGAGGGAGACGCCTGGAAGTCAGGTGCCTGAAGGCTTTGCAGATAGCAAAAAACTTTTAGTACTTGTAAGAATTTAGCTTGCATCGGAGAGACTCTCTTGGGGCGATGTTATTTGCCTCCCAATAAGGACAGCTGCCATGTTTTAGGATGAAATTCTGACTTCCCAAAATAATAGCACAGAAGAAAATGAGAGAAGGTAATAGAAATGCACTTACTGCTAGTTTACTAGCGCCACCATTTCCAAGCATGTCCTGCAAAGGAAAGGAAAAGAAAGGTTTTTGATCGTCTCTTGGCTGATACACACTTGGCATCCCCGCCACTCAATTTTAGACATACTGTGAAGCAGTTGCTGTCTTCCCCAGGGTAGGAAATCGGTATCTCTTGCCATGATGTGGAGCAGTCCAGCCAATCTGGGCTTTCTTTAGTTGCTGCTTTTCTGGTATTTCTTTGTAGAGTCACAGAATCATAGAATTGTTTAATTTCTACAATTGGTAAATGAAGCCTTTAATGTTGTGGAACAAGTTTATTTAAGGCCGCTGGCTGATGGGTTCAGAACTGTGAAACTAGTAGCACTTTTACAAATGCCACATAATACTTGTTCCACATTTGTAGGAAGTCAACAGTTTAGAGCAGGCTTCCTCAGATGTTTTGATACTACAATTCCCATCATCCCTGACCACTGGTCTTGCTAGCTGGGGATCATGGGAGTTGTAGGCCAAAAACATCTGGAGGGCCGAGGTTGAGGAAGCCTGGTTTAGAGTAGCAGCATTTTCAGTTAGGGACTCCTAGCCTGTTGACATTAGTCAGACATCCTTGCTATGTTGTTGCAGATGCCTGCTGAAAATTGTTTTAATTCATCAAATCTACCCAGACATATAAGCTAGTTGCCTACATTCATCTCTCAAGGGCTTTACTGATTTTACATGCATTTTATTAATTATTTTATGTATATATGTTTTTAAACAATTTGGGGAATTTTTAGCTGTTTTTTTATCAACAGTTTTATTATGTAGAGAACTTAGAGCACCCTGGGATGAGAGAGAGAGAGAGAGAGAGAGAGAGAGAGAGAGAGAGAGAGGCTGCTATTGGCCTGCTTGGTAGCCAGCAGTTTTGTTTGTTTCAGAAAGAAAAGTTTCATCCCATTGCTTTTATTGCTCCTTTTTTTCTTATTTTTTAAAAAACAACTGCCCTACACTTTATATATAAATAGATAGATAGATAGATAGAAAGATAGATAGATAGATAGATAAATAATTGCTTTCACACCATACCCTGGACACCAGGTAACTATCTCTGGGCAGACAGGCTTAGCTTCAACAAGGGAGCAACCTCATGTGACTTTGGTTGATGCAATTTTTAAAATCTTTATCCCAGCTGCCTCCCACGAACCAACTGGAGAAGGTGATGAAGAAATTCTTACCATTAAGCCATCAGCGCCACCACCTCCTAGCATGGACATTAGACCCTACAAAGCAGGGGGAAAGCATTGACTGATCCACACATGACATGCACCCCAGCCTCCCACGCTCCAGTATTCTACTACTCCAACTTAGACATGCCATATATGCATTGCTCCATTCTCTTGAACTCAGCCATACTGTCATTTAATGTGCATAGGAAGCTTTCTGTATCTCCACAAATTCTCCATTGTCCATATGACATTCTCCTCTAAATCACTGCCTTCCCACACCCCTTCCACAATACAAATTTTTTTTTTCAGACCAAGGGTACTCCCAAATGGAGAGAAAATGGGAAAGTCTGGATTGAGGGAGAGGGAAATGTGGGAAGGCAGTGTTTTAGAGGAGAATGTGAGACAGGTTAGGCTGAGAGACTGTTACTGGCAATTTGTCATCCAGTGTGCTTCATGAGAGAATGGGGATTTGAACTCTAAACTCCCAGTTCATCATTCAAGCCACATCACCACTTTGGTACCGTGGTCTTCTGAGGGCTGCATGTTGCCTATGGTCCTGGATTTTCCATGCACGTGCTCAGCATACTGACCAGGAGGGAACATGAGTATGGTTTGGGGAGGTGGCGGCTAAACACATGGTTTCATGGTGGTTTCCCTCAACAAGCAAGTCATGTCCAGAATAAGGATGATGGTGACGATGCTTCAGATTGACGTCTGACTTCATGGCAAGATCTGCCCTGAAACGGAAAAAAATTGTGCCTTACCCCTCCACCACCTACCTCGCCATCACCTCCACCACCACCTAGCATAGGGGCCATTGCCTACAAGGAAGTAAAAAAAAAGATCTTTACAGAAAGGCAAGTTTCTCTAAGAATAGATGAAGAGTCTGTTGGATCATACCCCAGGCCTTTCACGTCTATCATCCTGTTTTCACATCAACCAAGTGGGTGCCTATTAGAACCTCTCATGTAGAACAAGAGTACAATAGAAGCCTCCTGCTCTAGTTCCTCAGAAACTGTCATCTACAGGCATAAGGCCTCTGGTACCATCATGATGAACATTTATGGATAGCCTTAACCTCCATGTATTTGTCTTCTCCCCATTTATAATGATCCAAATTGATGGTCAACATTACATCCTGTTTCTCCTTCGATGCTATGGCCTGTCGGCTATGCAAATAAAGTCTATTGATTGATTGAGTAGCACCGTAATAAGAGATATATTAGATAGTTTCTTCTACTGTCCTGATGCCCAGGAAAACCAACTAAAGACTGAAGGAACTAACAGTACAGGGGCTACAATGTATGGTTTCTTACCGAAAGCTTCTCAAGCAATCCCTACAAAGGAAAGGAAATGTATTAATCCTTCTGTACATGGAAGACAGGAAATGACATTTAGCTCTTCTTTGACAACACATTGTAGAATTTGAATCACTTATGAGCCTTCTTTAGATGTTTTGTTTAAAATCCAGCTTTGATGGGATACTTTAGGCTTCCTCACAGCCTACTTGTGTGTGCAGAGGAAATATGGTGATGGGGCCACATCCTTAACCCTGCCCTCAGAATTGCCCTGGAATTAAAAGGGAGAGTTTCTTACCGCAGCACCACCAGCACCTTCCTCATCATCATCACCTGCGGAAAGCATAGACAACATGGCCTACAAGGGGAACAGGAGAATTATCTCTGTTAATGCACATATTCATAGGTCCACCCTCATTTGCTTTGGTTTCTCATTGTATGAAGAAACCAGCATTCTCCAGTTGGCAAAGTTTTATCTTGCCCCTAGCTGCGCTCAGTAGTGTGTGCCATGGCGGGCAGCGGCACTCACCTGACCTCTTGACAGCTGAGTTGCTGCTACTTAGCAAGAGTAATTGGGGGTGGGGTGATTGAGGGGCAGGTGCAGGACAAACCTGCCAGCAGGATCATGGGATCAGATCCTCCAGTACATTTGCACCATGCTGACCTCCTCACCAGCTCATCCCTCCCCATTTCTTCCCAGAAGGAGGTGGGGATTCAGCTGCTGGGAGATCAGGTAAGCAGTCCTCCTGTGTGGTGATACATTCCATTGCTGTTTCAATTGCCAGATGGCAAAGTTTCTAGTCAAGGCAACATTTCTATTTTCCATTGTTTTTGGAAGAGAAAAGTCAATGGGCAGACCCTTTGCAGTACAGTGGTACATCAGGTTAAGTACTTAATTCGTTCCGGAGGTCTGTTCTTAACCTGAAACTGTTCTTAACCCGAAGCACCACTTTCGCTAATGGGGCCTCCTGCTGCCGCCGCGTGATTTCTGTTCTCATCCCGAAGCAAAGTTCTTAACCCGGGGTACTATTTCTGGGTTAGCGGAGTCTATAACCTGAAGCGTCTGTAACTCAAGGTACCACTGTACTTGAATTGCATTTGGAATATTGGAAATTCTTGGAGGTTCATAAGAAAAGCACACCGCTAACCTAGAATACTTCCCAGAATCATATATATGTTCAATGCGTCATGAGGTCCCACTTAAAGAACAAAATGAGTTCCCAATAAATTGTTGGTTAGGGGCAAGTGTTTTGCATAATGAGCTGGCAATCTCCAATATTTCCTATGGGAACATGTCTAATCAGTGATCTCCCCTCCCTCTCTTGCCATGGTTTCTTCTTAAAATGGCTGCAGCCAGCCAGCAAAAGAGAGACAAGGGGGGGGGAATTATTTGTCTGATCTCTCTCCCTCTTCCCTTTCTAAATGGTTTCTGCCTGTAAACAGCTGCTACCAGCTAGCAGAGCACAAACAACAAGTGGGCAAATTGTGGCTGTTCAGATATAGGAATCAGCTGCACTTGTAAGTGAGGTTTGGGCATAATGCTTTATGTTCAGATATGTAATATTTTTGCAGAACAATCAAGCTGATAGCAGGACCTGTGTGCATAGGAGACCCTTAATTGAACCCAGAAGGAGCATGAGTATGGTTTGGGGAGGGGTCAGCTAAACACATGTTTTCATGGTGGTTTCCCTCAACAAGCAAGTCATGTACAGAATAAGGTGATGGTGATGATGCTTCACATTGACGTCTGACTTCATGGCAAGATCTGCCCTGCAATGAAAAAGGATTGTGCCTTACACCTCCACCACCTACCTCGCCATCACCTCCACCTCCAGCTAGCATAGGGACCATTGCCTACAAGGAAGTAAAAAGAAAGATCTTTACAGAAAGACAGGTTACTCTAAGAATAAATGAAGAGTCAGCTGGATCATACCCCAGGCCTTTCAGGTCTATCATCCTGTTTTCACATCAACCAAGTGGGTGCCTATTAGAACCTCGCATATAGAACAAGAGTACAATAGAAGCCTCCTGCTCTAGTTCCTCAGCAACTATCATCTACAGGCATAAGGCCTCTGGTACTTGAGGTAGTGTAACAGCCATCATGATGAATATTTATGGATAGCCTTAACCTCTAAGCATAGGTGCAAGTGCCTACAAAGAGGAGAAAAACATCATCCTATATAATGCACACGTACAAGGCTTGAAAGCCTTACATGACTCTATTTGTTATCAGGTGAAGAAACTTTCCTTGCCACCAACATTTATTACCAAAAGGCCTTGGATGCTCAAAAGTGTCCTGGGGGAGGGAGACGCCTGGAAGTCAGGTGCCTGAAGGCTTTGCAGATAGCAAAAAACTTTTAGTACTTGTAAGAATTTAGCTTGCATCGGAGAGACTCTCTTGGGGCGATGTTATTTGCCTCCCAATAAGGACAGCCGCCATGTTTTAGGATGAAATTCTGACTTCCCAAAATAATAGCACAGAAGAAAATGAGAGAAGGTAATAGAAATGCACTTACCGCTAGTTTACTAGCGCCACCATTTCCAAGCAAGTCCTGCAAAGGAAAGGAAAAGAAAGGTTTTTGATCGTCTCTTGGCTGATACACACTTGGCATCCCCGCTACTCAATTTTAGACATACTGTGCAGCAGTTGCTGTCTTCCCCAGGTTAGGAAATCGATATCTCTTGCCATGATGTGGAGCAGTCCAGCCAATCTGGGCTTTCTTTAGTTGCTGCTTTTCTGGTATTTCTTTGTAGAGTCACAGAATCATAGAATTGTTTAATTTCTACAATTGGTAAATGAAGCCCTTAATGTTGTGGAACAAGTTTATTTAAGGCCCCTGGCTGATGGGTTCAGAACTGTGAAACTAGTAGCACTTTTACAAATGCCACATAATACTTGTTCCACATTTGTAAGGAGTCAACAGTTTAGAGCAGGCTTCCTCAGATGTTTTGATACTACAATTCCCATCATCCCTGACCACTGGTCTTGCTAGTTGGGGATCATAGGAGTTGTAGGCCAAAAACATCTGGAGGGCCGAGGTTGAGGAAGCCTGGTTTAGAATAGCAGCATTTTCAGTTAGGGACTCCTAGCCTGTTGACATTAGTCAGGCATCCTTGCTATGTTGTTGCAGATGCCTGCTGAAAATTGTTTTAATTCATCAAATCTACCCGGACATATAAGCTAGTTGCCTACATTCATCTCTCAAGGGCTTTACTGATTTTACATGCATTTTATTAATTATTTTATGTATATATGTTTTTAAACAATTTGGGGGATTTTTAGCTGTTTTTTTATCAAGAGTTTTATTATGTAGAGAACTTAGAGCACTCTGGGATGAGAGAGAGAGAGAGAGAGAGAGAGAGAGAGAGAGAGAGAGAGAGAGGCTGCTATTGGCCTGCTTGGTAGCCAGCAGTTTTGTTTGTTTCACAAAGAACAGTTTTATCCCATTGCTTTTATTGTTCCTTTTTCTTTTCTTATTTTTTTTAAAAAACAACTCTTTCTTTCTTTCTTTCTTTCTTTCTTTCTTTCTTTCTTTCTTTCTTTCTTTCTTTCTTCTTTCAATTGCCTTCACACCATACCATGGACACCAGGTAAATATCTCTGGGCAGACAGGCTTAGCTACAACAAGGGAGCAACCTCATGTGATTTCAGTTGATGCAATTTTTTAAAAAAATATCCCAGCTGCCTCCCACCAACCAATGGAAAGGACATAAGGAAACAGGAGAAGGTAATGGCGAAATTCTTACCATTAAGCCGCCAGCGCCGCCACCTCCAAGCATGGACATTAGACCCTACAAAGGAAGGAGAAAGCATTGACTGATCCACACATGACATGCACCCCAACCTCCCACTCTCCAGTATTCTACTACTCCAACTTAGACATGCCATATATGCATTGCTCCATTCTCTTGAACTCAGCCATACTGTCATTTAATGAGCGTAGGAAGCTTTCTGTATCTCCACAAATTCTCCATTGTCCATATGACATTCTCCTCTAAATCACTGCCTTCCCACACCCCTTCCTCAATACAGATTTTTTTTTTCCAGACCAAGGGTACTCCTAAATGGAGAGAATATGGGAAAATCTGGACTGAGGGAGGGGTATATGTGGGAAGGCAGTGATTTAGAGGAAAATGTGAGACAGGTTAGGCTGAGAGACTGTTACTGGCACCTTGTCATCCAGTGTGCTTCATGAGAAAATAGGGATTTGAACTCTAAACTCCCAGTTCATCATTCAAGCCACATCTCCACTTTGGTACCACGGTCTTCTGAGGGCTGCATGTTGCCTATGGTCCTGGGGGTTCCACGCATGTGCTCAGCATACTGACCAGGAGGGAGCATGAGTATGGTTTGGGGAGGGGGTGGCTAAACACATGGTTTCATGGTGGTTTCCCTCAACAAGCAAGTCATGTCCAGAATAAGGATGATGGTGATGATGCTTCACATTGACGTCTGACTTCATGGCAAGATCTGCCCTGAGACGGAAAAAAATTGTGCCTTACCCCTCCACCACCTACCTCGCCATCATCTCCACCACCAGCTAGCATAGGGGCCATTGCCTACAAGGAAGTAAAAAGAAAGATCTTTACAGAAAGACAGGTTACTCTAAGAATAGATGAAGAGTCAGTTGGATCATACCCCAGGCCCTTCAGGTCTATCATCCTGTTTTCACATCAGCCAAGTGGGTGCCTATTAGAACCTCACATGTAGAACAAGAGTACAATAGAAGCCTCCTGTTCTAGTTCCTCAGCAACTATCATCTATAGGCATAAGGCCTCTGGTACTTGAGGTAGTGTAACAGCCATCATGATGAATATTTATGGATAGCCTTATCCTCCATGTACTTGTCTTCTCCCCGTTTATAGTAATCCAAATTGATGGTCAACATTACATCCTGTGCTTGCAAATTCCATAGTTTCACTCCCTGTCACCCACTCAGATCTGCTTAACTTCAGTTAGGTGGAGTCTTCATGTGTCTCCAGACCATACCCAGGCCATTTATGTTGTGGGAGATAAAACCTTCACCTAAACAATCTGGGAAGGTCTTCCTCCTATCTAAAGTTTATGTATTTCCTAGGTTGCTGAGATCTTGGAATGCATTTGAGGTCTCCTTGGGTGATGTTATAGGACTTCCGAGAATCTTTCAGGAGGACTTCTGGCTTCACAACCATAAGAGCACAGGGATCAGTATCCTATTATTAGGTCTAACGTATGGAGAAGATAGATGGAGCAACATCTCTGTCACTTTCACTGTCTCCAATGACAAAACACACACTGCTGTCGCACCGTGGAAATAGCTTGAATCTGTATGGGCACCTGCAAGGGGGGAGCTGATATATATTTAGCTATTCATGTATAAATGCCCTTTTGGAGACATCCTCACTGAAGATGGAAATGTTGAGTGCTCAGCAAGAATGTGTCTTCTGGGGTGTGGCCAGCTGAGCAGTCATTCTTCATGCAATAGCCTTGCATGTGAATATAACCAAAAGTCTAACACATACTGTAAGAGGAGCTTATATTAGATTCTTACCAACCCAATGACATTACTGACTTCATTCCCAAGGCCTACAACAGCTTCACAAATACAGGAAGATTATAATGGATAGTTTCTTACCACCACCAAATATTATATTAGGAAAAATGCATTGTATAAGGAAAAATGCTTGCAAATACTTGGATATTAATCAGAACTGCCTACAAAGGGGAAGTCCTATTGTAGTGGACTAGATATGCTATATTGGTATGGTTGTAAGTGGGATGGGGGGAGGGGAGGGGAGATAAATATGCTCTGTGTTCCTGTATTTGAAAATTCAATTCAAACCCCAAAACAGCTGCATGCAAAAAATATGGTTTTCAGGAGAAAATTGCACTAAAATACTGAGGAATTTTCTTTTTTTTTTTTAATTAACAGATGGCTGCAGAAATGTGGAGAACCAGATTAAAGATTAGAAAAATTGGAAATGGGGGAACCAAAATTGACAGATCCTTCTATCTCTATGGACATGGAAAGGATGGTCAGTTTCTTACCAAAAAAGACTGTTAAAATTCCCAAATATGAAAAGTAAAAGGCGCCACCCATCTTACGTGTGGTAAACATGAGAGGACTCTTTGTCCACATTTGACATAATTGCAGAATTCTGACTTCCCAAAATAATAGCACAGAAGAAAATGAGAGAAGGTAATAGAAATGCTCTTACCGCTAGTTTACTAGCGCCACCATTTCCAAGCATGTTCTGCAAAGGAAAGGAAAGGAAAGGAAAGGAAAGGAAAGGAAAGGTTTTTGATCTTCTCTTGGCTGATACACACTGGGCATCCCCACTACTCAATTTTAGACATACTGTGCAACAGTTGCTGTCTTCCCCAAGGTAGGAAATCGATATCTCTTGCTGTGATATGAAGCAGTATCTCCATCACCTCTGTTAGCCAGCAGTTTTGTTTGTTTCACAAAGAACAGTTTCATCCCATTGCTTTTCTTTGTTCCTTTTTTTCCTATTTTTTTAAAAAAACAACTGCCCTACACTAAATAAATAAATAAATAAATAAATAAATAAATAAATGCCTTCACACCATACCCTGGACACCAGGTAACTATCTCTGGGCAGACAGGCTTAGCTTCAACAAGGGAGCAACCTCATGTGATTTTAGCTGATGCAATTTTTAAAAAAATTATCCCAACTGCCTCCCACTAACCAATGGAAAGGACAGAAGAAGTAAATGGTGAAATTCTTACCATTAAGGCGCCACCGCCGCCCCCTCCAAGCATGGACATTAGACCCTACAAAGCAGGGGGAAAGCATTGACTGATCCACACATGACATGCACCCCAGCCTCCCACGCTCCAGTATTCTACTACTCCAACTTAGACATGCCATATATGCATTGCTCCATTCTCTTGAACTCAGCCATACTGTCATTTAATGTGCATAGGAAGCTTCCTGTATCTCCACAAATTCTCCATTGTCCATATGACATTCTCCTCTAAATCACTGCCTTCCCACACATACTCCTTACTCAATATAGATTTTTTTTTCCAGACCCAGAGTACTCCAAAAAGGAGAGGATATGGGAAAATCTGGACTGAGGGAGGGCAAAATGTGGGAAGGCAGTGATTTAGAGGAGAATGTGAGATAGGTTAGGCTGAGAGACTGTTACTGGCAATTTGTCATCCAGTGTGCTTCATGAGAGAATGGGGATTTGAACTCTAAACTCCCAGTTCATCATTCAAGCCACATCACCACTTTGGTACCGCGGTCTTCTGAGGGCTGCATGTTGCCTATGGTCCTGGGGGTTCCACGCATGTGCTCAGCATACTGACCAGGAGGGAGCATGAGTATGGTTTGGGGAGGGGTCGGCTAAACACATGGTTTCATGGTGGTTTCCCTCAACAAGCAAGTCATGTCCAGAATAAGGATGATGGTGACGATGCTTCAGATTGACATCTGACTTCATGGCAAGATCTGCCCTGCAATGAAAAAGGATTGTGCCTTACACCTCCACCACCTACCTCGCCATCACCTCCACCTCCAGCTAGCATAGGGACCATTGCCTACAAGGAAGTAAAAAGAAAGATCTTTACAGAAAGGCAGGTTACTCTAAGAATAGATGAAGAGTCAGTTGGATCATACCCCAGGCCTTTCAGGTCTATCATCCTGTTTTCGCATCAACCATGACTAAAATTAGACTGATTTGCCCATTTCTGGTTGTGATTTGCCCATATGGGACTTCCTGTGGAGGGCATCCCAGAGTTTTTGCTCCACCATTGAAAATTCTCTCTCTTCACACCCACCCGTTGAACTGTAGTTGGTTGTAGGACAATGGATGCTCAAAAGTGTCCTGGAGGAGGGAGATGCATGGAAGTCAGGTGCTTGAAGGCTTTGCAGGAAGCAAACCACTTTTAGTGCTTGTAGGAAGTTGGCTTGCGTCGGACTGACTCTCTTGGGGTGATGCTATTTGCCTCCCAATAAGAACATCCGCCATGTTGACTTCCGGGGTGGCGCCATCGGCAATGGCGGACTCCCTCTGAACTGGAGGGACTAGCTCCGCGTGAAACGGGTCTTCTCCGCTACGGCGAAGCAGGGACCCTTTTAAAAATCACAGGCGGATGAAGCCTGTGACCATGGGACTCGGCGGGCACCTTTAGCGCCCCCCCAACTCGCAAAGGAACCCATTAACGGGCTCCGAAGTGAAGAGGGGGAAGTGGCGCGGTGCTGTGAGTCAACTGCTATTTCCGTGGAGCGAAGCCGCATAGCCGTTGCCGGAGAGCGCTGCCTTTTTCCTGGGTCAATTTGGACTCTAAAATAAGCACCCGTGAGTACTTAAACTTTGAACAACTGGACCTTAAATAAGGACTTGCGAGCAGAAAGGAATTGGATTTAAAAATTTATTTTCAGTTTGGTACTGAACGGGAAGGTCTAAACAGGAAGTCAGCCTTCCGTTCTTTTGTAGACAGAATAAAGCAAAGACAACGTAAACTAGAGCTTAGAAAATCGTCTTTAAAGGATTGGATTTCATCATTTAAAATTGTGGAACCCCCCTTCGACAGCAGGAGAAGAAGGGGGATCTTTTTCGGACTGTTTAAAGTGAGTTTAAAGTAAAGTAACTTTCCACCGTCCTGACCCTGGAGCGGGGTGTCAGGACTGACGTTTGAAGCTCATTGACCAGAGACAAACGTTTTTGACAGATAGCTAAAGAAGAGAAACATAGTGATTCCACTGTTTCCTTTCGCATTTTAAAGGAACAAATACTGACAAAATATCTCAAAAAGGAAAACTTTGTTGCAAGGCTCAACAGCAGCAGCACCTCCTCCATTGGAATTCTGCCTCTTGCTAGGTCTGTGAAGCCCATTTGCAGGTGCTGAAACTGCTACAGATTACAATCATTCAGAATCAGAGGTCCTGTCCTATGTAGGACAACCTAATCAGAACCTCCATGTTGCATGCTATATCTCCAAATAACTAGTGCCCTACGGGAACAACGGCATGAGGAGATGCCCTTGATAGCGCAGTTGGTTAGAGGATAGTGCTGATAACAGTCAGTGTGAAGTTTTGATCGACAGTGGAAAATATGTGAAGCCCACCATGATTCCTGCACTGCAGGAGGTCTGACAGAACAGGCCCTCAGGATATGAACTTCCGACTTGACAATGAACTTGAAAAGCCAGATTTGGAAAGAAAGTTTGGCTTGGCTTGAAATGGGGGCTGGATTGACCCTATGGTGGGATGTTTGACTTTCAAATCTGGCAATGGGCCTGAGATGTTTGGGATTGGGGGCTCTTAATTTGGAGGTTTTGAACATGTTTTAAACATCACATGGAATTTAGTGTTGAATATGGAAAAGGCTGATCTGTCAAAGGGTCAAATATTGCCAGCTAGTTACCTGGCAGGAGACAGGGAAAATATTGCAAATATAGAAGAGCTGCGGAAGGACATGGAAGAGACTTGAGGGCCTTTGAAATATGTGTTGATTTGCTAAATGAGGAGATAGGACTGACAAGCCGTGATCAGGTGAATAATGCTCGACGAAGGGACCTGCAGTATTTCATGGATCTTTTTGAACTATTAGGACTGTTTACAAAGTGCCTGAATGTCAAAAATGTTGATGAACTACCAGCATCCGTAAAGATGCTAAGTCCTATGACAGAATATCATGGTCAGAGAATTGGAAGATAGACCTAATTTGAGTTTCACTGGGTAAGATAAGCAACACAGTTTAATGTAACGCCACAGAACTGAGCTATCAGAGGGCTTCCTGTTTCCTGTGCACTAGGGGGTAGACACCTCTCCCAACACCATGGGAGAGAGACAGACAGAGATAATGATGGGGGAATTTCATTATCTGCGTTCCTCTTTGGTTGGAAGAAGAACCAGGCTCTGATCTGCAGTTTGCCTGGCGGTCTGGCACTCGCTTCCCCATGGATGAAATTCTGACTTCCCAAAATAATAGCTCAGAGGAAAATGAAAGAAGGTAATAGAAATGCACTTACCGCTAGTTTACTAGCACCACCACCTCCAAGCATCTTCTGCAAAGGAAGGGAAAGGTTTTTGATCTTCTCTTGGATGATACACACTTGGCATCCCCACTACTCAATTTTAGACATACTGTGCAACAGTTGCTGTCTTCCCCAGGGTAGGAAATTGATATCTCTTGCCATGATGTGGACCAGAATCTTTTTCTTTTCTTATTTTTTAAAAAAACAACTGCCCTACACTTTATTTATTTATTTATTTATTTATTTAAAACTGCCTTCACATCATACCATGGACACCAGGTAACTATCTCTGGGCAGACCAGCTTAGCTTCAACAAGGGAGCAACCTCATGTGACATTGGTTGATGCAATTTTTTTTAAAAAATATATCCCAGTTGCCTCCCACCAACCAAAGGAAAGCACAGAAGAAAACGGGAGAAGGTGATGGAGAAATTCTTACCATTAAGCCGCCACCGCCACCACCTCCAAGCATGGACATTAGATCCTACAAAGGAGGGGGAAAGCATTGACTGATCCACACATGACATGCACCCCAACCTCCCACGCTCCACTATTCTACTACTCCAGCTTAGACATGCCATATATACATTTGCTCCATTCTCTTGAACTCAGCCATGCTGACATTTAATGTGCATAGGAAGCTTCCTGTATCTCCACGGATTCTCCATTGTCCATATGACATTCTCCTCTAAATCACTGCCTTCCCACACATACCCCTTACTCAATATAGATTTTTTTTTCAGACCAGGGGTACTCCAAAAAGGAGAGGATATGGGAAAATGTGGACTGAGAGAGAGGGATATGTGGGAAGGCAGTGATTTAGAGGAGAATGTGAGATAGGTTAGGCTGAGAGACTGTTACTGGCACATTGTCATCCAGTGTGCTTCATGAGAGAATGGGGATTTGAACTCTAAACTCTCAGGCCCTAGTTCATCACCACACTGACTGTTAAACTGATGGACAGGAGAGGGAAAGGGGAGGGGAGAAGGAGAGATCACCCTGTAATATTTATTTCATAGAATCATAGAACTGTAGAGTTGGAATCTACCCTGAGGGCCATCTATTCCAACCCCTTGCAAAGCAGGCATTCTGCTCACAGCCATTCCTGATTATTAACTGAATGGCCAGATAATGGTTCATATTGTTTCCTTTTGTTTTTGTGTGATTATCAGAAACTTTGGGCTTTTTTTCAATGGGGCAACTGAGATCCCCCCCCCCAAAAAAAGATTGTTGAGTGGACCACAGCTTAGTCATAGAGCATATGATTTGCATGCAGAAGCTTCCCATATTTGATCCTGGTCATCCCCACTGAAAGGCCCCTGAGAGCTGCTTCTGGTCAGAGTGGCCACCACAGTTCAAGATGAGGACAGCTTCCTTGGTTGCAAAAAAAATTCCCCACATGAAAATTGCTGCCTGTTGTAGTGACTGTAATGTGCTGTCCTCGTTGGTGCATGGATTCTTGTTGTATTTTACAGATATGCTGCTAGCCATCTGAATGTAGCTCACAGACCATGGCTTGAGAACCCCTAGGATGGAGTATCAGAGGTCAGATCTCAAATATCTTCTCAGGCATTGAACTTCCTGGATGATGCTGGGGCATCCAGTCTCTCTCTGCCAACTGACCATCTTTCTTGTAGGGTTGTTGTGAGAATAGAATGGGGGTGGTGGTTAGAAAATCCTATATTGGATGACCAAGAGCCTTAGTGTGTGTGAGATATATTTCTGTGCAGAGTGGAAACCGATGTGAGGTAACTGTTGCTGCCCACTCATTCAGGTTATGAACCTTAATCGTTTTAAAGGGGAGACACTGTAACTGAAATCTAGCTTTGCTTAACTTACCGGCATCCCGTCTTCATCTTCATCCCCGTCTCCATCACCCTGCAAAACAAAACAAAACAAAAGAAAAGAAAACAAAAGAAAACAAAAGAAAACAAAAGGCATTATTTTCATTTCTAAGATGTCTGGCCAGTTACAGAGATGCACTCAGGTGCAGAATGTCAGTGTCACTGTGCTAAGCATTCTGGGAAACAGGTGCCCTGTTGACCTCCAGAGTTTGGAGGACCCCTGGACAAGATAACTTCTGTGATTTCGCCTTCACAACGCTCAGGGAGCCCATCTTGTCACTGACATTACCACCAGCTCCTCCTCCAACTTCACCATTACTACCACCTACTGGCTTAACAGGCAGACAGCCAATGAGAAGAGAGGCAGTGGCACCTGTGGCCCAACCCTTTCACCACTACCGCTGTCTGGACCGGAGTGAGAGGCAAGTGATCAAGCAAATCGCAGCCATGAGAAGGAGAGAGGGGGACAGGTGTGTCTATTTCTTGTCAGGAGGGATGGGTGAATCTGTCAATTTCCCTTCTTCTCAGGTTTCTTATTTCTCTACTTTTAAAGTGGATTTCCCTACATGTTCACATCAGTTCATGCTTACAATTATTATTATTTTAAAAGTTAAACAACCCTCTTAGAAGACATCTGAAGGCAGCCCTGTTTAGGGCCGTTCTTAATGTTTGATGTTTCATCATTTTTATATTCTGTTGGGGGCCACCCAGAGTGACTGGGGAAACCCAACCAGATGTGTGGGGTACAAATACTTTATTTATTTATTTATTTATTTCTATTATTAATTATTAAAGGGCCTCCTGATAGTACAAATTTCTGTTTAGATACACATTTGTATGCATTGTTGCCTAGCATATACATTTTTTTAATAAATATTTTTTTTTAGTAAATAATTTCCCCCTAACACAATGCTATTTGTATGTTATTTATCACCAATATATGTATTATTATATACACTTTTCCCTGCAGCAGATGCATTTTGGTTCATGTTACCTGGCTGGAGAACTCCATTGCAAAATTCAGAGAGGAGCAAATTTTCAAGGATGGCTGTGTTTCAGTTCAAACATTGTTTTAGAAAGTGTGAATTAGGAAGCTTTGCCTTTAAATGAAAAGAATCAAACTTCTCCGTCCCTGTTTCTCCGTGAGCCCTGCTTATGACTGAGGCCTTGGCAGATGCCTGACCATATCAATCTTTGATACTGGTCCCGATTCCGTGTATCTGATTCATTGTCCATTGTCATCTGGGATACTTGCTGCGACAATGTTCCCCAAACCTCTGCATCCCACTTAGCAACACGCACTTCCCTGTTAAGGCTTACTCATGGATAGAAAAGGCATGCACATTTTGCATATTAATTACAAACATATGAATACCAATCAAAACAGAGGTCACATCACCTGGAAGGGACACATTCATGTATTTCTGACAACTTGAAAAATGTACCCTTTTCCTTACAACTCAATCTTTGAGGCCCAAGCTTTGAACCGATGCTCTTTTAAATTGAGCAAGGCCAATAGGTGGCAGAATCAACTGTCTTGTGCTAGTGCCAGTCCAAGTTTGTAAATGTGAGGAGTTTAGCAAACACTCCTCCCCAAATTGTGGCTAGACCCAGCTGCCTAGCACTTCTCAGGGCACTGCTGTGGCCCACGACCATCACATCACTGAGGGCAACTTGAAATTTGGAACTGGCCTAGTTCTCAACCGTTCTCTCAGGTTGAGTTTGCATGTTGTTGGGCCCACCCAAATCTGGTTTGAACCCTTATCCATCAACTGGCTCAAAAACATAAAGCCCATTCAGAGCTTCAGCACTGCAAGTAACATCACAAGAAATCCAGGACTTTAAGCACTCAACTGCAACATCTGCACCACGCACCTAAAGCACTAATATAGCACTTTGAACAGCCACAGCTTCCCCCAAAGTGTCGTCTGTTAAGGCTGCTGACAGGCCTGGCCCAACCCCAAAGTAGGTTGAAGGAATTGCCTCTCAGTGCTACAACTCTCAGGGTAGTTTAACAATTAATCTCTCTTCCCAAGGAATTCAGGGCATTGTAGCTGTGCGAGGGGAATAGCCGTCTCATAGCCACTTTCAGCACCCATAACAAACTACACTTCCCTGGAGAAGCAGACTTTAGTTTTTCAAATTTCAGTGGTGCCCCATTGGGGCCAAAATTTAGTGCCTGCTGCCTCTCACATCCTGCTCAATTTACAGCATCATAGTTGTGACGCCCTGTGGCACACTCTAGGCTTGGTGTCCAGTACGGTGGAACTGATTGCCCTGCCTAAATCCACCTCTGCTTCCCAGAATCCTTTGGGGGAACCCATGGCTATTCACTGTGGTATAATACCACTTGAAATCTGTGGTGCAATTGAAAAGCGATCCCAACCCATTGGATGCATTCTCTCTCTTACCCAAGCCTGTGTTGAGACTGCAAAAAGCAAAGCAGTCCATGCAAGGAACTGCATCATCATCTTCGCCTCTCCAAGATTCTTCCACACCTTGATGTTCCTGCAGTAGCAGTATTCAGTTCTGCAGCTACATTTAATACATGTGCCAGCAGGCCTGAGTGCCCAAACCCAATGCTGCTATTGTTATAGAATTTCTGCTCCCTTCCTGTCAAGGAAATGCGGCGGCATGGGTGTGTGTTGCATTGTGCCACGTAAAATGATTTCATTTGCCAGACTTGAAGAGAAGGAAAAGTGTTGTGTTGCTGCCTGCTTCGTATTGGGAGGTCAAACTTCTAAAAAACCAAACTAGTTACACTACCATAATGATGATCGAAGCAGAGCCATTTCGTTATAAGCATCCAGAAAACATTTTAATCATTCGGGATGCATGACTCTGCCAATTTCAGTTTCTCGTTTTTCCCCAGTCTTGGCCACTTCCACACCACACCACCTTTAACACAGTATCATACCACTTTGAACAGTCAGCACTTCCCTCCTGAAAGAATCCCAGGTGCTTATTTGGATATGAGTGCTGATAGTTGTTAAGAGGCCTCTATTTCCACCTCAGAGCTACACTTCTCAGAATGGTTTAGCCATCCATCCCTCTTCACAGGGAACTCTGCGAATTGTAGCTCTTTGAGGGGAACATAGGGGGGGGAATCCTAACAGCTCTCAGCACCCTTAACAAATTACAGCTCCCAGAATTCCTTGATGGAAGCCATGGCTATTTAAAGTCATATCATAGTGCAGGGACCAGCAAACTTTTTCAGCAGGGGGCTGGTCCACTGTCCCTCAGACCTTATGGGGGGCCAGACTATATTTTAAAGCGAAAAAATTATGCAAGAGCACCACAATCCCTGGTGGCTGCTTACCTGTGTCTTGCGAGCGGCAGGGGCTGGCGGCGGCTGGACAATGAGTGGCCCACAAAAGGGCTCCGGAGAGGGGTTGCTTAAAATGGTGGCCACTCAAGCGCTGCTGCTGCTGGCACCAACAAAGCCCAGCCCCCTTCCTCCTCTAGGCCGGGCAGGGAGAAGCTAGGAAGAGGGAGGGAGGAGGTGCCGCCGCCATGTGAGGTAGAGGGAGGGAGATGGAAAGAATGCCCATGCTGGTGATCCATGCGGCAATTCCTGGACTGTCCATGGGCCAGTTCCAGAAGGCAATTGGGCCTGATCCGACCCGCGGACCTTACTTTACCTACCCATGTCATAGTGCTTTAAATGTATGGTGTGAATGTGGCCTCAAATTCAGCAGCAATTTGCAAATTAAGAAGAAGAAAAACATCCCCATGAAAGTTCAGCAGCATTTTAGTGTACTGTATATTATTTTATACGCACTAGGGTTGTGCATGCCCTCACAGCCCGATCTGAGGCCTGATCTGGAACACTGAATTGGCCGTGACCCAGATCAGGCCCTGAATGAATCCTGCAGGTAAAGTTTCTATGAAGCAACACCTTGCAACAAGAAGGACTAATCTCTCCATTCATCAGCTGATGAACAGTTTCCATGATCCAGCATAGCTCTTCAGACTTACTAGCACTGACTCTTTTAAAAAAGTGGGGTGGGGTAGGATTTGGTAATGTAAGTTCTGTACCTGCAGTCAGGCTTAGAAGTGGCACAATCCAATATATCATTATAGGACTCTACCAACTCATTCCCATCTCATTCTGTTGCTTGTGTGGATGAGACCTATTCCGAAATTCCTTTAGTGGTGCCACCTTGAGTTCCATCAGGGGAAAAGATGGGGTATATATAAATATATAATGATAATGGTGGTCATTCAAGCTTCTGCTTCCACTTTGCCCTTGCCAAGAACCTAATGATTTTGGCTGATCCATCTGGCCCAGAGAAGGTGTGCCAAGTCTCTTTATCTAGGCACAACACTCTTTGAATCTGATGCCCTTTTTGCTGATAAGATTCATTTACCTTGGTCTCCCGTATCGGTGCTCAGCTCCCTTTTGCAAACAACAAAGAAACCATTCTGAGGTTGGTCCAAGAGTAGCAGAGTCCCTGTTGATTCAGAACAGCACTGTGATTTCATTAGCTGCTTCAGTGGAGATATTGCAGCAAGCTCATTCAAAGGGGCATCTGATGATGACAAAGTATGGTGATAAGCCAAGGATCATGAACTTCAAATCATGATAAGGCAAGGATATTGCTTTAATAAACCATAATACATATGTGATTCAAACACCAGGGGCTTGGTTAGGGGTGGCTCAGGAGGTTACCAGGAGACCCCAGAACTCCTGCCTTTCCCCCCTTTATTTTTATTTTTTAAACTTTGCTAATAGGGTAGTTGGCAAACTGCATCTTCATTTCCCACCATCTTAATTTCTCAGGTGCATGTAATAACAGCAGGGATGGGAAAATACCCCTGTTTCGATCCTCTCAGTTCTCATTTTCCCCTTACATTGTCACTTAGCAAACCTCACCGGCTCTGGGAGTGCATGAAGTTAATCCATTGCTAGAGCACTGAATAAGAATAATATGAGAATGTGGATTGTAACACTCCCAAGAAGGTGGTATGTACTCAGCCCTAGTTAACAACAAGGCAATCAGTTTGCTCATTGTTATTTGTACAGGTCTGGGAATTATGTCTGAGCTGCTTCTTCTGCTAAAAACTACAGGCGATTTATTCACAATTTTATCTATCAGGGTTAGAGAGAGAAAATGTTCCCATTAATACTTAAGATGAGCCTAACTGAGTCCCAGGGACGCGGGTGGCGCTGTGGGTTAAACCACAGAGCCTAGGACTTGCCAATCAGAAGGTTGGCAGTTCAAATCCCCGCGACGGGGTGAGCTCCCATTGCTCGGTCCCTGCTCCTGCCAACCTAGCAGTTCAAAAGCACGTCAAAGTGCAAGTAGATAAATAGGTACCGCTTCAGCAGGAAGGTAAACGGCGTTTCCGTGCGCTGCTCTGGTTCGCCAGAAGCGGCTTAGTCATGCTGGCCACATGACCCGGAAGCTATACGCCGGCTCCCTCGGCCAATAAAGCGAGATGAGCGCCGCAACCCCAGAGTCGGTCACAACTGGACCTAATGGTCAGGGGTCCCTTTACCTTTACCTAACTGAGTCCCATCTCCCAAAACAATACTAGAGGTGAAACACAGTAGTCTTTCAAGATTTGCTGTTCTCTGAATTTTCAAATGCAGTTCTCCGGCCAAGTAATACATTTTTTTCAAATGCCTATACAATGCGGAGTGTGCATAAAAATGCATCGAACAAGTGAAAATAGCATATGTTAGGGAAACCCGCTTTGCAAGAATGAGTTCATTAGGCTTTTTGCATACATATTTAATTTTAGGAGAAATTTGCACAAAAACACTAACAAATTTTCACAAGGACTTAAAATGCATTGCTAAATGAGAAACCAATAGAGTTCAGAATTGACAGCTTGGCCCAGCCCTAATCAAGGAAGATGTTATTAGAAAGTTTGTTGAATGACCTCAGCAGCTATGTACCTTCCAAAGGGTACAGCAAAAATCCAAAACAGACGTGGCTGTGTCCAGCATCCAGGCATTTTCCAGCACATCAAAGAAGTGGCAGATAATATTTCTGTGCCAGCTGCAGAAGTGCCAACAGCCATGGGATACCACGTCCAGTTGCCCTTTGCATCCTTCTTTTCCTTGGATGCAGCCATGTTGTTCCATACTGTGGTTAGGCTGATGCAATCCATCCCGTGACCTTTCCTTATTGATAAACCTATTATCCACACACCTTTTGACAATGGAAACATTGAGATTTGTACCCACTGAGCCTTCCCAAAGTGAGTATAAATGCTGGGGTTTGGAAAGGACGGTTTGCGCTTTGAGAAGTATCTCAAAGAGTGAAAAGAAGGAGACCGGCAAAATGAAGCTGCTGTATCCATTGGTTGTGTTCCTTTTTGTGGCAGTGTCTGTACAGAGCTTGGTAAGAGGGGAGTAATTCAGTGGGCTGGGTTTCATGCTAAAAACAAACATAGAAGCTTCCAGCTAAAGACTTGGTACAGATTAAACCAGTGTATGGATGTCAGCTTTCTGTGGCCCCTTTTCTGGCCTTGTGCAGCTCTCCCCTCTGTCTAGACCAGGAGTGGGGAAACTCTGGCTCTCCATATGTTGCTAACCAACAACTTCCATCAGCCCCAGCAAGCACGGCCAATGGCCAGGAATGATGGCAGTTGTTATTAAGTGCGTTGTCCTGGATTCCCACTGTATGTGCATACTCTGTGAAGGTTACCAGTATTGCTAGATTTGCTAGAGGTATTGCTAAAAAACAGAAAAGTTTTTTAAAGTGGGGGAGGGGCTCAGTGCAGGCCAATATTACATTAAAATGGATGGGTGGTACCCATTGTTAGCCATAGATGAGAGCCATTGAAATTTATGAACTTACATTTATTGATTGTGGTGGTTTAGTGATTTTAGTTTACAAAGTATGATTAGCATTGGATGTTTTACAAAATTCCAACAGGCACAGCTGATTGCTGCATAAAGGGACCAGCCTCTCTCTCCTTTATCATTTAGCTTCGGCTGTAGCAACTGCTATTTTGTCTAATAACTGCAGATGTTAACCAGCTTATCCCTCTTATACTGGTTGTTGAAATTTAAGCTTTTGGGGGGTTTATTATTAATTTGCTTACTGGCTTCAGTTTAGCATTCAGCATTGAGCCCAAAGCAACACAAGGCAACTTCCATGTTCTCAGCGTGCATTTCCAATGAAACCTATTGATCCATGTTGCCCTCATCCTGCCTTCTTTCTTTGTTGATTTGTACTTTTGGCTTCAACCCTCTTCCCATCCCTTTCCCATTATATTTCACTTTCCAGATCTATGATTTGGGGGAAGACATTTGCTCTTCTCCCCCCCCTTCCCCCACCCCGGTCATCTTTGTCACCATCTTCCTCTCTGATATAACACTGTTAAGTACACTCTTGGGGGGCTATGAATTAAATAATAAATAAACAACAATACAGGTGACAAATCCCTTTGAAATATGATTTTATTTGACAACCTCTGTAACTGTTAAGACCTTTTTTCCTTCAGTGTATAATGCAAGTTGTTTCTATGCCCCATTTTCAATTTTTAAATTTTACAATTGTATCAAGTTCATTTACTCCTGATTTTTTAAATCCTTCTTTTGACTTTATCATCAAAAGCCCCTCATGTTGCATTGATATTTATGTGTATGTTTTGTTTCTGTTTAGGAAAAATAAAGTGAAAAATAGATTTAAAAAAAAAGAGAAAAATAAAGTAATCTGAACACTGATGGCATTTTTCTCTTTCAGGGTTCTGTGGGCGGCGTAAGTGTCTCTTTTCTCTGTTTATGACATGTATGTGTGACATGCTGCACTGCTGGGGCCCCCAATCTTCAGCCCAAGGTGGCGTCTCTGAAAGGCATCTTGCTGAATGGGTAGTTCGTACCCACCAACCCTGGCCCTACCATTGCCTGGGTTATTTATTTGTTTGTTTAAAGGATTTTTATTCCACTCTTCAGCTAAAATTGGAACCCAGGTCACCCAAAAAAAGGGGGGGGAGGAATCCTGTCCCTCTGGCTTACAATTGAAAAGGAAACAAAATGGATTGGCACAGAGGAGGAAATCTGTAAACTGACCTGCAAGTTCTTCCAGTGACTCGCTAGACAGGGAAAAGTCAAAGAGACAGAATCAGAGGTGGCCTCCCAGCTGCAGCGATGGTGTGGTCCTGCCTCTCTTCTGCTCTCTCTGCTACTGCAGCCTGTGACATATTCATCCTTGTTGGTTTGTTTATTGCGTTTATATTCCCTCTTTTTTTCTCCAAGGAGCTCAGGTTGGTGTGCATAGTTCTCCCCTTCTCATTTAATCCCCAGAACAACTCAATGAATTAAGTTAGGTGGAGAGGCAGGGACTGGCCCAAGGTCACCCAATGAGTTTCATGGCTGAATGAGGATTTGAACCCTGGTCTCCCAGGTCCTAGTCCAACAATCTAACCACTCTGGCTCTCTCATCATCTTATCGTATATAACTCTGTTGAGCACTATGCAGACTGATGGCAATTTTCTCTTTCAGAAAGGCAAAGGTGGGCTGGATGTAAGTACCTGTGGTCTTTCTCTGTGGCTGCCAAATATGGACTATGCCAAACCCTTAATTTCCAGAAGAATGCTTTTGTTACTTCACTTTATTTATTCCACTCTTCAGCTAAAATTGGACCCTAGGTCACCCCCCAAAAGGGGGGGGGGATCCTCTCCTTCTGGCTTACAATTGAAAACAAAACAAAATGGATTGGCACAGAGGAGGAAACCTGTAAAATGAGCTGCAAGTTCTTCCAATGACTCGCTAGACAGGGATAGGTCAAAGAGACATAGAATCAGAGATGGCCTCCCAGCTGCAGCGATGGAGTGGTCCTACCTCTCTTCTGCTCTCTCTGCTAGTGCAGCCTGTGATATATTCATCCTTGTTTGTTTGTTTGTTGCATTTATATTCTCTTCCCCACCCCCAAGGTGCTCAAGTTTGTGTGCATAGTTCTCCCCTCCTCATTTATTCCCCAGAACAACTCAATGAATTAAGTCAGGTGGAGAGGCAGGGACTGGCCCAAGGTCACCCAATGAGTTTCATGGCTGAATGAGGATTTGAACCCTGGTCTCCCAGGTCCTAGTCCAACAATCTAACCACTCTGGCTCTCTCATCATCTTATCGTATATAACTCTGTTGAGCACTATGCAGACTGATGGCAATTTTCTCTTTCAGAAAGTCCAAGGTGGGCTAAAGGTAAGTAGCTGTGGTCCTTCTCTGTGGCTGCCAAATATGGACTATGCCAAACCCTTAATCTGCAGAAGAATGCTTTTGTTACTTTACTTTTTTTATTCCACTTTTTAGCTAAAATTGGTCCCCAGGTCACAAAAAATTGGGGGTCCTTTCCCTCTGGCTTACAATTGAAAACAAAACAAAATGGATTGGCACAGAGGAAGAAATCTGTAAATGAGCTGCAAGTTCTTCCAGTGTCTCACTAGACAGGGATAGGTCAAAGAGACACAGAATCAGAGGTGGCCTCCCAGCTGCAGTGATGGAGTGGTCGTGCCTCTCTTCTGCTCTCTCTGCTACTGCATCCTGTGACATATTCATCCTTGTTTGTTTGTTTGTTGCATTTATACTCTCTCTTTTTTTTCTCCAAGGAGCTCAAGTTGGTGTGCGTAGTTCTCCTTTCCTCATTTAATCCCCACAAAAATTCAATGAATTAAGTTAGATGGAGAGGGAGGGACTGGCCCAAGGTCATTCATGACAGAATGAGGATTTGAACCCTGGTCTCCCAGGTCCTAGTCCTAGTACAACAATCTAACTACTCTGACTCTCTCATCAGCTTCTTTTATATAACTCTGTTGGGCACTATGCAGACTGATGGCAATTTTCTCTTTCAGAAAGGCAAGGATAAGCTGCATGTAAGTAGCTGTGGTCCTTCTCTGTGGCTGCCAAATATGGACTATGCCAAACCCTTAATCTGCAAAAGAATGCTTTCGTTACTTCACTTGCTTTTAATTGTGCTGCTGTGGATTTGTTTTTTATAGTCACCAAGATTAAGGAGGAGGGAGATCTATCTGTGTAGTGAAAGAGTGAATTCACAGTGATTTATTAGTGAGACAAAAGCCCTTCAAATCTTGTTGAACTGCATCATGCATCAACCTCAGCCAACATAGATAATAGTGAAGGCTGATGGGAGTTGTAGGTCAACATAATCTGGAGGGTCAGGTGTTTCCCACTCCTCCTAAGCTCTCCCACATGGGTTGAAAAGCTGCCATTCATTGCTATGTGGGAAAACAAAGCATAAACCTGCCTACCAGGCCCGACACAGAGTAATTGGGCCCTACCTTTGCTCAGTTTATTATTTACATTAAAAAAGAACTCTATTTTATCTCTAAAAGTGACTCCCAGAGAACTAATTTCAAGAAGAAAAAACAAAAGAGAACCACTGCCTTCAGGCTTACAATTCAAAAAGACAGGGAAATTCAAATGGGAGCCAGCCCTGATCTGAGGTTTCGTCAGTGTACACCAGCACTGCCTTGGTGTCTAGATCTGCAAGCCACCACTTTGATTTCCCCAAATGATGGAGTGTCACTGCAAGGCATCATGGGGAAACTCCAATGCCTGCCTAAAACTCTTACGATAACCGCTGCTATAGGCAGGATTCTGCTGCTTTCCTAGGGGCTACCTCAAAATGGCAGCCTGCCCTGGTCTCAGGTTGTGTCAGCGCACAAGATTTCATGTAACAAATGAGCCTTCCATGCTCAAGGATGAAATTTCCATGTCCATTCAAACCCCAGTGACCCAGAGCATCCTCCAGGAGAATCTTTTGTGTACCCAAGGTTTGTTGATGGAAAAGCAGAATTGAGTCACCCTTGTTTTATTTTTCATTCCTCAGAAACATGTGCAGAGCAAAAGAGATCTTGTGAGTATATTGTAATGCATCACATTGGCAACGCACAAACATACATACACATACTGTTGGGATTTTTGACTACGTGCCATTCTGTGCAGCTTCACACAGAATCAATTAAGAGTTGGCCGAAGGCCAAGGATGACTGAGCAGAGAGGAGTTATCTAACTGGAGATATAGGACCTTGGATATAGCTCTACCATTGGCTGATGTCTCACACAGGCATGATGACTTATGATCTTACTGACTGAAGTGTTTGTTGGTCAGTGTGGAGTTCTGAGAATCGTTTGGAGTTTGTCAGAGAGGGCTAGTTAAGATCCATATCTGTATCTGTTCTTGTGTATAGTAACTTGTAGAGCCTGCTGTAAATAATAAACACCTCTAAGTAACCAAGTTACTAGTAACAGCATTTTGTTCCTGCTTCGTCCATCCTGCCTGCAACTGATTGCTTTCTGGAACTCTGTGTATGCTCTGCTAAGGTCTGGCTAAGGTCCTGCAACAGGTCAAAGTTGTGAGACACCAATACATACACACACACACACACAAACACACACCCCACTACAGGAACAGCCCGATCCTCCTCAAGTGCAGCCCCTCTAATGACTACTATAGTCACTATGACAAGGACTGGCAGATCTAAGCAGTCCTTCTCTTATATAACCCTATTGTACATTATGCCGTAATAATAATAATAATAATAATAATAATAATAATACTGCAGATAAAAATAAATGACTCTCAAGATTGCTGGCATTTTTCTCTTTCAGGAGGCTTTGGATGACGATGTGGATGTAAGTATGTGCATTCTCTGTGACATGTAAGGACCACAACAGGGTCAAGAAACTTAATTTGCAGAAATACTCTCTTGTTGGTTCCCTGCCCCCCTCTAATTAAGCTTCAGAGGCATTACTTAAAATTCCACAGATGGAGGCAGCATTTCTTCTGAATACATTCTATGCCGGAATGCACAGAAGAGGAGAGGGGTCTTGGACTCAAATCTTGCTTGTGCGTTTCCTGCAGGTTTCTGGTTGGTTATTGTGAGAATAGGCTAGATAGGACACCAGACTCTATCCATGTAATAAGAGAGTAAATGCGCACTGCACTATAACTGAGATGAAGAAGAAATACCCAGGGTGGACTGTGCCAATAGGCCTAGAATTCTGAAAAAGGAGTGTGAAGTTGGAACACAGCCTAGGGAGCAAAACATGCTCATTACTTCTAGGTGCACCTGAGCCAGGGCTCAGATACTGACCTTGCAATGGCCATATCCCACCTTCCTGGGTCCAGTGCTGCCTGAGGGACGGGCATTAGTGTACCCCTTTCTTTTCTTTTCTTTTCTTTTCTTTTCTTTTCTTTTCTTTTCTTTTCTTTTCTTTTCTTTTGGCCATATCATTTTTATTAATTTTACAATATTGCTTTCCATTACAATTTCTCCTCTTATATTTTACAATTTGGCTTTTTGGGGCCATGACTTCCTTCAAACCTTCCTTATGATTTTCTACCTTTCATTTCAAATTTCTGCATTTTCACTACTTAACCATTGCTTTCAAATCAAAAACATCAAAGCACCATATTTTCTTATTCTTCTCTGCGGTGATTTTTATACCTTTCCTTACAAAGCTTCTTGAAATCCTACCAATGTGTTTGATTGACTACAATTGTCTTTCAAACAATTTACAAATTTAGTCCAGTCCTTGATGAACTTCTGGTCCCACTGTTCTCGGATTCTTCCCTTCATTTTGGCCAGTTCCACATTCGCCATTAACTTCAATTGCCATTCTTCCTTTGTCAGTAATTCCTCTTGTTTCCACTTCTGTGCTAATAAAATTCTTGCTGTGGTTGTTGCATATAGGAAAAGCTTAGTATCTTGTCTGTTAAGTAGTGTACCTCTTTCTTGCACCTTGCCTTTCTTCATTTGAGGCCCTTGCCACCACCAAATAAGAGATCAATTAATTCCCAGGTTGCCTCTCATCAAACAGCCTCCAAAACTTTCCCAAGGTCTCTTTAAAGCCTTTTTTAGGTAGCCAAGATGTAGACTGTCTACAGTAAGCTAAGGTCACACAGCTTTATGAAACGTAAATCCACTGGGGCAAGGAAATCATGGTGTTTGACTCTGGTAGCCACTATGGGGACTGACGGTCATTTTCTTTTTCAGAATCTCCAGGAGGAAGTACTTGAGGTGAGTATCTGTGGGGCTTTCTGTGTTTGCGTCCTATATAACGGATTAGAGTAGCACCAAAAGGCTCAGGAGCAGAATAACACATTGGTTTGTTCTCTTCCCTTAATTGGGTTACCACAGAATATTTAAAAGTCATTGAGGAAAAGAAGGAGGAAGAGCATTTATCCATAGAAAGGAAGGCTGAACTGACAGAACTGAGAAGAGGAAACTTCAGTTCCCAGGATACTCTGGGGGAAGTCATGTGCTTTAAATCTAGGGTGTGAAACTGCCCTAGGTTATTAAGAGCATTCCTTGTCTCAGGTGGGTTTCCACAGTGATCAGCTGTGGCGATCCATTGAGTTTGATATATGCTTCTGCCAAGGGCCAGCCCAACCACTAGGCAAGGTGAGGTGACAGCCTTGGGCAGCAGAATCCACAGGGACAGAAGGTCTGGCATCCAAGGAATGCACTGTCTGCTGGTGACACTGAGAGCCCCACCCCCGCAGTGGCCTCAGATTCCCACTTCAGTTGTTGGGTGTAGTTTATTTTATTCCTCCCCTTGCTCCCAATGTGGATCTTCACTTACCCCTCCTTCCCTGGTGGGGAGGAGAGAATTTTGCAGATTGCCCAGACACCAAAACATCTTAGACCAGCCCTGCTTGTGCCCCTTTGTCACTGCCACCAGCTGTAGACCTATGATGTGCAAGCTCCTGGGGGGCAGAGGCCAGCACCCCCTTTTCCTCTTGTCATTTTCATCCTCACCTTCCTCTGTCATATAACTGCATTAAGCACTATATACATTGTCTGCAATTTTCTCTTTCAGGATGCGGTCGATCCATTGGTAGTAGTAAGTATCTGTGAGCTTTCTCTGTTTGTGTCATGAATGGACTGCAATGGTGTAAAAACAAAAATAACTGGCAGAGGAACTCTTTTGTGGTTCCCTTGAATTCTGCTTCCATGGAATTTTTTAAAAGCCAACAGATGAAAGGAGGAGGAAGAACATCCAGCCGTATAATGGAAGAGTGAATTCGCACTGTTCTGTTAGTAAGACACAAAAGAACCCAGGGTGGATCTGTGCCAATCTGCCTGGCATCCTGAAAAAGGAGTGTAACCCTGAACACAGTTGAGCAATGGGGAAAGAGGACCATTAGTCCAAAGTGCATATTGGCTCAATGTAGTATTATACAAGTTATCCTTTAATTGGTGGAGTAAAGGACCTAATTTCCGCTCCATAATTCCAAAGGAGGCAATCCACAGGCATTAATACAGCACCATCCTGTGGGAGCCAGCACTGCCTTGATGTCTGGATCTGCAAGCCACCATTTTAATTTCCCACAATGTCCAGCATGCAGGATTTGACATAACAAAGGCCTTTCGACCTCAAGGATGGGATTTTCATGCCCAGTGACTCAGAACATCTGCCAAGAGAGTCTTGCCTGTCTGCAAGGTTGTAGATGGAAAAGCAGGATTGCTTTATTTTTCATCCCTCAGAACCCCCTTTCGCTGGTAAAAAGAGATCTTGTGAACATGTTGTAATGCGGCACATTGGTAAATGACACACACCTGCACAGGTACAGCCCAATTTTCCTCCTCAAGTGTAGCACCCCTAGTGACTACCAAAAGGGCTGGCAGATCTAAGGCGTCCTTCCTGTTATCCCTCTCATCATAGTCTTCTCTTACATAATCCCATTGTGCATTATGCCAAGTGAAAGCCATTTTCTCTTTCAAAATGTCAAATATGTGGTTGACTCAATGACAGTACATATCTGTGGGCTGTTTATTTTTCTTACTCTGTCTCCTAGTGCCCACTATTCTGGGGCATTGTGGGAACGTGTAAGGACAGCTTCCAGTGGAGATCTGGAGCATTATAGGGAATGTAAAGGTTTCTATTTATATGCCACTCAACCTACAAAATCCTTAGGCATCAGCAACACTAAGAAATGAGAATAGGGTGGTTCCACTGTAGCTTGATGTTCTCCAGGGCAGCAGGTGGCATCTGCCGAAGACAAGCTAAGCCAGGTCAAAGCAGAAGGTAGGCAAAAGCAGGACCTTGGACAGTTCCCAATAACCCAACTGGTTGAAACTACCTGGAATGGGAATAAAATGCTAACATGGCCATTGGACCACGAGAGGCAGGGAGAGGTTTGTTAGGCTGTGGAGGGGTGTTGGGGTTTGGAAGTTTGGTTGACTGGGGAGGAGAGTGTCCTATTTTGAGATTCTTTGCCTTGATCGACAAAGGGAGGATCAGGTTGCTATTATGACATTTTTGTCTGGACACAGCTGCTTTCATATTCAGATCCCCAAAACAGCGAAAATTTGAATTTTAATATTCCCCAAGGCTAGGGATGGGGAAGCTACAATGCTCCAAGTGTTGTTGGTCACCTACAACTCCCACCTCCCCTGACTATTTGCCACGCTGGTGGGGGCTGAGGGAATTTGAAGTCCAACGTCTCAAGCACCACAGGTTCCAGTGCAGGAAATGTGTGCAGGAAATTATGGCTATAACATAAAAGAGGCATTCAAAAATATGTACCTTACTGTTGAATCATAGACTCATAGAGTCATCCAGTTGGAAGGGAACCCAGGGGTCTAGTCCAACCCCCTGCTGTGCAGGAATCTCAACTAGATCATACCAGACAGATGGCCATCCAACCTCTGCTTATATACCCTTGGAGGAGAGTCCACCACCTTCCGAGGGAGTCTGTTCCACTGTTGAACAGCTCTTACTATCAGAAAGTTGTTGAATGCATTGAATGTGTTGAGAGGAGGGTGTTTTTATGTTCTTAAGAAACTTCATATAAAATGTATACAATTAAATGCAGACTTCTAATGCGTTCCTTTGAAACATCAAGACAGGATGGGAACAGACCTGTGATCCAGGAATGATGAACCAGGAACGATGGACCAAATCAGCTGCCCATTCCATCCTTAATAGTAATTGTTCTTTGCTTCCTAGACTGAAGAAGAGGTAGCTCAGCCTGAAAGTGGCAACGGTCACGGCAGAGGCCATGGCAGAGGCAAAGGCAAAGGCAAAGACAAAGGCAAAGGCCGTCACCATGACCATCACCATGGCCATGGCAAAGGTGAAGGCAGAGGCCATCACCATGGCCATGGCAAAGGCAAAGGCAAAAAGAATGAGGTGAGAAATGAGGGCACATTTTTATGGATCGCTCTTTCCTACCTTTCCTTCTGATCCTTGGCTTTTGGGGCTCTCTTCTGGCTACCCAGGTGCAGTCATAGGTCACTCACATGCTGCTGGCCAGGGAGGAAATGCAGCCCCACCAAACAGAACAAAAGAAGTAACAAAATGGGCATTCAAATGTGTGCATGCAAAACGTAATGGGTGGCTTCAAACCACAGTCACTGTTCTGCAAGCCCATCTTATTGATTATCTTTAGAAGGGGCTTGGACCAGACAACCCTGCAAGCAGAGGACTGCTTTGAATCAGTGGCATAGCATTGGGGAGCCCAGGGGCAGTCACCCCAGACACAAAATTGTTAGGGGTGCAAAATTTCAACACCCAGTGCTGCCTCAATACAGCTACACACTTTCACAGCTGGGCTCTGTTGAAAACAGCTTCTCCATGAAAAGCAGGAAGTGACTTCTCCAGACAATGGAATGGCTCATCTTTTCTTATCTCTGCAGCTTCAATTTCTTGGATGACACGGACATTGTTAGGCAGTTGAATGCACAAGGGCACCCCATCCATTTCCCTCCCACCCCAGCTCCGTGTGGCCCTGGGGACTAGCAACCCATGTTATGCCACTGCTTTGACTATTAATTCCATAAGGGCTAACTTCTGTAAAGTCACACGGACACCTGACTGCTGGCTTGAGGCTCTCCTCTGATCTAGGGGGAGATCATGCCAGAAAGTGGTGCTCCCACTCTATAAAGTTAAAAGCATTTCTTTTATCTTAATAAACATACACTTGCAGCTATGCCACAATCAGACTCTGGTGCTACCATCAGGAAGCAGTTGTGGAAAAATGACTGCCTCTTTTGTGGTGGTAATAGAGCAATAGGTGCTTGAAACTGGTAGATGGGTTTAGCACTGCTCAGGCTGAATTGTATTTGTTTTGAATGTGTTTCATCAACCACTTTGAACATCTCCATTTGGAGAGGAGAATGGGAGTTAGTGCAAGTTTACTGAGAAGTAAATATATCGGAAAGTCAGTAGTTCGAATCCCCGCAACGGGGTGAGCTCCCGTTGTTCAGTCCCAGCTCCTGCCAACCTAGCAGTTCAAAAGCACACCAAAGTGCAAGTAGATAAATAGGTACCACTCTGGCGGGGAGGTAAATGGCGTTTCCATGTGCTGCTCAGGTTTCGCCAGAAGCGGCTTAGTCATGCTGGCCACATGACCCAGAAAAACTGTCTGTGGACAAATGTCGGCTCCCTCGGCCAGTAAAGTGAGATGAGCGCCGCAACCCCAGAGTTCGCGACTGGGCTTAACTGTCAGGGGTCCTTTACCTTTAAATATATAATAGGGTTTCCGTATTCCGTATTCCTAAAAGTGAAAATCCGGACAAAGTTGTTGAGCTCCCCCCATGTTGTTGAGGACGTATGGCAACCCTACATCTGTTGAGCAGCTTGGGGGGGGGGGGAGATTGTTCAGCTGGTGACTACTAGAGGCTTCTTAATTATTTTAAAATGAGAAATTGTAAGAGACCAGTAGGCCCCTCAATGAACTCTTAGTTATTTTTTAAAAATTAATTTTCAAGTCTGCATGACCAGAGATAAGGATGAGGATGTAATAAAACTTGTGTTCTCTCTTTAGGTGGAACCAGTAAATGAAAATGAGGAGTAAGCAGAAAGGACCCCACCACCTGTAAGTTCTCTAATACAGATTATCTGCTTAAAATAAAAATAAATCCAGCAGCCTTCAATGTTAAACCCAGCTTAATTGTATTTTAACAAACTTGCGTATTGACATTAAGACATCATCCTTTCTCCCTAGAGCATCAAAGGAACGGCGGATCTATGGGGCAGAATTCTTAGCACTAAACTACAGTTCTCAGGATTTGAGCATCGTTTTGTGAGACACTGGGAGCTATGACTGTTAAATGAGTACAGAGCCAGTGTGTACTACATATTTGTGTTTTGTGTGTCTTCCTTTCTTCTATCATGGGGGCAGGGTGTGTGTGTGGCAGCACAGTTGGTGTTCCTATGGGAACAGCCAAAGAATGACTCTTATCACCAGAAATGGCTTCTGTTGCAGATGAGGCAAACCTGAAAGGCTGCATAAAATGCTGCTCTCTAGGATTCGAGTTACTACATCATATTCTCTGTTCTTTGCACCCTCCCCAGTTTTGCCCACAACAGTCACTCTGAATCATGTACCCCCTGACCATGAGCAAAGTTATTGGTCCATTTCCCCTTTAGGGTCTTTCTCCCCTAAGGTTTTATGTACCTTTGAAAACACTCAAGAGTTTCCCAAGTCTGCTGATTCCTTCTTCTTGCACGTGGGTTACATAAGCAACAGCACTCAGAGCCCGAAAACTGGAAATGAACAGAAGGATGATGTGTGTATTCTAGCAAATGGCTCCTAAACATGATTCATGCTGACAGTCCCAGATCAACCATGAATGAGAAACCTTTTGCCCACGTTTCGTGAAATTTATACACTGCTTGATTGTAAAAACACACACATCTCAAAGCAGTTTACAAAGAGAGAAAAAAACTATAAAATTATCTGCAAAAACAGTTGAAAGCAAGTATTTAAAACATAAATAATAAAATCAGCTATAAACGAAAAGGAAATTAAGACATACATCAATGTTGCATGTGTCTGGGTAGGCTTGTCTAAACAAAAATGTTTGTAGCAGACACTAAAAAGAGGGCAGTAAATGAGCAGTGGATATCATGTGACACTCATAACAGTGCCAGTCCCACAGATCAAAGGGGCTGAGTGGGAATATACAAGGTAAGGCAATCTTGAAGGTAAACCAGTCCCAAGTTGTTAAATGTTTTATATATTAATAGAAACAACTTGAACTTGGTCTAGTAGCAAACCGTCAACAAGTGCAGATCTCTGAGAACAGAGATTTATTTGCACAACTCTCAGCTTGCTGCTTTTTCTCTCTTTTCAGCATTCACTTAAATCTAAAGCAAGAATTGGCCACTGGACCGGCTATCCTGCTCCCTGCTAATCAAAGACAACAAATTGCATCATGAAACAACCAGAGTTGCCGTGGTGATGGTGATCATCAGTTGCTCATGAATGGTTTTTGTTCTGTCTTGTCTGCTGGGTTGAGGAAAGCTTCAAAACAATAAAAATTAGCAAGTATCCAATTTCCAATGTGTGGGGTCTGTTTATTTGGCACAACTGTATGAATATGGCCAAAGAAGTCCTCAGCAACAGAAATGCTTGTGCTCCCACCGTAGGCATTTGTGATGAGCCAAGGTGGGATGGAGAACCAAATCTCTTGAACCGAATCTCCTGGAGGCAACTGAGCAATGACAACCAGGAAATCATCCACTTACAGTCCTGGGTTTGGCATTTCTGAAGACCAAATGTTTGCTTCTGACTGTATGTGTCCCCACAGAACAGGAATGGGGGAGCCTTTATCAGAGATACAGTTCCCCATGGACAACCTTCCAAGCTAGTAGCCATTGACAGGCTGATGCACCATGAATTTGTTCAGCCCTCTTTTACAGCCCTCTAAGTTGGTGGTCATCACTGCCACCCGTGGAAATGAGTTCCATAGTTTAACTATGCTTTTGTGGCACAGAGCACCCTCCTATGACAGGGAGGCACAGGTCTGTAAAATAATAATAATAATAATAATAATAATAATAATAATAATAATAATAATAATTTTATTTATATCCCGCCCACCCCAGCCGAAGCCGGGCTCAGAGCAGCTAACAACAGTAAAATGATAAAACATTATAAAATCATTTCATTATAAAATTAATTCCAGTCAGATTAATGGCAAACATTGGGCTAGAGTTCTGTGAGGATTGCCAAAGGAGGGAGTCAGGCTGTGCCCTGACCAAAGGCCTGGTGGAACAGCTCTGTCTTGCAAGCCTTGCAGAAAGATGTCAAGTCCCGCAGGGCCCTAGTCTCTTGTGACAGAGCGTTCCACCAGATCAGAGCCACAGCCAAAAAAGTCCTGGCTCTAGTTGAGGCCAGCCTGACCTCTCTGTGACCTGTGACCTTCAAGATGTTTTTATTTGAAGACCGTAAATTCCTCTGTGGGACATACCAGGAGAGGCAGTCCCGTAGTTACGAGGGTCCTAGGCCGTATAGGGCTTTAAAGGTTAAAACCAGCACCTTAAACCTGACCCTGTACTCCACCGGGAGCCAGTGCAGCTGGTATAGCACCGGGTGAATGTGATCTCACAGCGAGGACCCCGTAAGGAGTCTCGCCGAGGCATTCTGCACCCATTGGAGTTCTGGGTCATTCTCAAGGGCAGCCCCACGTAGAGCGAGTTACAATAATCTAGTCTGGAGGTGACCATCGCGTGGATCACAGTGGCTAGGTCAGGGCGAGAGAGCTAAGGAGCCAACTGCTTAGCTTGGCGGAGATAAAAAAATGCCGCCTTTGTTATAGCTGCAATCTGCACCTCCATCGAAAGGGAGGTGTCGAAGATTACACCCAAACTCTTAACGGACGGTGATGGCACTAATTGCGCAAGAGATGGGAGTTGCCCCCCCAATCCCATATCGCATATCGTCCCAACCCAGCCAAAGGACCTCTGTCTTCGAAGGATTTAACTTCAACCAGCTCCCATGTAACCATCCCGCCACAGCTTCCAAACATCTGATCAGTGTGTCTGGGGCCGAGTCAGGATGGCCATCCACCAACAGATAGAGTTGGGTGTCATCAGCATACTGATGGCAGCCCAACCCAAAACTCCGGACAAGCTGGGCGAGGGGGTGCATAAAGATGTTGAAAAGCATCGTGGTGGTGGTGCCCCTGTGTCCTCTTGGTCACTTCCTTCCTCACTGTGTTTCCTGGAGTATTTGGAGAAGACATGAGTCTTCTCATCAGGCTTTGTTTGAGTGCTTCCCGCAACAACAGAACTGTGCCTCTCCACTTCCTAAAGTGTGATGAGGCCCTCAGTGGGGCAGAGAAAGCCATCTCTGAGGCACTTCCTGTTATTCCTTCCTGCGATCTAGGACTGAGGTTCTGATAAAGCACCAGTATGGAGAAAGGGCTCGACAGCAGCAGCACCTCCTTCATTGGAATTCTGCCTCTTGCTAGATCTGTGAAGCCCATTCGCAGGTGCTGAAACTGCACTTACCCATTCAGAATCAAGGTCCTGTCCTATGTAACAACCTAATAGAACCTCCATGTTCAGTGATGCTATATCTCCAAATAACTAGTGCTGGGGGAACAACGGTGGAGGAGAGCCCTTAGATAGCTCAGTTGGTTAGAGGATAGTGCTGATAACATCAAGGTTGCAGGTTCGATCCCTGAATGTGAAGCCTGCATATTCCTGCACTGCAGGGGGTTGGACTAAATGATCCTCAGGATACCTTCCAACTTGACAATTCTATTAAATGGATCTAGATCTCCAGCACTTATATTGTTGAAGCTGTTGTCACTAACTGAGTTGCCACCAAAGCTCTGCGGCTCCCCACCTCTTTGAATGGGAAGGGAAATATTGTTTACAGAGCGTCTGGTAAACTGACAGACTACAGGCCTTTTTGAAATATGTGTTGATTTGCTAAAGAGGAGTAGGCAAGCATTCAGGTGAATAATCCCGCAAGGGACCCAAACAGGGATCTTTGAATATGAAAGCTGCAGTGCCTAAGTCAAAATGTTACACCCAGCATCCTGATCTGTCCTATGCAGATTCAGGCAGAGTGGAAACCTAATTGATTTCACTGGGTGAAAGCACACAGTATTCGCCACAGAACTGAGCTATCAGAGGGCTTCCTGTTTCCTGTGCACTAGGGGGTAGACACCTCTCCCAACACCATGGGAGAGAGACAGACAGAGATAATGATGGGGGAATTTCATTATCTGCATTCCTCTTTGGTTGGAAGAAGAACCAGGCTCTGATCTGCAGTTTGCCCGGTGGTCTGGCACTCGCTTCCCCATGGAATGCAAGGGCAGGCAAAGGCACTGGGTGCACACAACACTCTGGCGGTTGCGATCCCCACTCCCACCCCAATCCCATTCCTGGAAGCACAGGTTATCCTGTTAATTGGATTTTAATTGGAGTAAACTAAAGACCCGTGCCAGAGAAAATGAGATAAGAAACTGGGAAAACAACCCAGCTACAAGGATATGAAAGGTTCGGATTGAGAGCAGATTTCATTCGGTCGAAAAGATGATGGGGGGAGGGGAGCCCACAGTTTGCTTACTTAAGGTTTTTCTCTGCATTTATGATATAGCAACTCCCCCCCCCCCCGAATGCAAGTTTTATTTCAAAATATCTGCACAAGTGAGGATGGAAGAAATTGTAATATAATATGGAATTTAACAAAATTGGAACTGTTTGTGTGTGAGAGAGGAACTGAGAGGGGAGGGGGGAATAAATGCCATGCTTTGAAAATATAGAGCAAAATCCTCCCTAACCATCTATTATCCACAAAGGAATGTGTTTGAGATAAAGATAAATGGCCATGAATCAGCATCAAGGTGGAAAGGAGTCTACCAGCTGTGAGAATAGAAAATTTTGGATTAACAATCTGCAGTCTGGATTCAGACTGTTCTTCCTAGGCTGGGAAAAATGGCGGAGATGGCTTGTTTACTGGAAGCTGAATCATGGGATGAAGCGATGCAGTGACCTTTGGAAACTCTGGGATAACTGCTTCTCCCGAAACATGACAGGAACCATCAACAGCTGCAGGAATAAAGGATGTAACACCATATATGTGTTACGATATTGAAGCAATGCAGCCGCGAGCTGCTGGTAGCTTGAAAGCAAAACATAATGGGAATGTTGGGACTGTCCCGTGGGAAACAGAGGGGCAGTCTATTCACAGTGCGAAGCATCGGAATTAGCTCAGAGTGTAATATGAGCTGTACAGGAAGTACAGCATGTTTTTGTTCTCTCTCGACTGCTGGAGCTTGAAGAGAGCAGTCATGTTTTTTGTAACGCTGCAAAGACAGAAATAAAGGCATGTAAATACGTTTCTATCTAGCTCTTTTCCCTGCCCGGGGGGGGGGGCAGGAAAGAGGGGGGGTGTTCTTCTCACGCTGAGAAGGATCGCCTATTGCGACCTAGCCTGTATCCTGCTGGGGAATGCAGACAGGGAGGTCAACAGGAGATCAAGCCGGGTGCCTGGAGAGTGGCCAGTTTCTCCTGATAAAGGCTTGATTTCCAACATCTGGTAGCACGGGGCCGATGGTTTCGATCCATGAAAGCAACAAGAGAGGTTGATGGATCGTACTTCATCCTCTGCAAGGAGATAAAGAAAGAATGTGGTAGCGGGCGGATGGAAGCTACAAGGACGGCTGAGCACCGGAGGAGGTGTTTTTGCTGAGCAACGGATTCCCTCAAGGTATGGTGATTTTATGGCTGTGAGACTGAACGCGAATTGAAGCATTCTTCGGTTCACTGAGTGTCTGCTTTTGGATGCAAACAGCACTGAAAGAGAGCCACATTCTTCGCATTCCTGAGTCTTGATAAGCCTGGAATGTCCAGTTGCTAAGCAACGAAATGTCAGTAAAGAGGAAATTTACTAGCCAAGGGAAGAGGGGCTGGGAATGTAAAAGGCTGGAAAAACACTGGTAAAAATTCCAGCGTTTGTTTTGTCTATGATCTTACTGCTCTTGGAGGGACTTTAAAAACAGCCTGCGTTTAGCTGCCAAGTGAGGCAGTAAACAGCCAATAGACTTTTGGAGTTTACAGGCTCGAGAGTGAGAGCTGAGGCTTGGATTCAAAATGGATATCAAGAAGGGGGGAGGCTTACCTTACCCACCTCCACTGACTAATGACAATTATTCCTCATGGTCTGTAAAGATGAAAGCCCTGCTTCAGAATCAGAGGATTTTTGGGGTGATTGATAACCCCATCCCTGCTGCACCAACGCCAGGTTGGAATTCACAGAATGTGAGAGCCAGGACGACCATAACTCTGTGTATCTCAGATGATCAACTCGTGCATATTCAGGATTTGGAATACGCGCGTGAGATTTGGCAAACACTGCGTAGAATACATAAAAGAGATGCTGGTTCTTCAGCGTTGCTGCATTTTGAAAAGCTGACCAATCTAAGGCTAGCGCCTGATGGAGATGTACAAGCGCATCTGACAGAGATGAAATTCTTACGCCAGCAGATGGCGGAACGCAATTTCCCTCTACAGGTAGAGATATTCTGCTTCATGATTATTAACAGCCTTAATCGGGCTTATAAAACGGTTGCAAGTCAGCTTGGTTCTCTACCTGCCGCAGATCTTATGACGGAGAGAATTTGTGCCGTGATTCTCAATGAGAAAGACAGACTTGCTGCAATAGATGTCAAAGACAGGGGGAGAGAAGCTCGGAGTTCAAGCACCCCCGATGCTATTGCTTAGTGAAGAACAGGCTGTTGCTTTGAACGTTGTCCGTTGTTTCAATTGTGGACAGACTGGGCATCTTCAGCGGAATTGTAAGAAGCCACGTCAACAGAAAGGAGCTAAAGGGAGCTCTGCAAAGCCTGAGGCGTCAGGCAAAAGTCATACTAAGTCCCAGGTAAAACCTGCAAAAGCATTGCTGTCAACAAAAGCCGTATTTTCAACGGAGAACGCTTTTGTTCTTGACACGGGATGCACGCAACACATAGAATCATAGAATCATAGAGCTGGAAGAGACCACAAGGGCCATCGAGTCCAACCCCCTGCCAAGCAGGAAACACCATCAGAGCACTCCTGACATATGGTTGTCAGGCCTCTGCTTAAAGACCTCCAAAGAAGGAGACTCCACCACACTCCTTGGCAGCAAATTCCACTGTCAAACAGCTCTTACTGTCAGGAAGTTCTTCCTAATGTTTAGGTGGAATCTTCTTTCTTGTAGTTTGGATCCATTGCTCCGTGTCCGCTTCTCTGGAGCAGCAGAAAACAACCTTTCTCCCTCCTCTATGTGACATCCTTTTATATATTTGAACATGGCTATCATATCACCCCTTAACCTCCTCTTCTCCAGGCTAAACATGCCCAGCTCCCTTAGCCGTTCCTCATAAGGCATCGTTTCCAGGCCTTTGACCATTTTGGTTGCCCTCCTCTGGACACGTTCCAGTTTGTCAGTGTCCTTCTTGAACTGTGGTGCCCAGAACTGGACACAGTACTCCAGGTGAGGTCTGACCAGAGCAGAATACAGTGGCACTATTACTTCCCTTGATCTAGATGCTATACTCCTATTGATGCAGCCCAGAATTGCATTGGCTTTTTAGCTGCCGCGTCACACTGTTGGCTCATGTCAAGTTTGTGGTCAACCAAGACTCCTAGATCCTTTCACATGTACTGCTCTCAAGCCAGGTGTCACCCATCTTGTATTTGTGCCTCTCATTTCTTTTGCCCAAGTGCAATACTTTACATTTCTCCCTGTTAAAATTCATCTTGTTTGTTTTGGCCCAGTTCTCTAATCTGTCAAGGTCGTTTTGAAGTGTGATCCTGTCCTCTGGGGTGTTAGCCACCCTCCCAGTTTGGTGTCATCTGCAAATTTGATCAGGATGCCCTTGAGTCCATCATCCAAGTCGTTGATAAAGATGTTGAATAAGACCGGGCCCAAGACAGAACCCTGTGGCACCCCACATGACGTCGCACAGAGATCTGTTTTCAACGTTTAAGAAGCAAAGCTTCGCTGTGAAACAGGCCAATGGCCAGGAGCTTGAAGCGACCGGGTTTGGAACTGTGTATCCCGAGAGTCTGAACTTGACTATTAACAATGTGTATTTGGTTCCTGATTTAAAGTTCAATCTGCTGAGTGTTTCGCAGATCGCAAAGAAAGGACTGACTTTGTCCTATGATAGAGAAAGCTGCAAAATCTTCAAAGATGGAGAGCTGTATCTTTCTGCCAGAGAGAAAGATGGACTGTATTTGTTGACTTTTGATCAAAGTGATTGCATAAATTGTAATGCATTTGAATCTAACATGATTTCTCTTGCAGGTATGTCGAAAAACGTCCAGAAGGCGACGAAAGTAACCAAAGCTTTTCAGTGTATGCTGATGTGGTTGGTCCTCTAGCACCATCTAGAGGCAATGCAAGATATTATCTTCTGTGTGTTGATTATTTCTCTCATTATGTGTGGGTATATATATTGCAGAAACCACAAGAAGCCTTAGAAAGGTTTAAAGAGTTTTGTGACTAGGTTAAGAATGTTTATAATGCTAACATTGATTGTCTTTTCACAGATGAAAAGCCAGTTTTTCTTTTGCAGGATTTTCAGGATTTCCTGGACAAGAGAGGGATAAGGCACAAGACTGCTGTTTCAACAGATGCATGGAACAAAAGTGTCTGTGTGCAAGTGAACAAAGAATTGCAAAATGGCATGAAGGCACAATTGCTGAGTTCACATTTGCCATATGAGTATTGGGCGGAGTTGATATTGTGTTATTGTTACACTTGGATGAGAAAGGAGCTTGCTGATTGGCAGGTCAGCGGTTCGAATCTGCGCAACAGGGTGAGCTCCCATTGCTCTTTCCCAGCTTCTGCCAACCTAGCAGTTCCAAAGCATACCAGCGCAAGTAGATAAATAGGTACCAACAGGAAGGTAAATAGCATTTCAGTACACTGTGGCACACATCACAGTGTTCCATTGCACCAGAAGCGCTTTAGTCATGCTGCCACATGACCTGGAAAGCTGCCTATGGACAAACGCCAGCTCCCTTTGTCTGAAGCGAGATGAGCGCTGCAACCCCATACTCACCTTTGACTGGACTTAACCACCCAGGGATCCTTTAACTATATGGCTGGAGAACCGCAGTACAAAATTCAGGAAAGTGGAGATTTCAAAGGAGGGGGCTGTTTTTGTTTGGTTATTGTTTCATAAAGTGCAAAGTTAAATACAAAATGAATCAAATTTCTCTCCCATCCTTATTCAGAAGTCCCACTGAATTCAATGGGCCTTACACCCCAGTAAATGGGGTTAGGGTTGCCACCTTAATGCGATTTTCAAACCACTCCACCTCTCAGATTTCCTTATTTGTTCAAGTCTCTCTTATTTGCTGAAGGTGGGTGGAAAGCTGGTTTGCGTAAGACCAAACTGAGTATTTGTGAGGAACTTGATGTGGAGATTAAGGTCTGTGGAAGGCAGAGGTGAAAAAAAGCTTGGGGGAGGGTGTCAGCAAATTCACCTGTGAGGCTGGATTTGTTTGGACATTGATAAAGATGTATTATTGTCTGGTTAACTGGGAAGGTACATAAGGAAAATGGGGAAAGGTTAGGGCCAGAGTTGTTGCCACATTCATCTCCTTCTCCAGTCATTCAGTTATATTTACATAGAAGGAGAATGTCAGAAATATATTTTTCACTCATAGAGAGGCATGCAAGGCTGACCTTAGCATTAGGCAGAGTGAGGTCACCACCTCAGGCAGTTGGATGTAGATTTCATGAAAGGGCAGCAAATTGTTAGCTCTCCATGGGAGTATCAATGGAATATATTAGTATTAAATTAAGCAGTTAACAATTTGCTGCCCTTTCATGAAACCTATGTCCAACTGCCTGGATTGCAGGATTTTTCTGTCTCAAGGGCCAAAATAATTTGGCCACTCCAATTCACCTGACTCCACCCTGAGATATACTTTTGGATTAATCCAGGAAGGCTCAGTCTTCATGTAACGCATTGGGTTTGTTGCTATGGAATAACTGAACACTCAAACAAATTTATTGATCAACAAGTGACGCCAAGGTTCTTTATTTGCAATAAAAGGTTTCGGTTGTTCAGCAGCAAGGAAAGATCCCACAAGAGAGAATCATTTACGAAACAAAAGGGGCAGAAGGCACTGTGTTGCAGTGGTTTCCTGGGTGTCTAATACTGCAAAAGAAGAAAAGGAACACCCATTAGAATTCAAATGCCAAGAGAGACCCATAGGGCAGCTCTCCCCAATATGTCTTTCTCTCTAAATCTCCTCATCTCACATTCCACTGGGCGCTACAGCATATGACAGATGTCTGTCACAGGTACAAAAAGGTATTTCTTTCAGTAAAACCACCATATTATGAAATCAGGGTACTAATCTGTAGCTCATACATTTTCCTGAATATTTGGAGAAGGTATGTGTCTTTCTAGCTAGCTACTAGACTCTTACCCCACTCTCAAGGTGGGCTCAAAGTGCTTAGACAGACTTAGATATGTGGCTGCCTTTCCTCCAATTTTCCCCACAATAAGCTTTCCAAGGAACAGCCATTGCTTAGTAGGCCATCGGCTTTGCATGAAGATCTCATGTTCAAACCCTTGCATCTCCATATATGACTGGGGAAAACCTCCTTTTCTGAAACCCACTGCCAGTCAATGTAGACAATAGGGAGGTAGGTGGGCCAATGTATCTGACTTGGTATAAGTCAGCATCCTCTGTTTGTTCCCTTATTAGGCTGAAAATGCCAGACTAGATGGGAGCTTGGCTTGACAAGCATCCCTTACATCCCTATTTCACTGTTAACTCCCCAGTCACCACTGGAAACAAAATGCTAGGCTAGATGGACCTAGCCTATTTCTCGACCTATTTCACCAAGGCAACTCTTACATTCTTATAATACATAACACTCTGCTTGGGTGGCATGATGCATCCATTTCTCCTGTTTATGCAAAGGCAACCCTGTATGCTTCCAGTGATACTGTGGCAACAAAATGACACAGCCATGCCATCAAACCCTATTCCTAATGGAGAGATTCAGCATTACTAATACTCACCCAAACAATGGGGTCATCATTATTATTCTGCAAGGCAAAACATTGACAGATCATTCATCTACTAATCCAAATTTGTGGTTTTTCAATATGTAGTTACAGACTCTTAGGCGGCATGTTCAGGTATGCATTTGCAGTTAGGCGGGGGGGGAATCACTTTGAGGGTTCTTTTCCAGATACCATCCATAAAAAAAGATCTAGACCTGGGAGGAGAAACCTCTGGTCCTCCAGATGTTGGTGGACTGCAAATCTCATCTTCCCTGGATACTGGCCATGCTGGCTGGGCCTGATGGGGGTTGGATTTTAACAATACCTAGAGGGCCACAGGTTCCTCACCTCTGATCTAGTTCCTCTCACTCGCAAGATTTTTTGGAATATGGCATAAAGAGACGCCATTCAGTGTTACCCTTTATGCCCAGCATGGAGAATAAAGTACAAAGAGTAGAAATGGAGTACTTGGGAAATGCTTGGGTAGAAAGGTAATACTTAGAAAGTACTCAGGGTAAAAAGATAGGCACCCATGTGATACATGAGATCTTGCTTTGGTGGTTATGCTACATGGCTGGGCTGTGGGACTCTGGGGACTGCCTGTCAAAATTGCTGCTGCTTCTTTTTGTAAAAGAACAAACAGGCTTGACATTTGAACAGATAGTGATCTGATGTAACTGAGAGCATTTGAAAGGGAATATCAAAAGAAGAGCGCTGCCAGGCTCCACAAGGGAGTGTTATGTTTTGAATTGTTATAGAAACCTTAATTCATGTGTGGCAGAATAATTCTGGAAGAGAGAGAATCCATGGGTGCATGGATTCATGTAACTAGACAGTGGGATCTTCTGTTTGTTCCATCCCTACAGAACTGCTGCTTCACAACCATTCAGTCTCATTGCTCTCTTGGAAATGCCCAGGCTTGCTGTCAACATTTTCTTTGGGGGGGGGGGCTGTCTAGCTGGTAATGTCAGAGATCATCCAAGAGATACTATGAAATATTTTGTTGCAGGCTGAGGTATGTGTGTTTGATTATAGAGAAGGCAAATGACTCTACAGTGGTGCCTCGCAAGACGAAATTAATCCGTTCCGTGAGTCTCTTCGTCTAGCGGTTTTTCCATCTTGCGAAGCAACCCTATTAGTGGCTTAGCGGATTAGCGCTATTAGCGGTTTAGCGGCTATTAAAGGCTTAGCTGCTTAGCGGCTAAAAGGCTATTAGCGGCTTAGCGGCTTAGAAAAGGGGGGGAAAGCGAAAAAAATCGCAAGACTCGCAAGACTTTTTCGTTTTGCGAAGCAAGCCCATAGGGAAATTCGTCTTGCGAAGCGCATCGAAAAACGGAAAACCCTTTCGTCTAGCGGGTTTTTCGTCTTGCGAGGCATTCGTCTTGCGGGGCACCACTGTATAAAGTATTCCCCAAGGGGATTTCAAATGCTAGGGCGGGATTAAGGCCCTTATGTTGTTGGATTCCAACTCCCATCAGTACCAGCCAACATGGATAACGATCAGGGATTATGAGAGCTGTCGTCCAGCAACATTGGGAAGGCAAGAGGGGGCCGCCCCTGTGTAAGATGATCCCAAAGCTTGGCTGTCTTAAGCAGCCAATTGCTAGCCCAAGAGAAGAACTGGTGTGACAAGCGAATGTACAAGCAAGATGGTCAAGTTGGCCTATCTCTGGTACTTACTCCATTGTTGTTGAAGCTGTTGTCACCAGCATTGTTGTTATCAAAACTTCCACTGTTCTATAAACAGAATGCAAGGGGATATATTAGTGATCTGCAGTTCTCTCATGGCAGGGAGCTTTACGGGGTCAGTTTCCTTTGAGAGAGCATTATAATTGGTAATACCTAGAATTATACAAGTTCAGCAAGGAGGTGCAGGAGGTGCCTGCACCTGTCACCAATATTGGAACCAGGCTCCCCACAGTGGATGGCTGTGACTGGGAACTGCCCACTGTTTCAATTTGCTGCAAAGTGCTGGCATAGCTTTGCTTTGGAGCACGGTGCGAGGAATTTGAAAAGGGCAGCCAGGGTGTCCTCTACTGTAGGAGGAGGCCACCTTGCCAGGGACACCTCAACCTGGAACCTGCCTGCAAGAATGAACACAGGCCAAAAGGGGGGGGGAAGTGCCAGGGCAGTGTTTAAAGCAGGGGGAGTTCCTTCAGAGGCAAAAAGGCACATTCTTGTAGCTTCCTAGACAGATGCACAGCTCAAGTTTTCCATCTGCATTCCTCTTTGCTAAAATCTTTCTCTCCAGAGTACATGGCCCACCAGACAAGTGGAGGAAGTAGCAGTCCCCAGCCATCAATGCTAATTTAAGCAAACATCTTCTTTTGATTCAGTTTCAATCAATTTGGGTGTACCCAGTACTTCACACTATTGACATGCTATACAGTCCCCCCTCAAAAAAAAAATCTTCTATAAGTTTAGGGTTGCTTTAACCCAGGGTTGGGGAACCTGTGACTCTTCAGATCCTGGGTGACTCCACCTCCCAACATCCCTGGGTCATCACAGCCAGCGGTCAGGAATGAGGGGAGTTACTGTCCAACAATTATCGGGATGCCCACTGGTTCTCCATCTCTGTTTTAGAGCAATGCTAGACTAGACGGATCATGTCTACCCTTGCTGATACTTACTCCTCCATATGCCCAGAACTGGTTCTGCAACAGAAAACAGGAAAAAACAGAAATTGAGAACACCCCTCAGATACCCAATCTTTAATTAGCAGGGTACATATTCCACTAGATTAAAAGCAATAGCTCTATCACTGAGAATCTATGATATGATCTATCCATTATACACAGGAAGCTGCCAGGCAAACAGAACAGGCAGTTAGTGGCGGTGCTATCTGGCAGCCCTTCCTCCAGCCTGGAGAACTGTGGTTGTCCTATTATCTAGGGTCTGTGGCTGATGCTGTTGAATGACAGATCAGCTTTGAATCAGACCTCCCTCATCCACAATCTGATTGTAGATGAAGAAGAGGACCTGGTCTGCATCACTGAGACGTGGGTGGGTAAGTAGATGGAGTTGGTCTCACCCAGCTGTGCCCACCTAGGTACTTGGCGCAGCATCAGGGCAGACTGGAGGGTCGGGGAGGGGGAGTTGCTGTAGTCTATAGAGATTCAATCTCTAATTTTGTTTTATAATGCATTTTATGTTCCCATTTTGTGTTTTTATGTTGTGAGCCATCTTATGATCTTCAGATGAAGGATGTTATACAAATCTAAATAAATTATTATTTTTATATCAACTCAAACCATTGGTCAATTTAGCTCAATATTTTCAACTGAAGAGACACCTTCCTTTCTGGGCAACCTTCCAGGAGACAAAGTGGGCAGAGCGATAAGTGTGAAATCTACCTTACTACTGCAAAGTAGTTTCTTCATATTCACACAATCTCCTCTACCTACCACCCAGACAATGGATGCTGTGCCCTAATTGGATGTGGTTCTCCAAGCAGCAGAAGCATAAACAGCATATTCCAAGCTCTTCCTGGAGATGCCAGCAATTGTCCCTGGCACTTGCTGCATGCAAGGCAGGTGCACTAAGCATAAAGCCATGGTCCCTTCCTGAGTTGGGACAACGTGCTTCAACACTGTAGAAGGACTAGCATTAATGGAGATCTAAGCTTGGGTAGAAATGCATCCTTTTATTAAGCCAAGGCATTATTTATTTTTAATTAATGTATTTAAATAATAATAATCTGCATGTTACCAAAGAGAATGAAGCATAATTAGTGAGAATGTTTGCTACCATTTTTAAAAAAGAGGCCAATATTTGAGGAAAGGGGAATATGGATCATCACAAAGGACAGAGGAATTCTAGGGGACTTACTCCGTTGTTGTTGAAGCTGTCAGATCCTACGTTGTTGCCATCAAAGCTGCCTGCATTCTGCAAGGGAACAGAATGAGCATAATGTTAGGTGGAGGACTGGAAACAGCTGCCCCTTCTTAAAACAGCATTAACTGGATCAGAGTCAGGGATAGAATGCTTGGAAGGATTTGGATGTGAACCCAAACGTAGAAAAGCTCCCCACCCACCTTCTCTCTCTCTCTCTCTCTCTCTCTCTCTGTGTGTGTGTGTGTGTGTGTGTGTGTGTGTGTGAAGAGGCTGAGGGCATCTACATTCTCTGAAACTGTTTCTCATCAGAATCCACACCCACCTAACAAGTGGAATGGGTAGTAGCCACTGAACAGCAATGCTAACTTAAGCAAATATCTTCTTTGGCTTCAGTTTCAATCACTTTGGGTGCACCCAGCACTGACACTATTGAATCATTACAGGGTCTTTTCATGTTCTAACCACCAGCTGATCTATAGGATTAGGGTTGCTTTAACTTAGGGGTGGGGAATCTGTGGCCTTCCAGATGCTGAAGGACTCCAGCTCCCATGATCCCTGGGTCCGGAATGATGGGTGCCACTGTCCAATGAAATCTGGATGCTCACAGGTTTTCTATCTTGGTTTTAAGGCAATGCTAGGCTAGATGGATCATGCACATGCTTGCTGATACTTACTCCTCCATTCCCCCCATACTGGTTCTGCAACAGAAAACAGGGGAGAAAAGTCATAAATTAAGAGCATCCCCAGATACCTAATTTATAACAAGCAGAGAAGACATTTCACTGGACTAAAAGTTATAGCTCTCTTACTGCAATGCTATTATGCAATCTACCCATTTTACTTCTTTGGTTCTATGGAAGCAGCCCTGTCCTGTGTCAAGTCAGATTAGTGCATCCAGCTCCATATTGTCTGCAACAGGGCAGGGAACCTTCTTCAAACCAACAGCTACATTCCTTTCTGGGCAACCTTCCAGGTAACAAAAGCCAGTGGTGGACACAGCCAGGAACAAAGGTGGACAGAGCAATGGCTGTGCATTTTACCTTATTACTATAATATATTTTCTTCATATTCATACAACCTTGTATATCCATCCTCCAAGCAGTGCATATTGTGCCCTAATTGGTTGTGGTTCTCCAAGGTTTCATACAGGGCACATTTCAAGGCCTCCCTGGAGATGTCAGCAATTGTCCTGGCACCTTCTGCATGCAAGGCAGATGCACTAACCATAAATCCATGGTCCCTCCCTGAGTTGGGGCAACACTGTAGAAGGACTGGTATGAATGGAGATCTAAGCTTGGGTGGAAATGCATCCTTTTATTAAACCCATGTATCCTTTTATTTTTTAAAAAATAATAGGGTACCAAAGAGAAGGAAGTATAATCAGTGGGAATGTTTGCTACCATTGTTTAAAATGAGACCATTATTTGAGGAAAGGGGAATATGGATCATCACAAAAGACAGAGGGGACTTACTCCGTTGTTGTTGAAGCTGCCAGATCCTGCGTTGTTGCCATCAAAGCTGCCTCCATTCTGCAAGAGAACAAAATGAGCATAATGTTAGGTGGAGGACTGGAAAGAGGAGCCCCTTCTTAAAACAGCAATAACTGGATCAGATCAGGGATGGAACTCTGGACAGGATTTGGATGTGGACCCAAAGGTAGAAAAGTCCCCCATCTTCTCTCTCTCTCTCTCTCTCTCTCTCTGTGTGTGTGTGTGTGTGTGTGTCAAGCAGTTAGCAAGGGAAGCAGATAAGAAGCTGAGAGCAAGGACCCATGGATACCTGAAAACCTCAGGTTTTCTATCTATGTTCTGTTAAACTGTTTCTCATCAGAGTCCACACCCACCTAACAAGTGGAATGCGTAGTAGCCACTGAACAGCAATGCTAACTTAAGCAAATATCTTCTTTGGCTTCAGTTTCAATCACTTTGGGTGCACCCAGCGCTGAACACTTTTGAGTCAATACAGGGTCTTTTCGTGTTCTAACCACCAGCTGATCTGTAGGATTAGGGTTGCTTTAACTTAGGGGTGGGCAACCTGTGGCCTTCCAGATGCTTAAGGACTCCAGCTCCCATGATCCCTGGGTCCAGAATGACGGGAGCTGCCGTCCAATGATATCTGGATGCCCACAGGTTTTCCATCTCTGTTTTAGGGCAAGGCTAGATGGATCATGCATATGCTTGCTGATACTTACTCCTCCATACACCCAAAACTCGTTCTGCAACAGAAAACGGGAGAAAATTAATAAATTAAGAGCATCCCCAGATACCCTATTTACAACAGGTTACATTCCTTTCAGGGCAACTTTCCAGGGGACAAAAGCCAGTGGTGGACACAGCCAGAAACAAAAGTGGGCAGAGCAATAAATGTGCATTTTACTTTATTATTGTGTTAATCTATTCACATTCACCAGCCCTTTATCTTCCATCCAGGAAGTGTATATTGGACCCTAATTGGTTGTGGCTCTCCAAGGTTTCATACAGAGCACATTCCAAGCCCTCCCTGAATATCCCTGGGATTGTCCCTGGGATCTTCTGCACGCAAAGTGGATGCACTAAACATTAAGCCATGGTCCCTCCCTGAGTTGGGCCAACATGCTACAAAGGACTAGCATGAATGGAGATCTAAGCTTGGGTGGAAATGCATCTTTTTATTAAGCCAATGCATCTTTAAAAAAAAGTCATCTGCAAGTTACCAAAGGAAGCACAATCAGTGGCGATGTTTGCTACCTTATTTTTTTTTAAAGACCATTATTTGGCTGAGGAAATATGGATCAGCAGAAAACACATAGGAATTCTATGACTTACTCCATTGTTGTTGAAGCTGCCAGATCCTGCGTTGTTGCCATCAAAACTGTGTGCATTCTGCAAGAAGAGAGCATTCTGTTAGGTGGAGGGCTGGAAAGACAAGCCCTTTCCTAAAACAGCAATGACTGGATCCGGGTCTGGGATGGAAGTCTGGGCAGCAAGAGTAACCCTTTCATGGCTATTAGCTCCAGATAGTCTTTTCCTCCCTCAATTTGTTTAATCCCCCTTTAAAGCCAACCTCTGTCAAGTTTGGTTTCTCTTGCTTTCTTAAATTCAGTTCCCCATTCTTCCAGATTAATCTGCATTTTAAAAGCCAACAGCAGCTCTCATGAGAATCAATCGGCGTTTTGGTGTTTTTTTCTCTGAATCATTGCACACAGTTTTGCCTTACAGATATTTCGGGGGGGGGGGGGATGTTCTGTAGCAGAATGATTTGCATATGCTACTTTAACTAAAATATGCATGTATATGCACAGCTGACACTGGCATGTGGTTTTTTGCACTGCAAATTTTGGAGAAATGAAAGAAAGAAAATTTGAAGAATTTTGAAGGATGGCTGTGTTTTGGACTACATAGTGTTTAGGAAAGTATGGATTAGGTAGGTTTACCTTTAAATGAGAATGACCGCTCCCCACTTAAAACAGGGGGCGCCCTTTGCGTGGACGCGCGCAGCCCCTAGATCTGGAGCGGCTCCAACAGCATAGGCTTGGTTTGCCTTCCCTCAGGTGGGATACCTGGAGGTCTCCGCCTACCTCAGTCAGCTGTCCAATCCCACCTGGGGGGAAGCGTTGCCAAGGAGACCAGGCCAGGTAGGGGAGGGATTACCTGCCCACACAATAGAGGGAGGATCTTACCTGGGAATCCTCACTTGGCTCCAGAGCTTCTCCCACCCTACCCACCCTCAGTTAATGTCTTATTTGCAGGTTAACTTTTCTTCACAGGTTTTGCAGGTTAACTTTTCTTTGCAGGTATGCGGGCGCTGCTACGTTAAGGTCGCTGTTAAAGGGCCGGAAAGGAATTTCCCTGCATTGGCAGGTTTCGCCTTTCCCGTAGCAAAACGTCACAACTTTGGCGGTATCAGGCCTTGGCCGGAATCCTTTAGTCCATCTTCCTCTTTGTGGCGGCGATACCAGGGTTCCCCGTTAAAGGGGTTTCTGAAGGGAGGCTTTGACCGTACGCCGAAAGGTCGTCATTGCTCTCCCCTGCGGCGGCAGCGGCGTAACGGGGGCGGCTATCTCTGCTTGAACATATGTTCTCCAGAGCCGGCCCATCCCCCCCACACACAGTGGATAACCCTGAAGCTCCCTAGGTCCCCGGCTGGGGACTGGGGAGGGAGAACGCCCAATGCCTGAGCCAAGGTCTACCCACATTTGAAATTTAATAAAGTTGTGGCCAATTTAATCCCATAGCACGTTGTCATGAGTCGTTATTCCACATGATGGGGGGACCACGCGGGATCTGGGGACTCCGCCTGTCCACGCAATGGAATAATATTTCTCTCCTATCCCTACATTCACCTCAACTCTCCATATGGATCCCAACCCAGCGCAGTGGGTACTCGCCAACCGTTGCCCAAATTTTGATGTATTTTTGATTTCTAGAGGGCTTGAGTAATCCAAAGGAACAGCCAACATTTCTCTGTTCAGTTGCTACTTGAACTGTCATTGGGGTTTTGAATTTTTTTTAGAATTCAATGAGCAGGTGCTGCTGATAACATTTGAGTGCAGGATGGGGGCATAGGCTGGTAGACCCCAACTCCCACCAGCCCTAGCTCAGCATAGCCAGTGGTCAAGGCTGATGGGAATTGTAGTCCAACAATACCTGGAGCCCCACCGGTTCTCCAGCTTTGTTTTAGGGAAATGCTACATGAGATGGATCATGTATATACCCTTGCTGATACTTACTCCTCCTAAGCCCTCATAATCGTTCTGAAACATAGAAAAAGAAAAACCAGAAATTAAGAACATCCACCAGATTTATAATTGGGAGAGTGCACATTTCACCAGATTACAAGTTCCGTCTCTCAGACATCAAAACTGCTATCTGATCTATCCATTCTACATAGATAGACAGCTGCCTTACATTGAGTCCCAACATTGGTCTATCTAGCTCAATACTGTCTACACTGGGACTGGAATACACTTTCACCTTGAGGGCCACATTCCATTCTGGACAACCATCCAGGGGCCAAGTGCAAGTGGTGGGCGGGGCCAGAGACAAAAGTGAGCATAGAAATAAATATGTGGAGTTTTTGTTTTGTTTACTTTGCTACACGAGCTTAGTTTCTTGACATGCACACATCCTTCCCGATCATCCACCCACGCAGTGCATTTTGTGCACTGACTGGTTGCATCTCTCAAGGGTTTGAGGCTGGAGAGCTTCCAAGTTCTACCTGGAGATGCCAGGGATTGACTTTGGGACCTTCTGCATGCAAAGCACCAAGCAGTGAGCTGAAGTCCCTCCCTGAGTTGGAACAACATGCTAGAGCACAATGGAAGGACTAGTATGAATGGAGATCTAAGCTTGAGTGGAAATGCATCCTTATATTAAGCAAATGCATCCTTTATTTTTTATTTTATATATATATATATGGTATATATAGCAATTTGCAGGGTACCTAACAAAAGGAAACATTTCAGTGGAAATGTTTGCTAGCATTTCTTTAAAATATTTTTATACATATAGTGGAAAGGGGAATACTGATAAACACAGAGGAGTCCTGGGGTACTTACTCCATTGTTGTTGAAGCTGCCAGATCCTACATTGTTGCCATCAAAGCTGCCTCCATTCTGTAAGGGAACAGAATGAGCATTCTGTTAGGTGGAGGATTGTAGCATCTCCCTAAAGCAGCATTGACTGCATTGGGGTCTTGGATGAAAGTTTGGGCAAGATTTGCACGTGGACCTAAAGGCAGAGAAGTGTTTGTGGTTGTAGGGGTGCAGGGGAAGCAAACACCAAGCAAGGGAAACAGAGAAGAAGTGAGGGCTCACAGAAGGCTACGGTGATCCTGGTGGAGATCCCATACCCTTTGCAGTTAGTGGTCTGCCAGGCATGCGGAATTTCAACAAGTAAAGTTTGCTCCGGTGATTTTTACTCTCAAGTCAAGGAAAGCTCCAGATGCCAAATTTGCACTCCATAAGGGATGTGAGGCCTCAGCAAAGCAAAGGAGCAAACTAGACACACTAAGAACAAGCCAATTCATGGCCACTTGTTCAAGAGGAAGATAAATAGTATCATGACCTCCAGTTGTAATATGCTGGCCAGCGAACTCATCCCTGCCTCCTTTCATACATGGGGTGAGATGCTGCAGAAGTGACCTATTGAAGTGCTTTGCCCTCTTGGGGACTGTTTCATTAAATTTCTTCCAAGAAAGGGAAAATTCTCCACCAGTTTCTCAAAAGTGAGGCAGCAGTGCCAATAACAAAATGTCTCTTCTTCCTTCCTTCCTTCCTTCTTTCCTTCTTTCCTTCCTTCCGCATGTGCCGCTAACAGCAGCTGCCTTTGCATCTTCCAAAGTATCCCTGACCAGGCAGCATTGCCAGCCAATGGAAGCAGGGGGAGAATGGTGTGTGCCACTCAAAAAAATGACATTTGGGTGAACTCTGCAAAAAGGCATTCCAAATGCAGTGAGGAAATGAAAAATCTTAGAAGTGCTTTCAGAAAAATGCATTGTGATCTATTGCTTTATCTTTAAGTGGGAAATGAGGTGTGTAAGTCTTTGTTGTTGTTTTGTCGTCTTAGTCGTGTTCGACTCTCCGTGACCCCATGAATCAGAGCATGCCTTGGAAACTCTCGTTTTCTTCTCAGAGCTTCTCCTTTTTTATGTCTATGGAGTTTTCTTGGCAAAATACTGGAGTAGATTGCCAGTTCCTTCTCCAGATGGATCACATTTAGTCTAAACTCTCGGCTATGACCTGTCCGTCTTGGGTGGCCCTGCACGGCATAGCTCATAGCTTCTCTGAGTTATTCAAGCCCCTTCGCCATGACAAGGCAGTGATCCATGAAGGGGTTGTGTGTCTTAGGAGGCCATAAACACCTCACAGTATCTCGAGGAGGAAACCTACAAGACAAATTTTGAGAGGGGTCGGGGGGGGCACACAAAACTCCATCACAGTGGAGAGCCCAGGAGCAGCCAGCACTTAGCTTTGTGCTTCCAGGGCTATGTAGAAGAGTTTCAGGTTCTTCTTTTTAGAATATGATAAATATGAAGATTAGGTAGAGCATTGCACTGTAACCCTTGGAAGAAGAAGAGTGAATTCACAAGTACAGAAATAGCAAATTGGGATGGTCATTCGTGAAATGTACTACTTCAGTAACTGCATTTTAGAGTTGCCCGATATTTTTTATTGGCTCCTGTGCCCCAAAGCACAACATTAGCAAATGCCAACACTGTGAAACACAGCCCTGATTTCTACAGATTCATCGGGAAGTTTGAGCAATCTATGCATACACACTGACCCCCCCCCTCCCTGGGCACCACCTGGGTTCAGGATTTTGCCTTGTTCATTCTTACCGCAGGTGCAGCCTGGGTGCTGCGCAGAGACAGCAGGCAGAGGCCGAGGAAAGCAGCTGCGACCTGGAACTTCATTTTGGGTTTCTCGTGCTTTGTTCTCCCTCTCAGCTGGGCTTGGGAATAATGGTGTATTGTGGGGCTCTATTTATGCTGGGCCCTATCATAGGCAGTGCCAGACTTGTGGGCCAAGCCCAGTGACTCATGCCTGCAGCTCCCTCTCCCAAGGGTGGGGAACCTCGGGCTCAGCAATATTTATTTTATTCATTTAGAATAAAATATTTACACTGGTTAGCTTTTTTAAAAATAAAAAATCTGAGCCATTTATGACAGTTATACATAAATCCACACAAGAAAAAGCAAACAAAATGTTAACATGAGAAATCCACAAACTGTTATGGAAAGAGGAATTATTAACCGCCTGCATAAACATGATGGAATAGAAAACAGGCATTTAAAGGTTGAAACGGAAGGCACCTGCTGAATATTCAGAATGTTCCGCAATAGGGGCCAATGACTCAGTTTCCCGTTTCTGTCAAACGAGCTTCACCAAGTCTGGGAATGATGAACGACCCTCCTGCAGATGGTCTCAGTGATGGAGCTGGGATGTAAGGGTTAAGGTGATCCCTGAGGTACCCTGGACCTAAGCTGTTCAGGGCTTTGCAAGTTAATGCAAGGACCTTGAACCTGGCTCAGTAGTAGATGAAAAGCCAGTGCAGATGTTTTATCAATGGTGTTCCCAGCCAGATACCCCCATCAGCAATCTGGCCACTGCATTCTACACCAGCAGAACCAAGTCCAAGGGGAGCCCCACAAAGAACCTGCTGCAGTAATCAAGCCTCAGGATGACCAATGCATGGACTACAGTGGTCAGACTACCTCTGTACAGGATCGACTGTAGCTGGTGAACCAGACAAAGCTGGCAAAAGGCAAAAGGTCAGAGAGGACGCTCTAGTGACAAAGATGTATCTGGGAGTACCCCCAATCTCTGCACTTGCTCCTTCAGGGGGGATGTAATCCCAGCCAGAACAGGTGATTTGTCAATTTCCCAAACATGCGAAGAACTGGGCTTAAGACTGGAAATATGAGGAACTGATAGAAACTAAAACTGATTGTCCACCATTAGTTAGAGGCACTTGCCACAGGGCTGAGCTCTCTCTGATGCACACCAAGGCACAAATATAAAGCAAGTGGTTGGTTGAACAAGGTACAGTGGTACCTCAGGTTAAGTACTTAATTCGTTCCGGAGGTCCGTTCTTAACCTGAAACTGTTCTTAACCTGAAGCACCACTTTAGCTAATGGGGCCTCCTGTGGCTGCTGCCCCACCGCCGCCGCCTGATTTCTGTTCTCATCCTGAAACAAAGTTCTTAACCTGAGGTACTATTTCTGGGTTAGCAGAGTCTGTAACCTGAAGCATCTGTAACCTGAAGGGTCTGTAACCCGAGGTACCACTGTATGTTCATTTGGCTGTGATTCTTGTTTGCTGAAGGTGGATGGGATTCCTGTTTGCACACTGAGGGCAAGACCCACTCTGACTGCTAGGAGCTTGATTTGAACACTGAGGCCTGAGCGGGGGGGGGGCAGGAATGGGACGACTCACTGATAACGTGGGATATTCTGTTGGGCTTTTGAAACAATATAGTCCACAAGATTACAAATGAAAATCTGCTGCGTTGCAATGATCAGCACAGATTGCCACATGCTCTCTTTCGCACCTGGATCGACTATTTTCTGTACATGCACATGGGCAAATGATTGGGAGTGCTCCAATGTCTTCTTTTTGGAGTGATTTGAGTTGTGTTTTTCTCGAAGCTCTGTTGTACATAACAGAACTTGCTCACTCTCCTCTTGCAACTGAAGCACCTTGTGCTGAAATCAGGGATGGACAAAAAAAATTTGACAATGTCAGTTTCATAGAATCATAGAAATGTAGCGTTGGAAGGGACCTCAAGGGTAATCTAGTCCAACCTCCCTGCAATGCAGTTCCTCCTTTTCCCAATCTTAAATTCAAGTTCATTTTTGAAAAAGTCCTCATGAGAACCCACTAGCAACTTAAGCTTGCTCTTGCCCCATGCCTAAAAAAGCATGGTTCTGATAAGTTGTCCACTTGATCCACACTTTCTAGACACAAATCCAAGCAGTTCTCCCCCTTGCCCCACTCCTTTCCCAGGGGAAATCTGCTCCTTAGCTCTAAATTGGAGGAAACAGCCATCTGGGTAAAAAGCTGAATTGCCATTTGCTCCGACTGAGCACTAAAGAGCAGTTTTCCCTGGGGGAAGGCAGAGGGAAAAGAGGAAGCATGGATAAGCCCTTACTGAGCACTTCTCCCATTATGCACAACTTTGCAAAGCAATTTCCCTAAAATACTGCATTTTTTGCATGTTATCTCAACCAATATATGCATTTGTACACACACTTTACCATAATATACACTTTTATTGTCCACATCACTTTGCTGGAGAACTGCACTGCAAAATTTGGAGAAGTGTGCAGTTCAAAGGATTGCTGTGTTTTGGTTCTCATACTCACCTTTAAATCCAAATTGAATCAAATTTCTCCCCTATCCCTAATTTCACCTGCGTGAGAAGCTATGTGTGTTGAAATCCACCCCCCACCAACACAGGACGTTGGAGTTCTGCTGTCCTTTGCACCTGGCTTCCCTAGTTGTCCCTATACTGCATATTTCCGTAGAGCTTGAGAGCTTGAGACAGCGATCTCTCTGGCGATTATATCTCAGACCACATCTAGGCCATCAGAGTGGTTGTGGCTTAGGCTGGGGCCTGGGTCGTACATACAAAGCGGCTTGCTTCGCTAACCAGACAAAGTTCTGGGTTACGCCAGCGGACTGGCAGCCACACAGCAAACAGAGCTGCATGACAATCAATAGATGCTGAGGCTGTTGCATCTGTGTCACGGCCCTAGCCAATGGAAACACACTCATACACACCCGGTATGTCCTAGATAGCATGTCATGGAGCAAAATGGGTTAATAGGGCATGCTTCTGTAGACTGAATTCTGGCGACAATCAGCCACACGCATGATGTGCAACCTGCAACTTTCCAGAGATGTTGCAATTCTGAATTCTAGAAGCTCATCCTGACAGCTCATATAACCACACCCCAAAATGCAGGTACTTGTATTGACCCATTATATATAGGCAAACAGAGATATAAGAATTGTGTGTGAATGTGTGCGCGCACACACAAAACACAGCTTGTGGTATAATACCCAGTTGTTTAGAATCGGCAGAACTGCAAACCCTTGCATAGTTTTCTGGGAGGAAGCTCAATTGAACTCAGTGGTGCTTTCTTCTGACTCCATTGGTGCAACACTGAGCTTTAACCAAAGATCTTCAGTCTGCTAGAAGGCAATCTGTGCCTTTTAATTGGAAGTGCGAGCAACCTTGCAAAGAAGCATTGCTATCTAAGTTACTAGCATGAAGAGCAAAAGCTACTCCATCAAAGGAAAGGAAAGATGTCTCCATCATTCCTTGATTAGCTTCCCTGAACTGTCAGGCTGAAATCCTTCCTATACTAAGCTGGGAGTATTGCTCATTTAATAGTTTTGGATTACTTTAAGCCAGGCATCCCCAATCTGCAGCCCTCCAGATGTTTTGGCCTACAACTCCCATGATCCCTAGCTAACAGGATCTGTGGTCAGGGATGATGGGAATTGTAGTCCAAAAGATCTGGGAGGGCTAAAGGTTGGGGATGCCTGCTTTAAGCAATATTCAAGCAGCACACTTGCAGGTGCCCTCTGGGCAACCTCACTCACAATGCCTTGTTTGAGGAAAGAATCCTTCTTCAGAGCAAGGCATGGAGCACCCATGTCACGTTTGTCAGCAGCAAGCAGCTGATCTGATGGTGGGTGGGTGGATGGGAGAGAGGGAGGCACAATTGTCTCAAGCAGAAGACATGTCTTTTGTTGGCCCTGCAGAATGGAAATCCAGCGGTCTGTTGACAGCAAGAGGGTGACTGATCAAACCATAGTTGTGTAATTGTCTTCCAGGAAAAGAAAATGGGTTATTTCAGCTATTGGTTCTAAAAAAATCAATTTGAAAGAACAATTCTATGAAATGCCAAAGGCCGGGAGGTATATGGGTCCCTGCTTCCACGCAGGCGTAACTTCATTTAGCTAAATGGTTAATCCATCAAAATACAATCATTGTAGCTCAAGACAAACATCCCTGGAGGGAACCAAGTTAAACCAGTGGTTAAGAATAGGCTCATTTGCTCAGTTGGGCAATTGTGATTCTAATCCCGTCGAATTCGGAAGGATAGCTGTAAGCAACAAAGAAATGGCAAGTGATCAGGAGAGACAATTAGCAAATATTGTTGTTGTGGATCATCAGGGTGCTTCCTCTATGGCAACTGGCTGGAAGATGATTTGATCCAGTTCCTCGTGACTTTTGTCCCTCTCTCTCTGGAACATGACCAAAGCAAAAAAAACCATGGAAGAAGCAGGAGATGCCATCCGTAAAAAAATAATTAAAAAGCAGAAAATATTCATCAGCAGGAGGTCCCAGGAGACGAGTTTCTGAACCACCCATTTTTGCCTTATCCTCTGCAATGTGTTTCTCAGTAGGTTCCCTTGGGATAGAACTGCCCTGCATATCTTTGCCTGCTGATGAAAGGTAAGCAGAGAAGGGGCCAGCCTAGCCTCCCATGAAAGGGAGTTCCAAGAAGGTCCTCTCTAGTGTCCTCACCAATCGTGACTGTGAAGGTGGTGGAGCAGGGAGAAAGGCCTCCCCTAGAAGATCTCCAAGCCTGAGCAGGCTCATATAGAAAAATACAGTCCTTCAGATAGCTGGAACCCAAGCCTTCTAGGGCATTATAGACCATAATCAACCCTTGGAATGATGCCCAGTGATAGACCGATAGCCAATGGAGCTGTTGTGACATAGGAATCTGCCTTGTATGGATTATGACCCTTGGTTCATCCAGATCTGTATTGTTTATATGTGCTGGCAATGACTCTCTGGGGCATCAGACAGGAAGCCTACATGGAGAGGCTGGGGATTCAACTGGGGACCTTCTGTACGCAAAGCAGATGCCCCACTGAGCAACAGCCTTCCCCAGGTAGGGAGCCAGCAATGTTGGCTGGGTCGGAGGGAGCAAGCTGATGGCTATAGCCAGAGGGGCAGAAACAGTGCCACAGGGTCCCCATGGTCAGCATCAGGCCCCTCACTGAGGCACGGGCCCTTTCACCCTCTTGCCCAACGATAGAACCCATGGATACCCAATGAAGTTAAATCTTGGATGATCCAAGACACATAAATCAAAGAAGTTCTCCATGCAGCTTCCATAAAACTCACCCTCTTCAGGAGGCAGTGATAGGCCACCAATCTGGGTGGCAAATTCCTGGAGGAGATGGCTACCAATTGCTACTAGCCACAATGTCTGCACTCTGCCTCCATGGTTGAAAGCAGTTATGTTTCTGAATACCAGTTGCTGGAAACTGCAGAAGGGGGAGAGGGCTCTTGTGCTGAGATTCTCCTGTATACCTGAAGGAGCATCTTCACCTCCATCGTTCAGCCCGGACAGTGAGATCCAGCGCCGAGGGCCTTCTGGCAGTTCCCTCATTGCAAGAAGTGAGGTTACAGTGAAACAGACAGAGGGCCTTCTCGGTAGTGGCACCCGCCCTGTGGAACACCCTCCCTTCAGATGTCAAGGAAATAAGCAGCTATCCTATCTTTAAAAGACATCTGAAGGCAGCCCTGTTTAGGGAAGTTTTTAATATTTAATGCTGTATTGTTTTTAACACTCGATTGGGAGCTGCCCAGAGTGGCTGGGGAAACTCAGCCAGGTGGGTGGGGTATAAATAAATTATTATTATTATTATTATTATTAGCTTCTGGTTGGCCACTGTGAGAACAGGATGCTGGACTACATGGGCCATTGGCCTGATCCACTACGTTCTTCTTACTTTCTTGCAAACTTGAAGCCAGTGCTGCTCTGAAAATGGTGTGCTCTGTGGGGCAACTGATGTGTACAGGAGAAAATATAAATTTGTTTTCAAGCTCCTGATAACCAGCAGATACGTAAGAATCGATAAGGAGCAGCAGTGGCCTATTGTCTTATTTTAGGCATGGCTCATTTTTGGCCAGATATTTAGCACCCCCGCCCAGTTAGAATTTTTCAAGGGAGGAGGCTCCAGAGGACATGGAGATATGGTCTGTTTGGACTTCCAACACCACCCAAGATAACATTCTGTGCTGAGGATTCTGAGGACTTTGGATCCAGAATAAGATGTGGAGAACTATGGAGGCACTATAAAGCTAAGCGTTATGCACTGAAGGGCAAATTTCTGTATGGAAGGGTCTGTAGAAAAGAGGCTCTGTCCATTGTGGTATAGTAGGAAAAAAATATGATATGCAGAACTAAATGGAACTAAGAGGATCCCACCCTGTCCCTAGCCACAAATATGGCTTCATCTCATAGCTTTTAGAAATCGTAGAGTGTGATCATAGAGTAGGGCCTGACACATCCATGAGGTGGACAGAGGTAGCTGCCTCAGGCAGCAGAATCTAATGAGTGGCCACCATGGATGCTTCCTTTGCCACTGGGGAAACAAGCAGAAGTGGTGGTGGCAGCTTCTGGGTTCTTGTGAGATATCATGAGAGCACTGTGAAATCTCATGAGCTTTCACTGGAACCTGGAAGCCGTAGTACAACTCCGATAAGCGAAGCTTTGACAATGGCGACACTTTCCTGTTTCACCTCAGGTGGCAAAGCAAGATGAGTCACCCCTGCCCACCAGGTTTTAGTGTCTTAAATCTGAACATTTTAAATAAAAATGTAAATAGTGAAAATAGCCTCCTCAAATGCATTATATTAGGGGAAATGGCTTGCAGAAAATGTGTACATTGGTCAAATTTTCACATAAAATGTGTTTATTTGGAGAAAGCCTTGCTAAAATGCTAGTGAATTGCCACAAATATTTTCTTTATTTGCAAATTGCTGCTAACTGGAGAATTGGGGGGGGGGGGAGATGACCTTAGGAGGAATTGAATTTTCACAATGATTAAATATATATTTTAAAAATTGCTGCAAACTGTAGAGAACTGAATTTTAATTGGGAGGAACATGAGAAACTGATGGAATCAAAATTCATAGATCCTTCCACCCCTACTTCCAAGGATGGTTTCTGAAGTTGGTTTGTATAGAACAAGTTACGGGATGAGCTTCTGGTGCGCCAGCGCTGATTCTAAGCAAGCCTTTTTTTATAAGAATCCCACAGGGGTTCTCAACCTTAAGATAACAGCACAGACGGTCCAAGCAGGAGAAGCTTATTTTGCTTCACAGCCTTGACCTGAAAAGGAACTGTTGAGCTTTGTATCATGTGATTCTTCAGTCTTTCTTTGCTTCTCTGCAGGGGGGGAACCTCTGTCTTTTCTGAACTGCAAAGCTGAGCAGCCACAAAACAATGAAGCTGAAACATGTTTATCTCCTGCTGGGAATTTCCTTCCTGCTCTGCACTTCAAGCCTTCCCACAGGTGAGTCTGAGGGATGATGGGAAAATCCTATGCCTGCTTTGATGTGGGATATCCCTAAACAGAGATGCTATAAACTTAGTATTGGGCATGGAAGGAGCCCAAGTCTTTTGAATTGAGTCGCTTGTTCTGAGAAGGAAGCAATGTCTAGCAGATTTATTGCAAAATGAACAAAACTTGAGATTCCTCAAAAATACATTTTTATTCTTCTGTTGACCACTGTAGTTTAGGAATTCCATACTAGCAAATGAATTTCAATCCAGATTTTGCATTTGCAAGATGAGTTCCACAGGCTTCCCCACTTGCAACCTTTTAGCAAAAATGTTCTTGTTTCCTATGAATATGGTTCGCCAGCTCTGCAGACATGTGTGCATATATGTTATCATATACTGTAGTTTCCATTGCCTCCTTTCTTTCTTTTTATATATATATTTTTTATTAAATTTTCTGTTTTACAATTTAAAAGACACATTTTACATCCTTAAGATATCAGTGACTTCCCTTCTTCTCTTTCCATGGTTCATTTTACATATCATAAATCCCTACATATTTTACAAAAACTATACTATTCAGTATTCTATTATTGCATCCATCAAAACTTGTTTTCACTGTTGAATTTATCTTAATGCTGCCAGCGTTTTCAGCTGTACACAGTTATTTCCTGTATATTCAATAAACATTTTCCAATCTTCTCTAAACGTATGTTCTTCTTGTTCTCTTATTCTATATGTTAAGTCTGTGAGTTGTGCCTATTCTGTCAACTTAAGTTGCCATTCTTCTTTTGTTGGGACCTCACTCGTTTTCCAGTTTTGGTCTAACAAAACACGAGCCGCAGTAGTAGCAAACATAAAGAACCCTTTTTGACACCTGGGAATCTCAGTCTGAATTATCCCCAACAGAAAGGACTCGGGGGGGGGGGGTTGGTGCTGGGGAAGTACTTTTAAACATTTTTTTCAATTCATTACAGATTGTTTCCCAATACTCTTTTACCCTTTCCATTGCCTCCTTTCAGCCTTCGGCGTCCATTACTCGGTGGTCCAGTTTCCAGCAGAGGTCACTGCCATCGTGGGAGACAACGTCACCCTGAAATGTGCCTTCTCCATCCAGACTGGGAAGCCCACTTCAGCCAAGGGGGGCATGTCCTGGTTGAAAGGCCCAAGGACGGCAGAATCTGTGGTGGTCCCAGGACCCCGCTTCAGCCTGTCTTATCCAGACACCTTCCTCAGCCCAGGAGAGGGACTGCTGGTCATCACCAACGTCTCCTTGGAAGATGCTGGGAGCTACACTTGCCAAGTGATGGTGTTGGGTGAAGAGGAGATGTGTGGCAATGGGGTCAAGCTCCATGTTTATGGTAAGACAGTCCAGCGACAGGTAGGTAGGTCTGTTGGGCATTGAGCCTTTCGCCTTCAGAAAATGCTCATAGAAACATAGAACTGTAAAGGATGAACCCCCCTGCAATGCAAGAATCTCCGTGTCCCTCTGCATGTCTATACTTCAACCAAGGTTCTTTGGTCAGGGTGTCCGGATGGCAGGAATAGCCAATGCTGCAACCTCTGGATGTTGTTGAGATACAACTTCCATAACCCCTGGCTGTCGCGCATGTTGGCTGGGGACTGGTGGGAGTTGGACTACAGCAACATCCCCTGCTTGAGGGTCTCACAGCACACGATTGTGCTTGCCAAGCTAAATAACACTCATAAAGAATACACGGCCCTCCATAGGGGTACGTAAGCAGTCCCCCTTTCCTGTTGAAACATCATTCCCAATTTTCCATATTTCATGGGGGGGGGGAGCATGAAAGAGAGAGAAGGTGTTTAGCATTTGCAGAACCTGAGATATGAGGTCAAATGTGCAGACACAATTCTTCTCACTTTTTTGTGAGAAACCAAACCCTCTCCACTCTGTTCACTGTTTTAATTTGCCTCTCTCCCGGGGGGGGGGGGGGAATCCTCCAGATGGTCTTGAAACAATTCCTGTCTTAATTATATACACATATATGTCTATTTATTTATCAATGAAATAAACAACTATCTGACTTTTAGAAGACATCCGAAGGCAGCCCTGTTTAGGGAAGTTTTTAATGTTTGTTGTTTTATTGTATTTTTAGTATTCTGTTGGGAGCCACCTAGAGTGGCTGAGGAAACCCAGCCAGATGGGCGGGGTATAAATAATAAAAATAAAAATTATTATTATTATTATTTATTTTAAAAAGTATACTGTTATTTTTGTTTACAACAAAAATGCATAAAAACACACAGTAAAAGCATATTAAAAAGTTAAAACCACACCTCAATTAACCCTTGTAGAAGAATGTATTCTTAGTTGCCTGCATAGGCCTGGCAGAACAGACAAGTTTTCAGCAGATGTTAAAAACTTGGCACAGAAGGTGCCTGCTGAATCCCTGTCGGCAAAGTATCACACTGTACACAGGACTGGGTCTATTTCTTGATATTATCAAGTGAGCCTCGCCAACACGGAGATCAACCAGCGATGCTCCTGCTGATGATCTCAGGGACGGAGCTGGGCTATAAAGGTTCAGAAGATCCCTTAGGTACCCTGGACTTAATTTGTGCAGGCAGGGCTCTGCAAATTAATAACGTCAGCCTGGCTCAGTGGTAGATGGGCAGCCAGTGAAGTTGTTTTAACAGTGGTGTGCTGTCTTCCTGGCCAGGCACCTCCTTCATCCATCTGGCGACCACATTATAAACAAGGGCTGTGATGAAACAATCATCGTCCTCTTAAAGTTCTCTCTTCCAGCCTTGATGCCACGGAATGCCCTTTGCTGGACAAAATTCCGAAAATCCTCTTTTTGCAGCTCATTGTTCCTGGGCGCGGAGAGGAAAAGTCATCCACTCTCCAGGCTGCTACTGAATACTTGTTGCTAGAAAGTGCTGGAGGTAAGAGTGTTCTTGCGCCGCTGGCAACTGCTTTCCTTTTCTCTTTGCCTCCCGCAGCTCGCCCCACCCAGCCGGTCGTTTTCCTACAACTCCAGACTGAGCCTGAATCCAAATGGACCCTCGTTTGCAGAACGGGAGGCTTCTACCCTGCTCCGGTGCGGCTCACGTGGTATCATTCTGGACTCCAGCTGAATTCCTCCCAGCAGGATTGTACAGATCCCACCGGCTTCTCCCAGGCTTCTAGCTTCTTAGGTTTGCCTAATCCTCACCAGAGGGCGAGCTACACTTGCAGCGTGGAGCACCCATCGGTGTCCGAGCCGATAAGCGTTCAGTACTCTTATGGTGAGTGGGTAAGGAGCAGCCAGAAGTGCTCAGAGCACTTCTGCCTCCTTGTGGTCGTTTGAGGATGTACGGAAGGTTCGGAGCTCACTCGCGCTGGAGAATAGGATACAGTATTAGGGACTGTAGTTCTTCTCAAGCAGTTACACCAGTGCCAGATTTATGTATAAGCTAAACAAGCTATAAACAAGCTATAGCTTAGGGCCCCACTCTCTTGGGGGCCCCAAAAAATTTAAAGGGGGAAAACCTGTATGTACATTTCCAAAATATAAGATAAAAAACAAATAAAATAAAACCTACATACAGCAACCGTGTTTTGTGTTGTGTAGGCTCCTATGATGTAAGTAATTGGCCCCCGCCTGCTAGCCTGCTCCCTAAAATATCACTCGTTCGCTCATTTCTATGTATAGGGTGCCTACATTCTGCATGGACTGTTATGTGCCAATGTCTTTAGATACCTATTAGGTCCATAAATTACCATATAGCATCTATTCAACACAAAAAGACAGCGACCATTTGTTGTTGACAAAGGACAGCTGGACATATAAAGGGGCCCATTACCTTCAGTAGCTTTGGGCCTCATCAAACCTAAATCTGGCTCTGAGTTACACCCAGTGCTAATTTTCTAGAAAAAGAGAATCCAGGGCTCACCATGAACTTCTCCCTCATTCTCTTAGAATGGCAATGGCGCCCACCTGAGAGGGGCCGCAGCTGAGCTCCTGTGAGCTCTGGCTGAAAAAAGAAGCCCTGGTTACACCCGATTCAAATTGGCTTGCAAAAGCTCTAACTCATGTTCTCCACAAGCAAGGTTTTTTTTTAACAGTTCCAGTTCTGAAAACTGTTTTTTATTAGCAAACTGTATTCGGTTCAATAGCCTTAAAATCCATTACCACAGCACTTTAAAAAAATCAAATTAATAAATAAAATGTTTAAAAGAAAGAATACACGTGGTGGCGAAAACAGAAGGAATAATGACACATGTGCCACCTCATCTGGCAAACTCACTTGTCCAGAAGTTAACACTAGCATAAAAGTGCCAAGAATCAGAATCCTCGACTTTATCGTCAAGGATGAGTTGGCAACCTCAAACTCAAGGGCCAAATTCAGCCCTTCAGCCCTATCTGGAACTCAGGGCACACTCCTTTTCACTAGTCCTGCTTTGGAACCACCTGAAATGATTTTGCCAGGCTTGAACTGGCATAATGCTGTTTGCTGGCCTGGGTGGTATGTGGTGGTATGTGTGTAAACATGGTATAAAAGAAAATGTCCTACCTTTTACTCCACTCATGTTTGCACCTGGCTCCGCCCACCACTAGCATGTGGCCCTGAGAAGGTTGCCTATGAGGCAATGTGGCCCTTGAGAAGTTCCCTAACTCTGTTATGGACTGTTACAGGGATTTTCATTGTACCATTATTTGGTAACTGCTTCTCCCTGTGATGCATCACTTTATCATTAATTTGCCTTCCCTTGGGGAAAGAGGCATTTAAAGTTGCAACTCCAAATTGCTTTCCACTGAGAGGTCCACCAGAATCAACAGGAATACACTCCCGTTGTCTGTTGTTGTTTAGTCATTTAGTCGTGTCCGACTCTTCGTGACCCCATGGACCAGAGCACCCCAGGCACTCCTGTCTTCCACTGCCTCCCGCAGTTTGGTCAAACTCATGCTGGTAGCTTCGAGAACACTCTCCAACCATCTCGTCCTCTGTCGTCCCCTTCTCCTTGTGCCCTCAATCTTTCCCAACATCAGAGTCTTTTCCAGGGAGTCTTCTCTTCTCATGAGGTGGCCAAAGTATTGGAGTCTCAGCTTCAGGATCTGTCCTTCCAGTGAGCACTCAGGGCTGATTTCCTTAAGAATGGATAGGTTTGATCTTCTCGCAGTCCATGGGACTCTCAAGAGTCTCCTCCAGCACCGTAATTCAAAAGCATCAATTCTTCGCCTATCAGCCTTCTTTATGGTTCAGCTCTCACTTCCATACATCACTACTGGGAAAACCATAGCTTTAACTATATGGACCTTTGTTGCTTTCCATTATTCAGAGGCAAATCCTACATCCAGAACCCACAAATCGTTTCTACTCTAACCGATCATACTCTCCTCCTTCCAGAACCACAGAGCCGGTTCTCTTCCCCTCCCTTGGTGATTGAAGTTCTGAACCTGCTGAAGATTGGGGTAATCTTTGGCATCACCATTGCCCTTCTTGCACTAGGTACGTGACAACCCTCTCCTTTCTTGCCTCAGATCTCCCAGCATGCACTCAGCTTAAGTCTATCTGGTGATTTGGTTTTCCTTTGACAGCATGACTGCTGTCCTTGTCGGGTTTTCTTCTTTATTTCCCTGAGTATACTGCATTGACACAATTTTCTCCAGCTGTGATTCCTTCTACCTTCCTGAGTAGTTCTGGTGGGCAGTCCTGCTCCATCAGGGATCACACACAATAAACAGAATGAGGCAGGTGCAACACCTCTAGGGGGCTGGGGTGTCAATATTGAGGGGACCCAGCATGCAGCTCACACATGTGCTGTTACATGTGACATACATTGAGCATTGCAGCTTCAGTACCCAGCTTCTCCGGAGGATACAACATCATGACATATGTTACGTGCATGATGTCACATACATGCAACACACATAATGTCATGCACGTTCAACGCACGACAAGCCTCCTCAGCCTTGGGGGCAACCTGGTACCTCTGGAATGAGGTCACAGATACATAGCTAGACTTGAGGACGTCACTAGGGCAAGTGAAGGCAACTGAGAAGTGAGGGGGTCATAATTCACTAGCAAACCTTTTACAGCACATGCATGGAGGGAAATTGGCAAGGAGGGGAGATGGCTTTCAGCAATGCCCACATAGTTTGCAGAAAGCATTTTTTTCTTGGTGCTTTTGGCTCAATTCTAAAGCACATATGGGTACTTGCTCCCTTGACCATATATTGTCTTTGTTTCTCTTCCACAGGGTGCAAAAAGCATCTGAGATGATCTCCGGTAGGTCAGGCTACAGAACTGCAACATCAGGTCCTAGGATCTGACATCAAGGGGTACTTCTAAGGGCAGAGGCAGATATAGGTTTTTATAGAAGAATCAGGCCAGTTTGGAAGGACCTCCTCGGCATTCCAGATAAGCATTCCTATTCATTTCCAGGGCTGAAGTCAGGTGTGGATGAGAGATTTATCACTCTGCATATTTGTAGCAAAATCCAGCTGTGGACAGCACCTATTGGCTAGTGCCGGTCATGTTTTCATTTAAACATTTAGGAACTGGTGAATATATAGGTGGCGATTTTTTTTATTTTTTTTTAAAGCAGACTGTCCAATTGCAGCATGGGTGGAAGGCATGGATGGAAGGCAAGGGTGGAAGAGTTCAACTCACCAGAATGTAAATTGTGAAACTGCAAATTAGCTATGTGTCTTCACATGTAGATGAATAAATCTCTGTGGTTTCTCTTTCAAATATGACTTCTGGTTTCATCCAGTTTTATGCTTCCTTCACCCAATTTTGTTCTCATGAGGACTTTAAGAAAACAAATTCCCAAGCTGATGTGGAAAGGTGTAGAAGTGACTTTAAGACTAGGAAAATAACAACTTGAGGGAGCTGAAATTGCCACATCAGTCCATCTCTATCTAAAGGAGTCTTTCCCTACCTTAGAGACGGTAGAAATTAATGAAGGATATTCAAAACAATATAGAGCAGAATAATATGGATCCAGCTCCATCAAAACACATAAACTTTTTTAGGATGTGGTTGTTTGTCTTTCCTGGGAACTAGATTATATTTACACAATCCGTTTTGGACACTTGGTTTGGAGGGGGTGGGAAATCACGTTCAGAGATGCAGTGCTGAATCGCTCAACCTGACATTGAATCCAAAAAAGGTACACAAGCATTTTCCAGAGAAGTCGATGTTTAGCTCTGGTTTCATTAATGAGCTGCTAGAGAAACAAATAGTCTGCTTAACAAGAAACCTTCAGGAATTGCGATCGCTTTAGATGCAAAGAACCTGTGACCCAAGTTTAATTGCGCATGGTACTCGTGCTCTGCGTCTTCCAGCAGTCCTTCTCTGGGAACCGCTTTCTCTTCTACTGTCATACACAAGTCCCCACCACCACCACCCATATAGTTCTCAAGAGTGATGGGACACCATCCATTGCTCCCAGGGGGACTAGTTAAATTGCCATCAAATTGTGCAGTAGCAAGCAGCTCTGTCCATTAGTTGCTCAGGGCTGTGAGTGACTAATGGACCATTTTTTAAAAAAATCTGAAAGAACAGAAATCTCTTTTAGTGGAAGAAAGGAGCAGAGGAAAAGATGCAGTCCTGAAACTACTTTGTACACTCTAAAAATAATAATAGCATAAGCCCCATTTGCACTATTAAGGGTAAAGGTAAAGGTTAGATCCAGTTAGATCCAGTCGCGGAGGACTCTGGGATTGTGCGCTCATCTCACTCTATTGGCCAAGGGAGCAAGCATTTGTCCGCAGACAGCTTCCGGGTCATGTGGCCAGCATGACTAAGCTGCTTCTGGCGAACCAGAGCAGCGCACGGAAACGCCGTTTACCTTCTCGCCGGAGTGGTACCTATTTATCTACTTGAACTTTGACGTGCTTTCGAACTGCTAGGTTGGCAGGAGCTGGGACCGAACAACAGGAGCTCACCCCATCGCGGGGATTCGAACCACCGACCTTCTGATTGGCAAGCCCTAGGCTCTGTGGTTTAGGCCACAGCGCCACCCGCATCCCATTTGCACTATTACACCTCTTTAAACAGTCATGGCTTCTCCCCAAAAATCCTGTGAACTGTAGTTTAAGACTGAGAGTTCTTGAGAGACATCTGTTCCCTCACTTAGCTACAATTCCCCGGGTTCTCTGGGAAGAGAGATTGATAAACCACTCTGGAAAACTGTAGCTCTGTGAGGGGAAGAGAGGTCTCATTGCAACTCTCAGCAGCTTTAAGTTCCTAGGATTCTTTGGGGAGGGGGAGCTATGACTGTTTAAAGTAATATCATAATGCTGCAAATGTATTGTGTGGATCTGGTGTTGCACATGGCTATTAAAGGCTGGTAGAAATGAGATGAACTTAGTCCTGTCGCCAGAACTTAATGTGTCTGTCCGTCCCTCATGCCATCATCTGCCAGCAATGCCCTTTGCCGTTCTTCGCTGGACAAGCAGAATAAATGGGCACATGTCAGATTTGGCAATGCTCAGAAAGCTTTTCAGCCTCACTGGGCAGTCTGCTGCAGACTTTAACAGTGGATCTTCCAAAGAAAACTGCACTGTGTGAAACTGCTAAGTTCCAAACGATCAGGAAATTAAATTAATCACATGTGGCTTGATTTGAGATTGCGAGTTTATCTCTTATGTTAGATAATCAGCTGGCCAGTGCCAGGATGTTTGCATTATCATCCACACTGCCTAGTATTTGACAACGTGGGCTTGACTCCACAAACGTTTGTGCCATAATAAATAAGTCAGTGAATAAATAATGTGCCACAAGTCTCTCCGGGTGGAATCCAAACATTAGTCATCTGCAGAATAATTTATGGACATGACTAGGTTCAGTCATTTCAATGGGTTTACTCTTAGTGAAACAGAGTTGGATGCAACCTTTTGCTGTTGAGATTCCCTTGTTAAGGTTCACTGCAACATTTTTCCTTTTACATAATTATCCCAGTCCTTCATGTATTTCATTATCCTCTGGCTTCACTCTTTGCTATTCCCACCCCAAAACATGATTATGTCTTCTAATTTAGGATTATTATTCATGCATCTGATGATATTGAACCTTGTGCCATAATACAGCTGTCACAGTTCAAGCCTAACCATGCCTACTCAGAAGTAAGTCCTGTTGAATACAATGTTGCTTCCTCCCAGGTAACTGGGCTTAGGGCTGCTACCTTCATGATTAGGATGCCTTATTTAAAGTCTCCCTTATTTTGCTGCGGACCAAAATTGGCCACCCCTTTGAAAAGTAATGTTGTGTTTTCATTCTTTCCCCAGTATTGCTGCTTGACTCCAAGTAATGCTGCTTGACTCCAACTTCCATTGGCTAGCTCTGAGAGGGGAAGAGGGATGATGGGAGTTGTAGTCCAACTGCATCCAGAGAGCCACAGGTCCTCAATTGCTGTTTAAAACATCCCTCTTGTCATTTCCTTCCAGGATGATTTGCCCATCCCTCATCTTATTAATAGGAGGAGGAAAGGACATTCCTGGAAGTTTTCACATTCCCATATTTTTCCCACCCTCGCTGCTTTCCCTCCTTTCATCAGAGTTCTTCTTCAATCAGCAATTGCTGCCCTGACCACCAGAACTAAAAATACCATATTCTTATCCAGCCCAGGGTCCTGCTTAACATCTCTCCTCATGACAGCTGTTGGGAATGTGGCAGAGCATGCAAACTAGCCAGCCTAAGTGGGTTTCCTCTTTCATGTTTATTCTTAAGGGTAGGTGCCATGGCTGTCCAGATGTTACAACATCTGGTGGACCACAGGTTCACCAGCCCTGGTTTATGCCAGACTCTTCTGTACATTACGCAAGCAACCTTGCAATGAAGGACCTGATGAGAGTCACTGTTACAATGGATGAAATTATGCTCCAAGCTTAGGACGGATGTGAGGTTCCTCAAGGTTTTTTGAGTTCCCTGGCTTGGAAAAATGAATCTTGATAGTTTATGGTGGTTGCCTAATCCCAGAGTCAAACATTACGGCTCCCAAATGCTGGACAAACCAATGATATTTTAATAAACTCTAATGTGATGCAACCAACTTTACCAGGCAATTATAGGAGTCTCAAGGAGAGAGGATGGTGGCTTTTGTATAAAATGTCAAGCAAAGGTATGGGGGGGGGGAACCTTTTCAGCCCAAGGGGCCAAATTCCCTCTTGGGGTCTGCATCCCAGCTGTGGGTGTGGCCAGAAGCAAAAGTGGCTAGATATGACTCTACATTTCCAACCACACAAAAGCCACAAGTTACTGTAAAGGTAAAGGTAAAGGGACCCCTGACCATTAGATCCAGTCGTGGCTGACTCTGGGGTTGCGGCGCTCATCTCGTTTTATTGGCCAAGGGAGCCAGCGTACAGCTTCCGGGTCATGTGGCCAGCATGACTAAGTCGCTTCTGGTGAACCAGAGCAGTGCATGGAAATGCCGTTTACCTTCCCACCAGAGTGGTACCTATTTATCTACTTGCACTTTGACATGGTTTCAAACTGCTAGGTTGGCAGGAGCAGGGACCGAGCAACGGGAGCTCACCCCATTGTGGGGATTCGAACCGCCAACCTTCTGATCGGCAAGTCCTAGGCTCTGTGGTTTAACCCACAGTGCCACCCGCGTCCCTACAAGTTACTGTGCACACACACAAATTCCATCCAGGCAAGTGAGGGGCATTATCACAGTTCAATGACATGCTGTAGCCAGACAAAAACACTCAAGGATGGTGTGAAGCAGGGCTGCTGAAGGGGTTGACCTAGAGAGGAGGCATGGCCTAGGGAGAGTTCTGAGGGCCAGAAAGAGAGGTGTGGAGGGCCACAGCCTCCAGGCCTCCACACCTCTGTTTCAAAGTGCAAACTGTCGCACCAAGTATCCCTAACTGTGGTCCCTCCTCATGTCTATCTGTGTTGCAGATGTGGGCAGCTGGCTCCCTCTCCATCCCTGGGGTGCCTATGCCTTTGTCTATTCCCAGAGAGAACAGTACAGCCTTTATCACATTACCATCTCATCTAAGAGCTACAAGTGCTTTGCAAACATCAGCTAATTGCATTTTCTTAACCTCCCTCTGGAGGTTGCGACAGCTGAATTGTGTGTGTACAATGGGAGAGAGGCTCAGGAAGGGAGGAGAGATAAAGGGAATCAATGAACCTAGAAATCATCCCTCTTCTCTCTTCACCCACCCTTGTTCCATCCTTCACCTTTGGTCACTTCTATCGGTTTCCAGGTGTAAAGGAAGAAAGCCAGGAGGATCAAGCCACAAGCTCCCCCCCCTTGCCGTGGTTCCAGCCGGTTCCATCCAAACAGACTGCCTTAAATGCAATTTAAAGAAACAAATTTAAAAAGAGGAAATACTGCCACCCCCCATATTCACCCTCTGATGTGCTTATGCATCACTCCCTTAGCCACTCTGCATCACCATGAAAGGGTTATGATCTCTAGGATAATAAACATTTGGCTTCCAAAGGCTGTTTTCCAAAGGTCTCTGTGTGTGTCAACCTCTTTAGTCTGTCACCTCTATCCTGGCTCAGCGGTGCCTGTCAAATCACTACAGTGGTACCTTGGTTCTCAAACACCTTGGTACTCAAACAACCTGGAACCCAAACACTGCAAACCAGGGAGTAAGTGTTCCGGTTTGCAAACTTTTTTTGGAAGCCGGATGTGCTCCATTTTGAGTGTTATGCTTCCGATTTAAGTGCCACACTTCTGTTTTGAGTGTTACACTGAGGTCTGCCTGTCTTTGTGGCCCTTTTTGTTTTGTTTTTGTGACTGTGTGGAACCCAGTTCAGCTACTGATTGATTGATTGATTGTGTGACTGCAGTACATTATTTATTGCTTTCATTTTATGGATCAATGGTCTAGTTAGATAGCAAAATTCATGTTAAATTGCTCTTTTAGGGGTTGTTTTTAAAAGTCTGGAATGGATTAATCCATTTTGTATTACTTTCTATGGGAAAGTGCACCTTGGTTTTGGAACGCTTTGGTTTTGGAATGGACTTCCGGAACAGATTAAGTTTGAGAACCAAAGGTACCACTGTAATTAGGTACTTTGAACTTCAGGGGAAGCAGAGATATATCCCTGTGAACGAAATCTCTCCAAGCCTGACCCAGCCCTTACAGCTCATCAGTCTGGCTGAATTAATTATACTGTTAAGAGGGAGAGAGACCAGTCATCCTCTGGTTTGCTATGGCAGGTTTGCCACTGCTGTTTGTGCTGCAAGGTCAGATTCAGATTGATGAGCTGAAGCAGGGCTTTCTTGGTGGTGTCCTCCAATCTGTAGAACACCTTCCTGAAGGATATAGTTAACCTCATCAGTTCTGGCTTTTAAGGAGGGCTTGGGGAAAAAATGGCTTTGAGCTGGGATGTTTTTGGGATCATTATTTGTTTATTTTATAAAGGAGACCCACATTATTACAATAAAAAGTAACGCTCTTAAGCACAAACACAGCAAATACAGGTTCCCTTATGGGACAATGGTTGGTGGACCTCCAGCATTTGCCACCTGAGGCAACTGCCTCACTCTGCCTAATGGTAGAGCAGTCCTGTTCTTTATCCATGTTTTACCCTTGGTTCTCACCATGGCTTTTGTGAACCTAGCACAGTAGCTTAGCAATGGTTGAGTAACTATTAACCAAGGGTTGTATTTGGTTCATAAAGTTCCTTTTTACATGTAAACCTGGCCTTTTCACTGAACAATAGTTAAGGAGTTATCACTGCCCCCAAAACAACAGAGCTATGAGTGAGAAGCAGCAAAGGTTTCAAAAAGCTCTCAAAGCTTGCTGGTCATGTTTTTGTTTTTTTATGATAATCCATGTCTGTTTTAGCTATGGTTTATTAATGATGGTTAACATTAACCATCAATCCTTGTGGGATGTAATCCACTGGGAGCAGTCAAATACAACATTCTTTGTTTTCCTAGAGAAGACATGCGGGAGAATGTTTGGTCCAGCCAGTCAAAAACTTCCTATTTCCTCCTGGCTGGAGCATCCTTCCTTTGCATGTGACTAGATGTGGGTGTGACCTTACCTGTCCAGGTAACAAAAGAACAAGGCATGCTACCACTCTCTCTCTTTTCCATCTTCCTTTCGCCAGTCTGCAGTCACTGGAATTAACCCCCCCAATATGGGGTAGATCCACATGTACATATTTGTAACTAAGTCTGTCTTCAGGAATCCAACTGTGAACTGAATGTGAGTAAACTTATTTTATTAACTTTCAATAAGATTGTCATGTCTTTATTCTTTTAAGAGGGATAAAAGGGAACTTACCAGGGACATACAATTCAATACTGAATTGTATGATAGTGAGAGGCTTACACAAGCCTGCAACCAGCTATCTGCTGCATGTTAGAAGGGGAAAGTAAACTCTGCTAAGTACAGGGACTTGCTAGCACAAGTTAGGAAGGATATTAATAAACAATATATCCTCTCCTGCCACCCTGAGCATTCCCACACTCCTTAGCAACTCCTGCTTGTGTTACACGGGTTCACTGCATCTTGCCACTTCAAATTACTTGCATTCAGTAAAAAGGATGTGCTTCCTCGCATGTTCTCTGGGAGGTGTTAACAGGACACATTGGGACCATCCTGGCTGCCCAGAGGGCCTCTTATATTTCTCACACATCTTGAGAGCAGCTTCAAACATGACAAAAAACGAAAAAAAGAAAGTGCCAAGGCATGAACCGTAGAATCGTATTTCCTCTTTTGGCACTGATGGGTTAATATGCAAAGTAGACAACATGCATTCAGGTTCCCCCACCCTCCTTGGGGAGATGTGCACCCTCCTTCTTTTGTGAAGTCACTTTCGATGGGATCTGGCCCCCCACCCATCCAACACCACCACACACAAACATGGAACATGATTCTCTACAGTTTTAACACTTGGCGTTCTTTGAGGCAGCGAACAGAGTCCTTGTTTCTTCAGAAAATCCTTTTCCAGAAATGAGTCTGAGTGCCGAAAAGCACATATATGCCCCTTCTCCAGCAGAGCAAGGAAAATAGGAGCTCAGTGTCACATCATCCCTTTTCTGGAAACAGTTGGAGAGTATGAGTCTCCGCCAGGCATCACCAAGCACCTCGCCCTGCTGTGAGCCATCTCCACAATGCCGCTAGGAACATGTGGAGCAGCATCCAGGATATCAGGAGCTATGGGAACATTTCTCATGGCTCCTGATTTATTTGTCTCCTCCATAACTATCAGAGCAGTGCCTAGGGCAGGCATAGGCGAACTCGGCCCTCCAGATGTTTTGGGACTACAGCTCCCACCATCCCTAGCTAACAGGACCAGTGGTCAGGGGTGATGGGAGTTGTAGTCCCAAAACATCTGGAGGGCCGAGTTCACCTATGCCTGGCCTAGGACCTAGTGGAGGCCTTGTAAGCCACATTCACCACTGGCTGACTTTGGGGAACAGACAAGAAGCAAGAGATGGGGGGAAGCTCATGGGTGGCATGGGAGCTCAATGAATGGAGAAGGGAGAGCCCCATGCCTTGTGGAGCTCATGACAGTGGTGCCTAGTCAGAATGAGCTTGCATCCTACATGCACTCACCAAATTACACTTATTTTCTTCAAAACATATTCAAAATAAAACTGGAGGGAAGTGGCTCTCACCCATCATTACTTCTAGCCTCCAAGAACCAAGAGGGGAGAGGCTTAATCTCGGGGTTGTGGGTTCGAGCCCCATGTTGGGCAAAAGATTCCTGCATTGCAAGGGGTTAGACTAGATGTCCAACTCTACAATTCTATGATTCCTCAACCCAGCGTGGAAAAGGACTTATGGAGCTTCTCTGGGCACAGTCCAGCTAGCCTCAGAGGTGCAGAAACTGCAGAGGTGCATGATACTGAGATTTCAGTTTCGGAGGCCTGGAGCCATTTCTGTCAGACTTAAATCAAATGTTGTAGTATCTGCTTGGCCCACAAAGAAAGTCTCAGTCTCTGGGCATGTCCATAGATGTAGATGGTCATAACCTGGAACAGCAAACTGCCTCCTGGGGACCTGCTCTCCCCAGTTTTTCACTCTCTCTATAGAACACCTTGCGGATCACTGAAGGCAAGGCACAGACCCTCTCTACCCGGGTCAGGAAGCCCCAGCATGAACGTTGCACTGCAGAGGAAGAAAAGTAGAAGATGACCGGATCCAAGCTGGCATTGAAAGTGCTGAGCAGCAAGGCCTCATCCCTCCACCGTGGATCTTCCCACTGGATGAAGCCCACCACGTGGGAGATGTTGTAAGGCGAGAAGCAGACAATGAAGACGGCTAACGTGGCCGACACCAGCCCCACGGCTCGCTGCTTTTTGCTCCTGCGGATGTGCGGCGAGGAGATCACGATCCTCATGAAGCCGAAGTAGCAGAAGCAAGTGAGCAAGGATGGGACCAGGAAGAGGACGATGCCAAGCTCCAGGCGGACAGGGAGCAGGATGGCGAGCTGGACATCTGTGAAGTTCTTGTAGCAGTTCTTATGGGAGCCGTTGTCTGGCTCTGTATTGTTGTGCTGAAACTCAGTGATGTACACAATGCTGCAATGGGCAAAGGAGCAGGCCCAGAGGCCGAGGCTGGCCACAGCCGCGTAAGCCGAATGGCGCCTCAGCTTGTAGTGGATGGGGTAGGCCACGCCCAGGTAGCGCTCCACGCTCACCGCCGTGAGGAAGAGGGTGCTGGAGTAGATGGTGCTGAAGTAGAAGAGGCCGCTGAGGGGACATAGGGGAGCGGGGAGAGGCCACTGCCCGGCAACCGCCTCTGCCACCTTGAAGGGCAGGAAAGCCAGGAAGCAGAGGTCAGAAACAGTGAGGTTGAGGAGAAGGACACAGTTGGGTGTGGCCTTGGTCTTCAGCTTCTTGATGAGGGCATACAGGGCCAGAAGGTTGGTGGGAAAGCCCGTCAGGATGGTGAGCAGGTAGATGGAGAGGTAAACACCAGAAGGCATGCCAGATGCTTTTTCACCTGTGTGGGGAGATAAGGTGTGTGAGAGAAGCCGTTTGTGAGGAGAATGAAAGAGGAGGGGAAATAAATCTGATGCTGAGCGGTTGCCCTCAGACATTTCCTTTTTAAAAATGTTGTGGAAGTTCACCAGCATTTTAGTGCAAATTCCTAATATGCACATATATAGATAACTATGGCACATTTTTGCAAAGCAGCTTTCCTTTCCATAATGGGTTTTGGTCTGCTGTTTTCACTAATGGGTGCATTCTTATGCACACCTCGCCTGAGTATATGCAGTGCTATTTTTCTAGAAAAAGAGGTGCCAGAACTCATCGTGAACTCCCTCAGTCTCTTAGAATGACAATGGCACCCACCTGAGAGGTGCCGGAACTGAGTTCCAGTGTGTTCCGGCTTTATACATATGAGTTGGGTAAAGAACAGCATCTCAAAATACAGAGATTGGCAAATTTCAAAGGATGCTGTGTTTGCTCAGGTATTATTTCAGAAAGTGCAAATTATGTAGGTTTGCCTTTAAATGAGAACTGGATTTATTCTCACTCATTCTCTCTCTCTCTCTCTCTCACACACACACACACTGAAAGGTTGTGGATAAGACCTGCGATATATCTGAAGGTTGCTGAGACAAGATGGCAACCAGAGCATCTGCTTCTCTGTTTGCTTCGCCAACCATTTTCAATCCACCCTCCGAATTTACCCCCCGCAGCGATCCTGTGTAGGGCAGACAAGATGTAATCCAGCCAGGGACTGGAAGTCAGCCAAGAATAGGTGAAGAAAGTTTATTTATTTTTTATTTGCTTTGCAATACATGTGAGCCAGGGAGAAATTGATAGGGCAGCCAATCAAACCCAGCATTTATTTGTCAGCCTTGGTAGGTCTGGAGCCAATCTTTCTGTGCCAGCCTGTTCCAATCTCTGCCAGACTGACTGCTCTGGTTCAGGAGTTTTCTGCTGTGGATACTTGGGAAATAACACATGCCTGGTTTATTCTCTGTCTTTAAGGTCCCCATCTGCACCATTCATTTAAAGCTGTATCATACCACTTTAAACAGACGTAGCTTCCCTCAAAGGGTGCTGAGAGCTGTAGGAGACCCCTATTCCTATCAGAGGACTACAGTTCTCAGAGTTCATTTTTTACATTACTCTGGGAATGTAAGGGCAATAGGGGTGTGCAGACAACACTTAGCATCCTTAATCCACTACAGTTCCCAGGATTTTGACTGTTTAAATTGGTATCATTGTGTCTGTGGGGCAGAGTGCCTGCCATCAGCTTCTGTTTGTGGCCCACCCCTGTTTGAACAGGGATAGCATACCTTCTGTTGTCTGTGCTCTGGTAACCTAAAGGTTAGATTGCTGCAATGTGTGGGGCTGTCCTGAAGATGGTTTGGGAACTTCAGCTGGTGCAGAATTTGGCGGCTCGATCGCTCACCAGGGTAAGATGGTTTGAGCATATTACACTGATCCTGGCCTGACTGTATTGGCTGCCAATTAGTTTCCGGGTCCAATTCAAAATGCTGGTTTTGACCTATAAAGCCTTAAATGGCTCAGGACCAAAATACCTCAAGGACCACCTCTCTCTACATATGAAGCAACTCAGACCCTGCAACCATCATCTGAGGCCCTTGTTCGTGAGCCTCCTCCTTGTGAGGTCTGGGGGGGGGGTGGCAGCACAATAACAGGCCTTTTCTGCACTGGCTCCCTGCATGTGGAATGCGCTCACCAGGGAAGCTCACCAGGTGCCTTCATTATGTATAGTTTAGTTGCCAGCCAAAGGCATTCCTCTTCTTCTAGACCTTTGACTAATTAAACTGTTGAGGGTGTATTGGTTTTGTTTGTTACTGTGGTATGTATTTCTGTGTCTTTATATGGTAAAGTGCCTTGGGATCTTTGGATGAAGAGTGTTATAGAAATAATAAATAAATAAATAAATAAATAAATAAATAAATAAATAAAGAAAGTGCAGATGGGGCTACGCTGGTGGAATCTGCACACATATTTTTAAAAAACATTGTGAAAAAGCCTATTAAAAACATTTTGAAAAATACATTGCATTTTGCATAGCTCACTTTCGCCATCTAGTGTCACACTTGTATATTGCACTTCACAACACATTTAAAATGTTTTATTTGCAACTGCATAGCTGACTCCACTCTTGTTGTTCCTAATGGCTGCAAACTGCTTTGAGGTTTGTTTGTTTGTTTTTAACAACCAAGTGGCATGTAAATTCTGTGAAATAAGTAAAATAGAATGGAATGGATTAAATAAAATAAAATAAAATAAAATAAAATAATGTCTCTTTCCTTCCCTGGGGCTGGTGCCTCTGCCTCCTTCTTTACATTTTTCTCCTCCCCAAGTCTGGAAGCCCAGTAGTTTAAGGGTATTAAAACTGGACTTCTTCTTCTCTGCATTGATTTTACACGCCATGGTGGCTGAAGGTTATCCAAGCAAGGTCTGAGGAAACCTTGCTCTGAGAGGAGATGCCAGAGCATCTATAAAACTCCCAGGCTTTGCTCCTTACCATATTCATCCCTGTTTTCTCAGTTCTGCACTGGGGCCTGAACTGGCTCCTTCGAGGGATGCACACAAGGACATTCTTCATTCCTAGGGCCTCATAAAAACCAGCACCATAAAAAGCAGAAGGAGCGAGTGAAGCTCTACATTGGAAACAAGGGTGGGAAGAGACCAGCAGCGCCTCCTATTCACCAAGCAGCCGCTGTAGTGGCAGCATGGGGGGGGGGGCTGCCAAGGAGAAAGCAGATCTGTCTTCCAAAGTACACGACACAGCTGTCACGACCACTGTGGCAGCAACAGGCTGCCCCTGTGGATCCTGCAGTCACCTCACCTTGCCTTGCGGATGTGCCAGCCCTGTGTGCAAGAAGGGATAGCTTCTTACAGCTTAGCATGGAGCCACAGATGCCACTGCTTCAGTGCCAGATTTACGTGTAAGCTAAACAAGCTATAGCTTTGGGCCCCACTGTCTCTTGGGGGCCCTCCAAAAATTTAAAGGTGAAATAAAACTGGATGTACATTTCCAAAATATAAGATAAAAATAAAATAAAATAAAATAAAACCTACATACAGCAACATTGTTTTCTGTTGTGTAGGCTCCTACTATGTAAGTAATGGGCCCCCAATCATTTTAAGTTAGAGCTTAATCATTATTTCACTATTAATAAACTTCTTCTTAATTGTATTTCACTATTAGTATACTTCTTAATTGTATTTCAGTTCAGCAATTACTTTGATAAAATACATATTTTGTGATGTGCAGATGGCTTTAGATACCTATTAGGTCCATACATTAAAGGTAAAGGTAAAGGGACCCCTGACCATTAGGTCCAGTTGTGGCCGACTCTGGGGTTGTGGCGCTCATCTCACTTTATTGGCTGAGGGAGCCGGCGTACAGCTTCCGGGTCATGTGGCCAGCATGACTAAGCCGCTTCTGATGAACCAGAGCAGCACACGGAAACATCGTTTACCTTCCCACCGGAGTACCTATTTATCTACTTGCACTTTGACGTGCTTTCGAACTGCTAGATTGGCAGGAGCAGGGACCAAGCAACGGGATTTCACCCTGTCGCGGGGATTCAAACCACCGACCTTCTGATCGGCAAGCCCTAGGCTCTGTGGTTTAACCCACAGTGCCACCCGCGTCCCTACAGGTCGATACATTACCATATAGCATATATTCAACACAAAAAACAGCGACAATTTGTTGTTGACAAAGGACAGCTGGACATATAAAGGGCCCCATTACCTTCAGTAGCTTAGGGCCTCATCAAACCGAAAACCAGGCCTGGTCAGCTTCCTGTGTTCCTACACAATAATTCGGGCTAAGTGTCACAGGAGAAGACGATGCATTCCTACAAATGGCTGGTAGGAATTCTTTAGCATTACACCCAATTCCCCATCTCTATTAATAGGGTGTTACTTTATTCTCTCTCTCTCTCTTTGTGCCAACTGCAAGAATCAGCTCGTTCCAGAGTTGGCTTTGATCTATAACAATCTCTTCCAGCCTGGCAGCATCCCCAGAAAAGGTCAACAGGCACTTTTGGTTTACAAAGCCTGCAGCCATATGTTTGGACAGAGTGATATGGGCACTGGTCCAGCACCAGCCTGCTGGCATAAACCATCCTGGCACACTTGGCACCATGCCCTGGGCAATCATTGGCTTTTTTCCCCTTCCCATCTTCTTTTTGCCCCTCCTGGCGGTCTGTGCTGGCGAAAGGTCCGTTCCTAAGAAGGATCAAGGCCATGAGGTAAAGGGAAAAACAGGAGGAGTAGGAGTAATAATAACAATTTTATTATTCATACCCCACCCATCTGGGTAGGCCTCAGCCTGGCAAATACTAGTCCCCATGGACAGGGGCGCTGACTTGGGCCCCACACTGTGGGCGCTCAGTGCCCACTGTGGGTGTCATGATGGCGCAGTGAGCGACCTCCAGCGCCGCAGTGATGACAACAGGATGGTGCCTGTGCTTCCATGGAGGTGGCAGACATTGTTTTCGGAGGTGGGCATGTGGTGGTGGCTGCAGCATGTGGTGTGAAGGTGGCACTTGACTGCAGGGGGCATGCAGAGGCTGAAGTTGTCTCACGACAGGGCCAGCCCTACAGGCCAAAGATTCCAGGAAACCCACAAGTGGCACATGAGCACAGCTGCCCTTCACACCTGTTGGCTCTCTTCACCTGAGGCTCGGTGGCACAATGCCCATGTGAGCATGGGCAACGCAGGCTGGAATGCAAGAACCCTACACTTTTGTTCTCACAACAACAAGCCTGTGAGGTAGGTGAGGCTGAGAGCCGGTGACTGGTCTAGAGACACACAGCAAGGTTTGTGGCTGAGCAGGAAATGTTATTGTCGCTGCTCTAAATGGGATCACCTTAATAGATGGTCCTGTTTGCGGGCAGGCTCTCAACCTGGTTCTCCCCCCTCAGCATGGGTGGAACTAACGCACGCATGGCGGGGTGGCACCACAATTACCCAGGGCTATTGCCCAATCATGTCAAAGGGTGATAGTGGGGGAAAGTATAAAAGCAGCAGCACGGCATGTGCCAGGCTCCTGCTTCGCGTTGAGGGCCAGGTAGGAATTTTTCCCATCTGGCAATTTGGCACAGGCCACTTGGTTTTTGCCTACCTCTTAGCAATCATCACAACTTTGTAAGGTTTGGCGGTTAGGCATTGGCTTATTGTGAATGGGGGAGGGGAGGTTGGCCATCACCTGCCCCTCCAGTTTCAAGGGTATTTCGTTAAAGGAAGCCGTGGCCTGGTTCCTGTCCGAGGTCCGCTTGAAGGGTGAGGGCCATGCCTGGGAACACCAGGAGAGATGGAGGCGGGTTCCCCCGAAGCAATTTCCCTTTGGGTGCCTTACCCTTACAGACTTCCTGCAAAGGGGACAGGAGTCAGATATAGTCTTGCCAATGCCTAAGCCAATACCGCTCTCATTCCTGTAATCAATAAAGTTGTGGCCAAATTTTTGCCCAGAAACCTTAAACAAAATATCCCTGTCCGTGTGAATTTATTTATCTTAATGGGGGGGTCAGCTTGAGGGTCTTGCCACGCAACCCGCTTGACTCTAGAAAGAGAGATGAATTTCTCAGATTAACATTGGGAGTTCCAGCAGCAGCAGCAGCAGCAGCACCTTCATTGGACGCTTGGCAGAAGTACTTAGTCAGTATGACTCTCTGGACAGACTGGACAGAGAGCAGCAGATGGCTAGACTCACTGCATTGTTTGTCCCAGGCTAGGGAATGGGATCAGAACGGCAACTTTAAGACGAAAATGAGAGATAGGAGAAATATTTGGAGCTGTCTGTAAACAAGGTCAATAAACCCTTTGAGTAAGCGCAAGGATGGATGGGGGTCGTTGTGATGGCAGGGGAGGACACACACAACCATTTTCCATAACAAATGCTAGCCCCCAAACAGTGGCAGGGGGCCTGCTTGGACTCCAGAGGAAACTCTTTTCCATCTCAGAACTGCTGTTTGCTTTGGAAATGGGAGCTCTGAATCTTGCAGATTTGCGCACGGGTTATTTCTCTCTGTTCTTTCTCTTCTTTACAGAGCGGACGCTTGCGAAAGCCGCTTCGAGAGACACAAAGGAGCTGCCACTTCTACGAAAGCACCTGTCTGAGACTCGGTGACGCATGGCAGACCTCTTGATTTGCTTCTTCTAGGGGCAATATGTAGGGTAGCTCAAACAAACTTCCTACGCATAGGAGTAGGCCTATCTTTTCCCTCTCACTCTCACTGTGGATAGATCCACTGTAGTTTCCTCCTCCCAGAGATGCAGTTCTCAGCACCCTTGACAAACTACATTTCCCAGGATTCTTTGGGGGGAGTTGTGTGCTTTAAATGTGTGCTGGGTGTGCTTTAAAGGCATGGTGTGGATCTGCCCTTTCTCACACTCACTCACTTTCTTTCCCTCTCTGCAGCTGTCTCTTAATATCTGAGCATTGAGTTTTTAGATTCAGATCAGAACCACAGTGCTGGGGTATGGTGGTTGACCTCCACCTACAAAAACACAGTCTTCCTTCAAAATTCACACTCCTCCGAAGTTTGCAATGCAGTTCCCGAGAGAAGCAATGTGCATTTTATAAACACAATTGTACATATATTCCACCATTCTGGTGAACCACATCAAAAGGGGTGCAAGGAAGCACAGGATTCCAGTTGCACAGAATACCTGCTTGCTTTTTAAGGCAGGTTTCTAGTCCTTGTGGACAAAGATGTACTGAAAAGCGTGTGCAAAATGCCTGCTGAAATCTCAGAAGACAGAAGGGGTGAAATCAATAAGATTTATTTTCCGTGACTGGGTTACTGTCTCTGTGCTCTACTTTGCGTGACTGTGCCCTAATTTGCTCAATTAATTTCTATACCACCCTTCATTAAAAATCACAGTTCAAAGCATAAAGCAATAAAATAACAATGTTATCAGACAGTAAGGCACATGGTCAAATACAATAAAACTTCAATACAACAGCCTCTGTATAAAGCAGCAAGGAGATAAACTGTTCTGCAAACATCCTTCCATATGAAATATTAATACAAACTGGTTCTGGAGATATCAGGAGGTTGCCCCTCCCCCCAAGTGAACAGGTGAGTGAATTCCTTGTGATGACAAGCTTGAGAGGCAGAGAGAGCCTGGGCTGTGGTGCAGAGAAAGATGGACCTATAAGAAGACACCTTGAATTCCTGTTGAGCCATAAAGCTCAAGGGCTGACCCATCCTTCCCCACCCTGGATCCCTTCAGAGGTTGCTAAACATCCAACTCCCATCAGGCCCAGCCATCATGGCCAACGTTCATTAATGATGGAAGCTGTGGTCCAAACCTGCTAGCAGATTTTTGATTCACCATTGGCCCAATTCAGCAAGCTCTTCTCACGCTCTAAGGAAAGCTGTTAGAGGAGAAAGAAGTACCGTAATGTGAAAGAACGAGGGAGGAGGAACGGAAGAACTTGGCAGTTGGGTGAGTGGGGGAGAAGTAACAATTTGAATGTGCAAGGAGAATGGGAGAAGAAAATACATGACAGGGGTAAAAATACTTTTAAGGGGGAAATGTAAAAGCAAAAAAGCCTTCTTCGCTTAGAGTCTCTGGATTTGCTTGACATGAAAAGACCAAGTCAAAATACCTCCACAGAAAAAGAGCACACTTTTCTTGAGGAAAATGGAACTCAGGATCTCTGTGCAAGGAAATCACCGCAGCAAAGAATTTAGCAATGTTTTCAAAGGTGGATCAGGTTGTCAGCAGAAAAGGATGCCAAGCTCTTCCGCCACCTGCCGCCATTTTGTGACTGTCTCTGCCCCTGCACCACCATTTTGTGACTAGTGGGCCTTGGTAATTTTCAGCTATCTCAAGAGGACCCTGAGGATAGAAAGACTGAGAACCCCTGCTCTGCCTGTTAGCCTTCCAGGCATTTAAAGACTGCTATAATGCCTTCAATGCCTTCAATGACATCATCAATGACTTTTCCTGTTTTCATTGCATTTGTTAAAAAAATTGGTTTTTTAAAAAATTGTGTTGTTTTTTGGGCATCTGTTAATCCCGCTTTTGTGTTTTAGTTCTCTTATTTAATATTGCGATTCGGCCAAAATGACCCAAGCTCATTTCCTAATGCTACAGTTTAGCAACTCTGTGTAAAGTTCACTCAAATAAAGCCCAAGCTCATGGGTAATGACTTACAAGTTGGCACCCAATTTATTGCCCATAAATTGAAACAATCCGGCTGTTGACATAAGCTATCAGACATTGTTAATCGTTGTCCTGCTAAGAGATGCATCAGCCAATGGCAATAATAACATGCTATCGGAATAAGCTAATGAAATGCCCCCTGGCGTAGGTGTTGATTGGTGGTAAGAGCTGCTGGGGTGTGTGTGTCTGATTCTTACGCACGCTGGACGGGGCTGTGGCACCATTGGGTGTGGAGCAAGGTTGGCACCAGGAAGGAAGGAAGGAAGAAATGATGGGGAAGCACCGAAGGGCCAAAGTGCATTGGGTGGAGATGGAGAGCCTCCCTCACACACGTTAGAAAGAAAGTCTGGGATACCCCTATATTTCAATTAAAGCTGAGCCAAAATTTCTCAGAAGACATTTCTGCCAGCAAGTTGTAGTGCAGCATACCTGCCAAGTGCTCCAGAAAAAAGGGGGCAGAGATCACATTGAAAAAAGGCACACATTGTCATGGGACTTGCCCAGGAGCACGTCCCAGAGGACACATGTCCCAGTTTTTCTGAAGAAGCGGGATGGTATGGTGCAGGGATGGGAAACCTCCACCCCAGAGGGCCATTTCCCCCAAACTACACCCATCTGTTAACTGATGTCTCTTGTGACATCATCTGATGGGCAGGAGGGCAGGGTAAAAGTCTACCTTGGCGGCCTGTGCCTGTTCCCATGAATCAGCGATGGATAGCTCAGCTGGTAAAGCATGGGGCTCTTAATCTCAGGGTCGTGGGTTCAAGCCCCACATGGGGCAGAAAAAAGAAAAGGAAGATTCCTGTATTGCATGTGGTTGGACAAGATAATCCTTATTGTCCCTTCCAATTCTACAATTCTATGAAATGTGCATGCCAAAAATATGTAGATTGGGAGAAAATCGCACTAAATTACCGATGAATTTCCATGGGGAATTTAAGGAAAACTGTAAATCTACCGTATTTTTCGCTCTATAGGACGCACCAAAGCATAAGACGCACCTAGTTTTTGGAGGAGGAAAACAAGAAAAAAAATATTCTGAATCTCAGAAGCCAGAACAGCAAAAGGGATCGCTGCGCAGCAAAAGCAGCGATCCCTCTTGCTGTTCTGGCTTCTGGGATAGCTGTGCAGCCTGCATTTGCTCCATAAGATGCACACACATTTCCCCTTACTTTTTAGGAGGGAAAAAGTGAGTCTTATAGAGCAAAAAATACGGTATTTTGAGAACCAAATTTTAGGTTGGAAAAAATGAGAATCTAAGAGAATCCAAAATTGGGAGATTTGTTCATCTCCAGTACTGCCACCCATTATGAGGAATTCCTTTGCCCCAAGATCTTCCCAGGGTTTGGGGAACGGCTATCACTCAGTGGCAGAGTGTCTGCTCTACATGCAGAAGATCCCAGGTTCAATTTCCAAGTCGGGTTGTCCTCTAACTGAAACCCTGGAGAGCAGCTGCTGGTCAGAGAAGATAGTACTAAGCTAGATGAGTCAGTGGTGTGACTCAGTAGAAGGCAGCCTCCTATGTTCTATGACCTATGTTCTTCAGTGCCCTGGGAGCAGCCGTGGGGGCGGCAGGGGGCAGCTGGCGCATGGCATCACTTACAGGCTTTGTTTCCCAGCCTAATTGCCACTTTCCTGGATACATCACCAAACCACCCTGTGCAAAAGGTCGTGAACAGCCAGCCCTGTTCCTTGAAATGATCCATCTGAGACAGCAAAGCTGTTGATGGAAGGAGATGAGCTCAAGAGGTGACGGAGATGAGATTATGCCAGATCAGACGGCAAATGGTTGCTGGTTGCGGCGGTTGTTCTGTGTTCTCATATCACTGGGGAGGAAGTGGCTGCAGATCTAACTCTATTGCTCCTGTCCCTGTTACGGTGAATAATAATAATAATAATAATAAGACCTTTCTGGACACTCAGTTGCATGGTTGAGTTGAATCACTCCTACGACATATGCTGGCTTTGATGAAGGAACTGCAGAACTGCAGGAAAAGTTGGAAATTCACTTCCAAGCCTAAGGACCTCACTCTGTCTACTGGATCCTAGGGAGGACACAACATCAACTCGCTAAGGTCAATACCTAGAAGAGAAACTTGCTTGGGAAGACCACTCTACACTGTCTTGAATAGAAGGAGGGATTTGCTAAATGTGCAGCTCACCAGGAATTCATCCTGGAATTTGATCTCACAGTCAGGCTGGTTTTAATTATAAAAAGCAGGAATTGTGCAACAGAGGAGGGGGAACTTTTTCTGCCAGAGGGCCGCATTGCATTCTGGGCGGCCTTGCAGGGGCCGCATGCTGATGGTGGGCAGGAACAAGTGCAAAGGTTGGTGGAGCAAGGAGTGTGAATTGTAGCTTTGTGCAGTAGGCTCACTCTGTATGCACACCAACTCCTCCCTATCCTCCATTGAGATAAGCAAGGAGTTATGTGTCCAGAGTTCAAAGACACATTATAACTAGGCAAAAGCACCCAAGACTGGAGATGGGATGTTTTCCTGGGGAGAGGGGAGTAGATTATGCAATGAGAGGGTACCCATTTGAATTCTCATTCTACTTTGCTTCCCTCCACCCCACCCCACCGCTCCTTGCTTTCAGCAAGTTTGTCATAATTGGGCTCCTTCCCGATTCCCGGAAATTAAGGCTCAACTTTGTAAGAATATGTGAGCCAGGAAATCAGATGGCCCCCTCGCCATTAGCTGTAATGATTCTCACTGACGTCTGGGGACCAACAAAAGGCAGGCAATTAAAGGCCAATTTACTGCGGGACCTGATGGTGGCCTGACACTATTAAGCGATGTCTGAATGGAAGCCAACTGGGCAGGACAATGCACAGGGCCGACCCAAGACATTTTGGCACCTGAGGCGAACCACAAAATGCCACACTCCCAGCCAGAGAAAAGGGGGTGAGTGAAGAACAAGGGGAGAATAAATATCTCCATCAGGGACAAGCATGGAATAGATATCTATGTCTGGAAAAAAGGGCAAGGAATCGAATCAACCTTACCTGAATCAAAGTGGGAATCAAAGGCTGTTATGGGAGAGAACTGAGCCCACGCTGGATCACAACTGGGTAGGACAGAGCCCAAGAGACCAGCCCCTGCCATTTTCTCCCCAGGGGTGGGAGGAGATCAGCAGTTCCTCCCATTTACCAAGAGGCTGCTGTAGAGGTGGCATGGGGGCTGCTGCTGAGAGGCCAGCTGAGAGGCCTCCAAGGAGCATGCCACAGCCATTGCTGCCACCACACCACCATCAGCAGACAATGCATTCCTTGAAGGCTGGATCTGCTGCCCCTATGGATCCTGCTAGCTGAAGCGGTCACCTCACCTTGCCTCATGAGTGGGCTGGCCCTGACAATGCGCCATCTTTTTGACAGTCAACCCTTGAAAAGCTTCACCTGGGCCTGTGGGAGAAAGGGAGGCACAGGGCTACTGATGGACGGAACCTCGTAATAGAAGTGTGGAGACCCTGTGACACACACACACACAATCCAAAAAAAGTTTCATATCAAAAATGGAATGCTCAGTACCTGCCGACTACACAAGAGTAGTTGGCAATGTTTAATCCAGTTTCTGTGGGCACCTTTGGCAAGATGCCTCCAGAGCGCCTGCTGTCTTGGGTGAGCCTACACTTTTCTGCCTCTGCCACCGCTGCCCTATCTCATTTGCCCTATCCCTCCAGAGCAAGCGGAAGTGTCTTCTCTACATTCTCACTCTGGTTGTAGCCAATGCTAGTCCTACACAGAGGAGACCCATTGAAACTAATGAACGTGACTAACTTAGGCCTGTTCAGAAAAAAGGCTCTGTTTTTGAACAGAGAGCACATTAAAGGGGCAGGGGAAGTGCTTGCTGGTTTATAGGGCTAGAGTGCTTTGTCAATGAACGTGTGATTTGACTTTAAGCCTAGATCATATTGGCATTCGACATCTGCAATATATTTCCTGAGAAGTTCTCTTGTCGATTAATATCCCACCGGGGTGAGGCAACCCATGGGAAACATATGACACTCAGGATATTGGGGCCAGGGGGAGACGCATTGGGGGAGCCAGTCTGATCTGTGATTAATTTCCTGTCCCAACCAAGACCTACACAGAATCTAGGGCAGAAGAAACTTTTCAATTCCCCAGCCACTGATTGGGCCTCGATGGGGAGCCCTTTCCCCTACTAAGCTTCCAGAATCCTAATATGTAAACAACAATAGTTCTTTAGCAAGATGCCTAAACTACAGAAGCCTCATATGACAGCATGAGATGCCAAGCCGTTTTGTTCCACCCACCCCAGATCTTCTAACCTCCTTGCTTTTGACCTAGAAGCACTGGCTACTTTTGCTCTGAGAACATGACGAAGGCGACAGGAAGATTTGTGCTTTGTTGACAGCGCCTCTTCCAGGGTCATTCATGCGATAGAGCCAGGCTGTCAAGTCAAGAGTGTTGCGCCTTGTTTTTGATGATATCATAGGAAGCCCTGGCTGGCTGGCTCCACAGAGGTGAATGTGCCTTGGAACATTATTGCCCCTCAGGGTTTGAAGAGGCATTCTCTCATATCCTCCTTCGCTGAAATGTGATTGGCTGAGAAGTGCCAATGGTTGCCAGGGCATGCTTGTTGTCTTTTGAGCTTCATAAGTGGGATCTACAGCAAATGTTGCAGTGTACTGCTCTTTAGGGTTCCTGACAGCCATAAAAAGCTTAAATCTGGCATAAGAAGAGCCATCTGGATGAGGCCAATGGTCTATCTAGCCCAGCATCTTGTTCTTACAGTGGACAACCAGCTCACAAGCGGGACCTGAGCACAACAGCGCTCTCCCTCCTTGTGATTCCCAGCACCTGGTATTCAGACACATGCTTTCTGTGACAGTGGAGGATCTTCATTGGCTCCCAGTACGTTTCCGATCACAATTCAAAGTGTTGGTGCTGACCTTTAAAGCCCTAAAAGGCCTCGGTCCTGTATACCTGAAGGAGTGTTTCCACCCCCATAGTTCAGCCCGGACACTGAGGTCCAGCACCAAGGGCCTTCTGGCGGTTCCCTCACTGCGAGAAGTGAGGTTACAGGGAACCAGGAGGGCCTTCTCGGTAGTGACACTTGCCCTGTGGAACGCGCTCCCACCAGATGTCAAGGCAATAAACAACTATTTTACTTTTAAAAGACAACTGAAGGCGGCCCTGTTTAGGGAAGTTTTTAATGTCTGATGCTGTATTGTTTTTAATATTCGGTTGGAAGCCGCCCAGAGTGGCTGGGGAAACCCAGCCAGATGGGTGGGGTATAAATAATATATCATCATCATCTTAATGACCATCGTGTTCAGGAGCCAGTGATAGCTTTATCCTCCATGAATTTGCCTAATCCTCTTTTAAAGCCATCCAAGTTGGTGGCCATTCCATAGTTTAACCATGTGCTGTGGGAAGGTGTGTTTTCTTTTGCCTGTCCTGTCCAGCTTCATAGGATGCCCACCATTTCTGGTGTTAGGAGAGAGGAAGAAAAAACTTTTCTCTAGCCCCTTTCCATGCATCATTTTATACACTTGTATCACGTTGCCACTTACTTGCCTCTTCTCTAAACTAAAACATCCTAAAGAGCTGCAATCGTTCCTCATTGATAAGTTGCTCCATCTCCCAGCATCCCCTTCCCCTCACCTGTCAGTTTCCTCATAGTTCTCAACTGAAGTTCAACACTCCATGGCTACGGAGCACACTCAATCCATATTAGAGTGGGTCTTTTTTTGCAGGTAGGAGGCATTCGCCAGGGTTTCAGACATTTGCCTTTCCCAACTCTGCATGATGGGAACTGAACCTGGGACTTTGTGCCTGCAAAGTAGGCACTCTAACTGTTATGTACTGAAGTTCTCACCCTGGGCCAGCAGGGGGATACTGTAGATAGTTATGCAAATGAAGGATCGAAAAGTGACGTTCAGTGATTGGATAGTTTTAGAATGTTGCAACAGTTACAATTGTTCTGTAGCTCTATATAAGCATGCTGACTGAGCTCCTCAGTTTAGTTCTGTTCCAGCTTACAAAATAAAGAGCTGCTTTGGAGAAATCGCCGTGTCGTCTGCTATGTCAACCCACAACTTAACACTGGCGACGAAGGTGGGATCGATGGACATCAGAGCACAGCCAGATGCAGCCATCCTCTGAACTGAGCTGAATCACAGAGCGAAATCACAGAGCGAAATCACTGGACAGAACCAATTCAGAGCTGACTGTTTTGGCTAGAGCACTGTGTTCCATCCATCGCCCTTCACCCCGGCATCGGAATCATGGCTTCACTTGTGCCGCTACCGCTGTTTGCCCCAGCCTCTGAATCATGGGACTCCTACCTCGCTCGGTTCGACTGCTACCTCCAAGCCAACTAGCTGACAGCAGTATCAGAGGAACGGAAGTGGGGCCTATTCCTCAGCCTCTGTGGGCCTGAGGTGTTTGAGAAGGCCCGAGCATTGGTTGTGCCTGAAGCAGTCCAGGCAACACCATGGGACACGATCCAAGCGAAGCTCCGCAACCACTACGTGCCAAAACCGTCCAAGATTGCTGCCCGCCATGCGTTTTACCACCAGAACCAGGCAGAGGGGGAGTCAATCAACAACTACACCACTGCCCTCAGACAGGCTGCAATGCACTGCGAGTTCCGAGACTTAGACGATGCCCTGATGGTTCGAATCGTCTGTGGGGTCCGAAACATCCATCTGCAACGGCGTCTCCTCGCCAAGCCAGACCTCACGCTACAGAAAGCCATTGCATTGAGGAGGCTGTGGCCTCGGAAGCTGCTGAACACTCCGCCCAGGAGATCCGCAAGTCCAGCAGCCCGTGTCTTGCTAGGAAGCCAGTTCCAGTGCATCACGAAGAGGCCAGCAGTGATGAGGCATCCTCCAGTGAAGACGATGACATGCACCAGACAAAGCGGGAGGGCAGGAAGTTCCAACAGAAGTACAAGGGCCAACCAGAATGTGTCGATTCAGAGACGCCATCTGTTGGAAGTGTTCCAGAAGGGGCCACATCGCTAAGGTCTGCCGATCGGCTCCGTCTGACACCCCCCTTCACCGACTCGCAAGTCCAAGTCTTCACTCCAATCTGCCAAGGAAAGCTGTTTCACTCTCACCAACTGCCGCTGCCTGTCTGGAACCATGATTGGCCAAACCGACTCGCCTACGCGACGCAAGCTGAACGTCACGGTGCTCATTGAAGGAGCTCCATGTGACATGGAGAGCGACACCGGGTCTGCCCTGTCCATCGTGTCTTGGAGCACCATCAAAAGACTGGTACCCAGAGTGTCCAAAAGGCAACTCGACTCTCACCACGTACACCTGAGAGACTACCAGGGAAACGATATTCCCGTGGTAGGCGTTGGCTGGTTCCGGATCGCCTTCAAGGATTTTTCGGGCCTGCTCCGGCTGGTGGTGGTCGAACGTCAGCGGCCAAGCCTCCTAGGGCTAGACTGGTTTGATGCCCTTGGCCTGGAAGTCACCGGCATCAACTGCATCTCTAACGCAGAGACTGAGGGTCTGGTCAAAGACTTTGCCAAGGTTTTTGACGGCACTTTGGGGCAATATACAGGTACGCCCATCTCCTTTAGCCTTGATCCACAAGTCGCCCCCATCAAGCTAAAGCCACGCTGGGTTCCCTTTGCTCTCAAGGCTAAGGTGGACGAACAACTGGGCAAGCTGATCGCCCAAGGAGTTTTGGAGCCAGTTGACCACGCCAAGTGGGAAACCCCCATCGTCATGCCTGTCAAGCCAGACGGGTCGGTGAGAATCTGCGCTGACTACAAGTGCACGATCAACAAGGCACTTCAGCAGCACGCTTATCCGGTTCCTGTTGTCCAACACCTGCTGCATTCCCTGGGTGAGGGTAAGGTCTTCGCTAAGGTGGACCTTGCCCAAGCCTATCAACGACTGCCCGTCGATGATGCCACTGCTGAAGCCAAGACGATCGTCACCCACCGAGGGGCATTCCGTTGCCGCCGGTTGCAGTTCGGGGTGAGTGTGGCTCCTGGCATCTTCCAAAGCCTTATGGAGTGTCTCCTGCAAGGGCTTCCGGGCGTGGTACCATATTTTGATGACGTCTTGGTGTCCGCAGACTCACACCAGCAGCTGTTCGAGCGCCTCCATGCCGTGCTGACCAGATTCCAAGAGGCCGGGCTCAAGGTAAAGAGGGAGAAGTGCCAGATCGCCGTTCCACAGGTAGAGTTCCTGGGCTATCTTATCGATGCCTCCGGCCTTCACCCGACCACATCCAAGATCTGCACTATCCAGCAGGCCCCCATCCCAAAAAACAAGACGGAGTTGCAGGCGTTCCTGGGGCTGCTGAACTTTTATAACATGTTCCTGCCCCACAAAGCCACGGTGGCTGAGCCTCTTCACCGACTCCTCAGCACAAAGACGCCTTGGTCCTGGGGTCTTCGGGAGACGGCAGCCTTCAACACGGTCAAGGCTCTCCTTTCATCGGACAGTGTGCTGGTACAGTACAGTGAATCCAGGCTGCTGGTCCTTGCCTGCGATGCCTCACCTTTTGGCATCAGCGCTGTCCTTAGTCACCGTTTTCCAGACGGAAGAGAAGCACCGCTCGCCTACTTTTCCAGGATGCTATCTCCAACGGAACGGAATTACAGCCAGCTCGACAAGGAGGCACTGGCACTTGTGGCTGGAGTGAAGAGGTTCCATGAATACCTCTATGGCAGGACTTTTGACCTCATCACTGACCACAAGCCGCTCCTGGGCCTCCTCGCTGGTGATCGTCCAACTCCACCGGTCCTCTCGCCATGCATGCTGCGATGGACTGTTTTCCTGGCTGCCTACCACTACCGGCTCGTCCATCACCCGGGGAAATTGATGGGCCATGCCGACGCCCTCAGTCGTTGCCCTCTTCCAGCGTTTGTGGAAGACCCGGCTCCAGCTTCATCGCTCCTCCTGATTGAGGATCTTCCGGCAGCGCCTGTATCGGCTGCCAATGTGGCCTCCGCATCTGCCCAGGATCGCACCATCAGCCGTGTGCTCAACTGGGTGTGGAGGGGTGGCCACAAGGGCCTTTTGCATCGGAGTTCCAGCCTTTCGCAACCAGACAAAATGAACTCTCGGCTCATCGCAGCTGTCTGCTGTGGGGAGACCGCGTCGTGATTCCCCAAAGACTCCGTCAATGCATCCTGGAGGCTCTGCACGTTGGCCACCCGGGAATTGTCAAAATGAAGGCGTTGGCTCGGTGTTACGTCTGGTGGCCTAACATGGATGATGCCATCACTGCCTGGGTGTCCGCCTGTCAAGCGTGCCAAGAATCGAGGCCTGCACCACCGGCAGCTAAGGGACACACCTGGGAGACGCCAAAGACACCCTGGTCAAGGGTGCACATCGATCTGGCCGGCCCTTTTCACGGCCGGACCTTTATGGTAGTGGTGGACGCCTATTCCAAATGGCTGGAGGTGGCCCTGATGCCCTCCACCACTACCGAGGCCGTCATCCGGGTGCTGCGAGGCCTCTTTGCGACGCATGGGTGTCCTCATGTCCTTGTCTCCGACAACGGACCGCAGTTCACGTCAGGCACTTTTGAGCGGTATCTTTTGGGGCTGGGCATCCGCCATGCGCTAATGGCACCATTTCATCCATCCAGCAACGGGCAAGCGGAGAGAATGGTGCGCTTGGCAAACGAGGCACTGGCGCGCCTGGACCGGGGAGACTGGCACGAGTGGGTCGCCGAATACTTGTTCATGCAACACATCACCCCTCATGCGGCCACAGGGCGGAGTCCTGCTGAACTGCTTATGGGCCGCCGCCTCAGGTCACCGCTTGACCAGCTGCACCCAGACTTTGCCGTGGCCGAACCCCCAGGCTGTGCCAACGCGCCACGGTCATTTGTTCCAGGAAACCAGGTCTTTGCCCGGAACTATGTGGGGGACATTCCTTGGGTGCCAGCCACAGTAGTGGGAGTCACTGGACCTCGCTCGTACCAGGTGGCACTCGAAGACGGACGCTTGTGGCGCCGGCACATAGACCAGCTTAGGCACAGGGTTGGGGACTTGGACACTACCGTGGTGCCCCCAACTGCGCTCGTGACTCCAGAAGAGACACTTACAGATGGCGAGGCTCCACCTACATCTCCCTCGCAAACTGCCAGCGTGGAGCCGAACCAAGCCGCTTCAGAGGGTCTGCCAGATTTACCACAGGCTCAGACCACTCCACTTGCAGAGGCTCCACCCACAGCAGCAGATCCAGAGGATTTGGTTTCAATGCCACCTAGGGTCGCACCACAGCCTCAGCAAGAATTGTGTGGCCCCCCGGACTTGGCTACCAATCCCCGACAGTCTGGCAGAGTTTCCAAGCGCCCAACTAATTTAAAGGACTATGTTGTTGGACATGTATCACCGTTGGTCTAAGTATGGGAAATGTACCCGATATGCTTTTGTGCCTAATTGAACCATTACGTGTAGTGCTGTATATAAGGAAACCATTACGATTGTAACTAACGCCTTATCTCGGTGGGGAGGGGTGTTATGTACTGAAGTTCTCACCCTGGGCCAGCAGGGGGATACTGTAGATAGTTATGCAAATGAAGGATCGAAAAGTGATGTTCAGTGATTGGATAGTTTTAGAATGTTGCAACAGTTACAATTGTTCTGTAGCTCTATATAAGCATGCTGACTGAGCTCCTCAGTTTAGTTCTGTTCCAGCTTACAAAATAAAGAGCTGCTTTGGAGAAATCGCTGTGTCGTCTGCTATGTCAACCCACAACTTAACACTAACCACTGAAAAACAGCCTCTGTTTCACTCATGGCTATGTGAACCCAAATACCCCACATTCTAATCCAAGGCCACATTCACACAATATATTTAAATTTTAGAGGATTGTGCTACAGTCATGGCTTTCCTCAAAGGATTCTGGGAGCTGAAGTTTGAGGTGGGTGCTGAGTGCTGTTGTTAGGTGAAACCCCAAGTCCGCTCCCAGAGCTACAATTCCCAGAGTTTCCTGGGAAGAGCGAACTGTTAGATAAACTACTCTGGGAACTGTAGTTTAGGGAAGGATACGGGCCTGCTAACATCTCTCAGCAATCTACTGCTCCCAGAATCCTTTGAGTGAAACCATGACTGTTCAAAGTGGTATCATTGTGCTTTAAATATATTGTGTGAATGTGGCCCAACAGTCCAACAGACAGTTCCCTGTCTGGGAAAGCCTACCTGGGAAAACTGTTTTTTACCTGTGAAGATTCTACAGAGCACAGCAGGCATACAGCTCTGGATGGGATAAAGTTGCGGGGAGGGGGAAGCAGATGGCAAGTTGCCCAGTTATGCTTCCTAAGGCATGATGGGATTTGCAAATTGCAGAGGCTCTTCTGCTATACGCCAGCAAAAACAATGAGCTTGTCAGCAATCTTAACAAGATGGTCTTTAACCTCTGTCGCTGGGAGATGGCAGACAGCCCTCCGAGCTTGGAAGTCTATTGCACAGTGCAGTTGCTCAGCTTCAAACATTAAACACCACCTTTCTTCTCTGTACTGATATGATCACACACACCTGGCAGCAGGCAGCTGAGCCCTGGCAATCTGGAGATCAGGGCTTGCTGCTTAGGCTAGAGCAGGCATGGCCAAACTTGGCCCTCCAGATGTTTTGGGACATCAATTCCCATCATCCCTGACCACTGGTCCTGTTAGCTAGGGGTGATGGGAGTTGTAGTCCCAAAACATTTGGAGGGCCAAGTTTGGCCATGCCTAGTCTAGAGGCTGGCTGCAAAGGCTGAGAAAGCATAACCCTGCAGAACGTCCCAGTCACCCCAAAGGATCACACAGCAGGTGAACAGGAAAAGGCCCATTTCTGCCTGAGAACCACTGCCACTCAATGCAGACCAAGCTGACCCTTCCCCTGGATGCTCAACGCAAGGCACTTGGGCAGAGGATAAGCAGAAAACGAGTGAGCCAGCTTTGAGGGCTGTCTCCCTTCAGTAGTAAATGAGGCCTCTCCAGCCTGCCATCTTATTTAGGGGAAACAAATGTAGACCCCATGGGCTAAACCCATCACTTGCCATGCTCAGAGCAGACCCACTGAAATTGCTCAGTGTGGCTAACTTAGGCCCATTAATGGGTGTATTCTGAGTAGAACTTAGGTGGATACAATGCACAGTGCTGAAAGGGACCTTCACACTCATCTAGTCCATCCCTCCCTGCCAATGTAAGAGGACACCTGCTATTGGAGAATCTGTGATCAGTGGCAGTGGGTGAGGTGGGGCACAGCTGCCCCCCATCACCAGTATCAGTGCAGTTTACCTGGATGGATTGGGTAGAGCAGCGAGGAAGGTTTGACTGCACAGAAGCACCTGCAGACAATCCACCCATATATCCACACAGCCTAACCTCCCCGCTGCCCTGGTCCCATCCAGGTAAGCTGCTGTGGCACCCATGCCCAGAGGGTGACTGGAAAACTCTTCTGTACCACCCCAGCTGCTACTGTCTCTGATAGGCAGCTATCCAGCCTCTGCTTGAAAACTTCTAACAAAAAGACCCACCACCTTGCAAGGCAACCTGATCCACTCTCAAACAACTCGTACCATTCAAGATCACCCCAGGAGCATGCACAGAGTCACTTACAAGCGTCACTCACAATGCAAGACCCTGCAGACTTAGGACAGAGGAGAACACCTTCCAGTTCAAAGGCTACGGCTTTCCCACAAGCCTGAGTCACTTCTCTTTTCAAGAAATCCAGTGCCAAATCCTTATCTATAACCCCAGCTAAGATAAAAAAGAATTAGCAGTCTGATCCTATGCACATCATGGCATGGCAGTGTGTCACTTGCTTTGACGTCTTTTGAAGGGAATTAGGCCAATGCACAGAGGATCTGTCTGTCAACCCTGATTGCTGAAGAGGTCTGCATTACTCAGTGGCAGCTGGAACAGAACCTACGTTAAATTGAGCTCAGGCTTGGTTTGTCCTGAATGGAAACCTGGCTCCTGTGCACTTGCAGTGGTGAGATTACTTTGGGGTGTGACTTTTGCTGGGAAAAGCAGAGATATCACTTTGCCGACAAAGGTCTGTATACATAAAGCTATGGTTTTCCCAGTAGTGATGTATGGAAGTGAGAGCTGGACCATAAAGAAGACTGATTGCCGAAAAATTGATGCTTTGGAATTATGGTCTGGAGGAGACTCTTGAGAGTCCCATGGACTGCAAGAAGATCAAACCTATCCATTCTTAAGGAAATCAGCCCTGAGTGCTCACTGGAAGGACAGATCCCGAAGCTGAGGCTCCAATACTTTGGCCACCTCATGAGAAGAGAAGATTCCCTGGAAAAGACCCTCATGTTGGGAAAGATGGAGGGCACAAGGAGAAGGGGACGACAGAGGACGAGATGGTTGGACAGTGTTCTCGAGGCTACCAGCATAAGTTTGACCAAACTGCAGGAGGCAGTGGAAGACAGGAGTGCCTGGCGTGCTCTGGTCCATGGGGTCACGAAGAGTCGGACACGACTAAACAACAACAACAACAGACAACGGGAGTGTATTCCTGTTGATTCTGGTGGACCTCTCAGTGACGCTTCAGTACCATTGTCAGCCACACTATCCTTCTGAACACATGGCTGGGATGGAACTGCTTTGAAGCTGCTTTGGTCCCTCCTGGAGGGTGTGTCTGTCTGTATATGTGTGTGTGTATGAAAAAATCCCTTCCCAGAGTAAGTCAACTGGCACAGGGCAGTCATTTATTTATTATTATTTTAATGCTATTGTTATCATTGTGAGAACTGCATTGAGCTTGACACTGTTGTTGAGAAAGCTAAGTGCACATGTTAAACCAATCAATCACTGGATATTATTATTAGTTACATCACATTTTTTGACATGAGAGCAGGGCAGCAATTTTTGGCATCACAATCTTGCATGATTTTGGACCACAATCTCAGTCCAAAAAGCTTTTTTCTTTTCCTTCCAGGGCTGAGAACTTGTGTGGCGTTCCAAAATGTGTGTTTTGGGGCATCATGCTCTCATGCAAGGCCTAAAAAGGTGCTTTTTAGGAGGCCACAATCTCACACAGGTTATGTGAGTCACCTGTGAGCATGGCCCAAAAGCTCAACAACTTTGTGGGGTGTCCTGGTTTTTACTTTTTGCAATATGGCAACCCTAGGATTGAGGAATATCGGAGAGCTGGTGCAATTAGTACCAAAATTGGGCCTCAACAACCGGTGACCCACCAAGCTGAACACAATCCACTTCTCCAATGTGTTGTGGTCTGCCTTGTACTCAACAACCCCATCTTTCAGCTCTCCCAGGAAAACAAGCAAAACATGAATTTGAATGACCTTCTAGCAGGCTATGGTTTGTGGCTGATGAGCTGAGGCCAGTTTGGTGGTTCATGTTGCACAGGGATAGGCAACCACCATCCTTGTAGATGGCCTTCAATTTCGAGAAGAAAGGAGTCATCAGGTGTCAATACCTGTCTCTAACCTTCCTTTCACAGTGTTGAGATACTCCTTAGTGGTTTGACAATTTCATCTGTTCTTACTTCATCTGTTCCAGGCTTCAGAGAGGCATAACACTGAAAAACAGATGCCCGGGAAGAATCCTGGCATGAATTAAACCCTAGCCTTCCCTAAATCAGCTTAAGTGTATTTGGACTTCTCCGGATTATAAATGGAGACATTAAGAGTACCTGGAATTCAGCCACCTCTGGGGGGAATACAACCTGGTTGCCATGTAAGGGGAAACTGGGATTTCACATGCTCACAAAATGGGGAAAGAAGACAGGAAGTTCATTTGCAGCTCCCTTGGGTGGCGAGAGACAGGAACCATGTGCTCTGCAGACACCTGAGGACTGCTTCACTTGCTGCATTAAGAGCTTGAGCTCATCACATCTGATCATGGCAAAACCATGGTTACTCATTCCTCTGAATACCATTTGCTGGGAATAAAAAGTGGGGAGAGTTGTTCTTGCACTCAGTTCTGTCTTGCAGGCTTCCCATAGGCATCTGGTTGGTCAGTGTGAGAACAAGGTGCTGGAACAGATGTAACCTTTGGCCTAAACCAGAATGGCCCTTCTTATATTCTTATGTTAACTAGCTGTCATCGCTTCTTTAAAGTTCCATGGAGGCTGAGCTCCAACAGGTGTTATCCTGGGGCAGATGCTATGGGAGTCTGCATGTATTTTAGGAATGGGGGCAGGAGTTAAATACTGAAAGAGGAGATCAGGGTCATCTCTCCTAGCAAAAATGAGAAGATAGTTCCTGTACATGTGTCTCAGGTTCTACAAATGTTTGAAACTTACTCTTTTTCTTTCTTTTTTAAAGGAAGGTGGGAAATTGGGGATAATTCATCCAGAGGGAACAAGCACACTTCCTTGCCGCCACCATGCAAATGCCAATGCCCTACGCCCTACGATCAACAAGGATGCAAGCCACCAAGTCACCATTTTGATTTCCTCCAATGAAGCATTGCTGCAGGGCATTGTGGGAAATTTAAATGGCCGCCTGCCACTTGGCTCTGATGGCAGTTCTGACGTCACTGCCTTTTCTACCTCAGCCAGGTAAGTCCACCAGGGTGCTCACTGACTCCTGCGTGAGCCCATCCGGACACTTTGCCAAGGATCCCATCGAACTTGGAGCCTCTGTTGGAGGTTGAGAGTTTCAGCAGGATGTCCTTCTGGAGGGGAAACCATGTTTGTGGGTTACAGGAATCATAGAGTCTTACTCCATCTTAAAGGTGAACAAGTTTACTGCGGCATATGTTTTTATGGGTCAGAGCATGCATAAAGCGATAACTTATAGGGTATAAATATCCTGGCTACATGCACAGTAAGAAAAAATATTGCCCCCCAAACACCCGCAGTGTAAGAGTTAGATGGTTGGAGGAGTGCCTAAGTACTAATGCAGAGCCTGAATGAAAACAGAATCCAGTCAAATGAATCTAAGACTTAACTGGTATAGGCACAAATCATCTATCTGCTAGTGACTAATGGGGTGCTCAGCAGTGAAAGCAAGCATGTCCAGAAAGGGAATTGCTCTCTGTTGTGAGCTTGCGACTTACAGGAATGGTTGAGAACGAGATCCAAGGATATAAATTCCTAGATGCTGGGATTCACTTAGACACATGGACTTGGTATGCCTCTTGGCACCAGAGGCTGAAGCCAGCCTTCTCCAAGTTCTTGGGTGTTTGCAGCATGTCGGAAGGGGCTCTACGCATGCTCCTATGTGCTTGCAGAGAGCTTATGCACTGTGGGAACTGGAATCCCTGTTTTTGGAAGTCAATTTCACAGAAGGTATGTCATCCTTGGAGATGGAACTCCAGTAGTTGCTTCCTTCCCACCCCACCTCCCTCCTGATATCACTTCTGGAAGTGTAGAATAGGCAACAGCTCTAGAGTTTCCAGCCAAGATCCCAAACCACCATCCAACAAATCATGCAAACTCAACAGAGCTTTAGATGTGTGGCTTTTTGCACTGCAGGAAGCCCTGGGTTCAAATCCCCACTCAGCAGCAAAGCTTACTGCCTTGAATAAGCTTCTTCTATCTTTTTCTCCCAGGAGCTCAAGGTGGCGACATGGTTCTTCCCCCTGCCATCTGCCCTTTAATCTGCACAACAACCCTGTGAGGTAGGTTAGGCTGAGAGGCAGTGACTGGTCCCAGGTCACCCAGTGGGCTTCGTGGCTGAGTGGGGATCTGAACCTTGATCTCCCAGGTCCTAGTCCGACGCTCTAACCGCTACACCACACTGCCTCCAATAATTCTCATCTATCTGTATATGACTAAACCTCACAAGGTTGTTGTGCAGATAATCCCCACTCCTGATATGCCATCTCTGAGCTTCTTGGACTGAAAGAGACAGATACAAAAAGATAAATAAATGCCATGCGTATCTCTTTGTCTTTCACAGGCATAATCAGGACCCTTTTTTCTTTTGCTCTCTTCCCAGCTCGCTCTGCAGCAGATGACAAAGATTTCTCTCTTTTTGTGGGGTGTGGGGTGGGAAATGCATATGTAATGAGGAGCTTCAAGTTCTGGAGGACCTGAATCAACAACTGGTTACTCAGTTCTTGGTTTGTTAAGAGAATGGGGCTCAGAAATGCAGGAGAATCTTAGATATTAGAAATCAATCACTCAGCACCTCCCGAACATATATTTCACATCCACCTTAGCACTTACCTCCCTAGGTTGGGGAAACCGGACACCTGGGTCCCTTAAGGAAAGAAGGAAGAAAAACCTCTATTGCATCACCACCGCCCAGTCTTGACCTCGGGGTTTCTTCTGCAAGATCTCAGATCTTCTCTGCTCTGTAAGTTTGGAGGTAGCGGATCCCTTGCTGGCTTCTCTTCGCTCGAGTCCTGGATCTCGCCCGCCGCTCCACCTGGACCCTTTGCATCCAACCGAAAAGTGTCCTAGCGGACCGCTTGAAAGACGTCTGACTCGCGAAGAGCCAGGGGGCGCGGCTGCCAAGAGGGTGGGCGGGACTTCGAGGAGAGCCGTGGCGCGGGAGATGCTGAATGGGGCTTGCCAGGAGAGCGCCAGTGAGTGAGCGCGCCTCCCGATCCTCTTCGTGCTTACTCGGAAGTAACTCCCGGCACGTTCAGCGTGCGAGGCCATCTTCCCAGGTAAGCAGATCCTGGAACCTTCCCGAGCCATGTCTGGAAAATGGGGTTGGGGAGGCAATCCTACCCGCGCACATCCTTGCTGCGAGTAAGCCTGCTGGGACTCAGCGGGAGTTACATCCGAGTAAACACGCAGAGGATCGGGCTGCAGGCCGCTGGGATGCAAACGGAAGGAGGCGGGAGAGGTCAACAGGCAATGGAAAGCAAGCGATGTTCATCTTAAAACAAAGAGGAACAAGATTAACACGATAACAACTCGCCGGCGAACTCTGACCAGGTGCACTTTTCCCTGGCGCGGGCTGAGCTATTGCTGATCCTCATCAGTTGGTCGTAGATGGATCATTACATTCACAGAAGCGGCTCTCCAAGGCTCCAGACAGCAGTTTTTCCAAATCCTACCTGAGTTGAACATGGGACCTTAAAGCATTTTGTCACTGACTACTCCTTTTGCCCAGAATCAGAAATTACAGAAGATGACGGCCCCATCTGCGCTATACGCTTAAAGCGCGATCTTCCCGTCTCATTTCTGTCCCTGAGACAGCCGGGTTGAAAGAGGTGTGCAGCGCAAGACGTGGTTTTACTGTCCAGACCAGCAAAACACCAGATGGCTGGCAACCACTACATCCTTCATGAATTTAAAAAGCATTGGCGCTTTCTCTGGGCGAGAACCTAGCAACCCCGCCTAGTGGTTAGGGCAGCCCTGCATAGCCAAATGAGCTCGGAATGGAGGGAGAGCTGCTTCTGGTTGCTTTAAGCAGCCCCTTGGTAACTCGGTCGAGCCGCGTTGACTCTTTCACCCCTGTGCACCTGCTCCTCCTGTGCCAATATTTGTGTACCTTTCCACCCCACTCCACCCCGCTTTTACACTCTTCCTATTATGTTAAATGACTTCCCCAATAAAAGAGCCTTCGTTCCTCCAGCAACCTTGTGACTCAATATCACTAGTTATCTGTGTTCTTCACCGTTTTACAGCTTGTTCCTTATAGGATTAATAATGCCTCTCAAGCAAACAGGAAAGGGGGGAGGGCGGTTTATAAGTGCACCAATGTGCCCGGGACAACGTTGTCCTGGCTTTCTTACCCACGATGCATCTGGTGCCAGCTTCAGGAAGTGGTTTGAGCAGAAACAGGGTTGTCAACCATTTCGTTTTTTATTGGTTCAGTGTCTCCAGAAAAAAGCCAGTAAACATCAGAACAACACAACAAAGCTTTTTTCTTTTCTTTTAATGCCATATAGTCCAGGCACCACTTATGATGCATCTAAACTCTTCCCTAGCTCCAGAGCATGTCCTGCATTACAGAGGACGGTTCTCTGTTTGAAGGGTCTTCCATCAGGCTGCAAGAGAGGAGGGGAGAGGAGGGGTGCAGGGTTGCACCATCAGCGCAGCTGAAAGTTCAGCAAATTTTGGTGCTTCCTCGCCTTGAATTTGCCCACCCCATCTGGTAATTAGATGAACTTACATAACTAAGAACTTTAACCCGAGTTCGCTTCTCTCCTCCTCCTTCCCAGTCCATTTTCCTTTTGTGTTTCATGTCTTCTTAGATTGTAAGCCTGAACCCAGGGACTGTTTATATTTTCATTTTAGAGTAAGTTGCTCAGGGGGCCTTTTTTTGGTTGAAGAGAAGGACAGAAAAAATAAAACGAATACATACCTTTATAGAAAGCATCTTCTGTTTGAAGGACTGTTCTTTCAAAGACCAGTTGTGGGAAGGTGACTACCTGAGATTTAGCAGCTTTTAAAGGGCCAAAGAAGGCAATACGGATTAGGTGTTCAGTTACCTAGTTTAAGTTTGTCTCTTGGAAATTATTCCATATGCCTTTCTGAAATTATCTGTTGGGTGAAGACTGCATGCTCAGTTGCTCCACCTAGAGGCCTGGTGCAGCAATGCTTCATTACCAAGCTTGGCACAGTAATATCCCTGGGATCGGACTGGTATATTTGGTGTTGGGTAAATTTTCGCCCTTGTATGTAGAATTCCATGCTGTCTTGCCTGATTAATCTGGAGCCATCTAGCCTATCCCTGTGCTTCTTGCCCACATGGTAGACTAGTTAATTGGGTTGGCTTGGGGGGCCAGGCAGAATTGAGTCTGGGTACCCACTTTTGGATGTAACTCATTCACGCCCATAAAAGATTTTCTGCTGCTGGCAGAAAGGGAGAATTCAGAGGGGAGGAGTTATTGGGGGGAGTTGTTGTTGTTACCTGTGGGATATCTCATTCGGTAGAGCATGAGACTCTTAATCTCAGCGTCTGATCCTCTTTTAATACCATTCAAGAGTTAACTGTCTGTACAGTCGTACCTTGGATCCTAAACGCCTTGCAAGTCAAATGTTTTGGCTCCAGAACGCCGCAAACCCAGAAGTGAGTGTTCCAGTTTGCAAACGTTCTTTGGAAGTCGAATGTCCGGCGTGGCTTCCGCGGCTTCTGATTGTGTGCAGGAAGCTCCTGCAGCCAATCAGAAGCCACGCCTTGGTTGTTGAACGTTTTTGGAAGTCGAATGAACTTCCGGAACAGATTCCGTTCTACAACCAAGGTACGACTGTAACGTTGAAGAGCAGCATGTGATGCACAACACTCTAACCATCAGAGCTATTGTGAAAGGTCCTCCTTGCCAAGAAATGAATAACAAATTACATCTGTAAGATGGGAGCATATATTGCAAGAATGCAGAGCCAGTGGTCTTCCATCAGTTGGACTGCAAACCCCACCACCACCACCCCCAACCTCACTGGTTTGGGCTGATGGGATTTGGAATCCAACAACATCTTGAGCTCCACCATTTCTTCTTCCCAGTTTATAGATGACACGGCCTGTTGTTCTCCTCCTGCCTCATCCAAGGAAAATGATTTCCCTTATTGCAGAAATCAAAATTTCATAAACTTCAGTATGCATAAAATTGCAGTTCCATGAAACAAAAAGTTCCTTTTTGTGTGAAATTCTCAGTTTAACGACTGGTACTTCCCATGGAAAGAAAAAGGCCCCAGGAAGTACATAGACCCTTAAGATGGGCTCCCAAGCACATGAGGGGCAGGGTGGATGGGAGGAGCACACTGTCTCTAGATGTGACATGCCGGTGCCCTCCTGTGTTTGTGATGAACATTGCAGTCTAGGGACCAGCAAATTCTCCAGGCCTATAGATTATGCTCAAAGAACAGGGTTCAACGGTGACCTTTAGTACAGGAGGGAGAATTTTTAGTATGTGTTGCTTCTCCTGCCATGGCACTTTCATACTGGGAGAGAGAAGATAGCCCTGCTCTGAAATACTCATGTTATGCAATTATTCAAAGCTGTTTCCAGCACTGCATCTGGCACCCTTACTGTCAGGAGCTCGTCCTACACTCGAGTAGGACCCTGGTAGAGACACATGCCCAACTGGCATGTTCCCTCCTTCCTAGTCACTCGTTTGAGAGCTTCAAAAGCTTTCTTCTGCCCGAACATCACAGCAACTGATGCCAGCAGACATCGGCACACTTAGGGATCCACAGAGTCTTCGCAGCTTGCGCAGCAACTCAGCATTTTGGCTAATCTACTTTATTTACATATAAACCCACACGGAGCACTGCAACATGGCTCCCTCTCTCTCTAGCATCAGACAGCAAAAAGAGAGAACAAAGGACAATTATCCCACTTCACGGGACACAGTAACACAAACATCCTGTCTCTGTCACTTCCCACTCTGTGGAGTCAAAACATATACCGTCATGTGATAGACAACAATCCCATGACTGCAATCACGGAGCAGGAATTCTAACACTTACAACGTTTAACAGGGGCTGAACCGCTGCTCACTTTGTGCATCAACCACAACCACCGCAGCCAACAACGACCCCAAGAGTGGCATTCCCTTGTGGGTGACCTTCTAGGGGCCGCAAGCCAGTAGTAGATTTAGCAAACCTCTTGCCATCCTCCATCCAAGCAAGATACAGTTCAAGGTCACATTTCAGCCCAGTAAAATCTCTGGAGGAGAGAGAAAAACAGGACCAGTGAAGGCTTGGAGGGCTGTAGCCTTCCCAGAGTTCCAAGGGTGTTATGTACTGAGTTGAATAGGATCCAAACTGCAGCAGTCTGATTGGTCCTAGAACAATAGGATCCAAACTGCAGCAGTCTGATTGGTCCTAGAACAATAGGATTCAGAATGCAGCAGTCTGAGTGGTCCTAGAACAATGCAGCAGTATGATTGGTTGGCAGGAACCACCCAATCCTGCTCCAGATAGAAGTGAATCCACAACCTGATTGGCTTACAGTAGAATTCCGGAATTAGCCAATCATGTGCAGCCCATTGTGTAAATAATGTATATAAAGCAGATACTGTGAGGGGACTTCCATTCATTCCTCCTCACCACTATGAGCTGAATAAAGAGCATGAAATCACTTTGTGACTCTGAGTATTCCGGAATTCTACTGTAAGCCAATCAGGTTGTGGATTCACTTCTATCTGGAGCAGGATTGGGTGGTTCCTGCCAACCAATCATACTGTTCATTGTTCTAGGACCAATCAGACTGCTGCATTCTGAATCCTATTGTTCTAGGACCAATCAGACTGCTGCAGTTTGGATCCTATTCAACTCAGTACATAACACCCCTCCCCTCTAAGTTCCAGTCCTGCCCGGGAGGTCGCATTCATAGTCCTCAAGGTATGCCGGCGGCCTACGTGTGCGTTGCGGCCTGGGGTGTTCCCTGGTCCGGGCTCCAGGTTCTGGCTCGTGTTCCAAGGATGCTGGCTGTGATGGGGCTGTTTGGTCTGGTGCAACCGGCTCGCTCAGTCGTGGTTCTGGTTCCGGTGTCCT